TTAAGGCTTTAATTGCCCCCTGGTTTACAATGAAAATGTTCTTGTTTGGTTGATGTCGAATGACAGTTTATCGGTTACCTTTTCGAGTGAAAACCGTTGAACTGCGACGCTAAAATAGAACACGAATTCTTGATTCTGATAACACTGTCGGAGCCGCTTTGATGGGGCCGAAGGGGAAAATTTTAATTGAGTCCAGTTGACGCTTATGTCATGCTGTTATACGTTGTTGATAATCCTTTTTGTCCCTCCTTTTCGTGGTCTTTGTTTTATGTCATAATTTAACAAATTTAACTTCAGAAAAATTTTGATTTCTCATATTCAATATTTCTCTAAACCAACATTTATCCACGTTTCAACTAAAAAAAAAAAACATATTTTGGAGAAATAGTAAAAACAAAAACAATTATAATTCTCACACTGTTGTATTATTTTTACATTCTGAAACCTCGCGAACCCCAGAATATGCAACATTTATTCATTTGCGATTCTACTTTCCATGGGGTAAGTAATCACATTGGTTTAGAAATTCACTGCAAAATTAATTAAAACACAGCAAGACTTCCTCGATTGCATCACAACAGCAGCAATAAGGACAGCTGCTGTTATTGAAATCAAAAATTTGTTTTTTTTTTTGAACTATTTGAGAATCGCGTAGCTATCTAGTCATATACATACTCGTATAAATATGTATGTACACGTATTGGTAGAAATATTCGTGGCAAACTAAAATGCATTTTAAAATTTTCATACCAGTGTGCACAGAAATGGAACAGCACAGAATAATCGAGGTAAATATACATATACATACATATAGAAATGTATGTGTGTAACGATTATTTGCGAAATAATGGAAAAAATCATCATAAATATCAATCGAAATTAGAAAATAACGATTTTTTTCAATCGAAAATTTTAAACAAACAAGAAATAAGGGCTGCCATCGGTCTTTGATTCATTTGTGGAAATGTTGTAGGTTCCTTCGGTAGACTGCACGCTACAGTGCAATCCAACCATTTCTATGATGGCCTTCCTTTGCATATTGAGCCTTTATGGAGTCCTTTCATTACCATATCCAATTTTTGCCCAAAATGCAAGAGCTTGACTTGCATGACATGTGGTTTCAACAAGATGGTGCCACATGCCACACAGCACGCGTAAGAATGGACTTATTTCACGCTTGCGACCGGTCAATCGGCCGGCTAGATCGTGCGATTTAAGGGGGGAAGCTGGTCTAGAGCGCAAAAAAATGGGCATATTTTATGAATTTATTTTGACTCAACAAAGGAATCAATCCAAAATCTTTGGAATACACGGTGTGTTCCAAAAATAACCGAACTTTATATTTAAATCATACAACATACAGCGTCATCTATTGAAAATTTGTCTTATTAAAAAGATACATTCAACCTCATTCAAACGCACCTAACATCATGTAAGTCGGATGACAGATGTAAAAGTGACAGCCATTTCAATAAAACCAAAAGTGTGCTAATGGTTCAAAAATAAAATGAAACAAAGAGCAAATGAAAATTTTGTGTCAAACTTGAAAAAAAAAATTAATGAAAAAAGTTAATTGTGATGATTGTATGAGTCGTACGCAAGTTTATACGTGCTTTACACGATTTAAAAATGGTCGTGAGGATTTAAATGACGACCCTACAGCAGGACGTCCACAAACTAGTAATCGTGCTGAACTGGTGGAAAAAGTCCGTGAAATCATTGATAGCGAGGCAAATTTTACTACGAGAATGTTGGCTGAGGAATCGAATACGAGTAAAAACACTATATATTTAGAGAATTTTAACTGAAGATTTGGGGAAAAGAAAGGTCTGTGCGCGATTTGTTCCACATGAATTAAAAGACGACCAAAAAATCACTCGAATTTTTAATGAAAAAAGCGATTTCTCTCATCGACCATCCTCCGTATTCGCCTGATTTCTCACCAAGTGACTATTTTTTTATTTCCAAAACCGAAAACCAAGATGAAGGGAGCGTTTTATGATGATATCCCAGCCATTCAAGCAGCCGTAACCAAGGTACTGAAGAACATTTCTATAAATGCCATAAAAAAAATCTACGCATGCGCTGGCTGATCGTTCCAAACGTTGTGTTGAGTCAAATGGAACCTATTTTGAATAAATAATAACTTTCAAAGATAATATAATGTGTATTTTATTTTATATCCAAAAAGTTCGGTTATTTTTGGGACACACCGTGTAGGTTTAATAATATAGGTTTCATGGTAAAAATACAGAATTTTTCGTGTGAATTAATTTCAAAATGGCCGCTGTTCAGGATTTCTCCGAAGACGCATTTTTTTCTAATAGGTCCATGGCCGAAGATGTCTTCGGCCAGTTAAAAAAAAGTGATTTCGAGAAAAACGCGTTTAAACGTTAAATGGCACTTGATGCATACATGCGAGGCACTGCCGTCGAATGAAAAATTTGGTCATTTAGACATTTTTGGCGACATCCATCTTTTGGTATGTTATTTCTAAGACCCTAGGGCACCTTTTAAAACAAAAAAAAAAAATCGATTTTATCAAAATTCTAGACCAACTTCCCCCTTAACAATTTTATACTATTTTTTGTGGGTCTATGTTAAATCTAATGTCTATACAGACAAGCCGGCTTCAACTGACGGATTGGAAAACAACATTCAAACATTTATTCGTGAGATAATGTTGGAGAAAGGATGCCAAAATGTTGGATCAAGTATGCCGATATTGAACTAAGCGGATGGACCATTTGAGGCGTACTATCGATTCAATTAAAGATTTCATGCATTTTTCTGAATTTTATGTCTGTCTTGGAAAATCACCGTTTATTATAAAGTTTTCCGATACGTGTATTTAATACCAAATTTAGATGCTTTTTTTCACGGATTTTTGACCAAAAACATGAAAATTTTCGGTGACATTGTTATTTGTAAAAATCGATCGATGGGTTCTATATATTATAGTTGGCCGACTTCGATAAACTTTAGTTCATCACATATGTAAATGCAAAATATCAAATTTCACGTTTTGAGATGCTTATTTGACAAGTTTATGACCCAAAATCTCAAATCTGTAAAATCATATATATGCTATAGTGAAGCGATGTCACCCTATTCATCCCGGCAGGCAGAACTGCTCGAATCTGCCAAAACTCCCCGATAGAATCGGCGGTACTAGTACTAAGGCACGACTCCATTCGTAACGCCGACCCCGGAAATTTCCTATTTAGGGATGCCAAGCTGGAGATTCGGCGACAAGTCAACACTCATAAGGGGAAAAAGTAGGAGAAGCACTTAAGATCTGCTACCTCTCCTCTGGGGCAGCCAAGCTCTGGGCCACGGTAAAGTCACTGTCAAGCTCGTCGCGATTAATGGATAGAAATTTCATTTGGAGACCGCGCCTCGTCGGACCCGAAAAAGTACGTGAGATTTTTAGCCAACTCATTACACTGCACCGTTCGGTTGACAAAATGAAGCGACAAGTGACCCGCTGTCTGCGTAAACTGCCGAGCACCAGCGCGACGCTTGATTTTTAAAAGGAAAATGTTCAGAGGGTCATCGGGAAAACGTAAGCCTCCAAATCCAACGGCTCGACGAAATAAGCAAGATGATGCTAAAACATCTAGGATCAGCGGCTGCAGATTTTCTCACCACGCTAAAAATGCCGATGTGGAAAATGGGTAGAGTGATCCCGTCACTCAAACCGGGAAACCAGCCAACAAAAGAGAGTCCTATGTCCCGATATCTCTCCTCTCCAAAGTAGCGAAGAATCTTGAGGCCTTGCTGCTACCTACCTTATAGCACATCAGCAAACTGCACAGTACCACAACTGCAATTAACGCCATAAACAATTAGATACTCGGTTGTGTCAAAGAAAACCGGCCCTATGCGCGAACTGTCCTCTTAGCACTGAGCCTCTCAAAAGCTTTTTACATGTTCAACCATTCAGTGCTACTATCGGACATTTAGGAATCCTCATTACCCCTGGGGTTGAAGAGGTAGATCATGGGCTACCTAAGTGGACGTCAATCAGCGGTAGAATTTCGAGTTCAAACATCGAAACTCAAATAGATGAAATAAAGGGCTCCGCAGGGTGGTGTCCTCTCAGTGAAGAAGTTACAAGTCTGCTAAAATACCGCCTTCAGGGCCGTGACAGAAATCCTTCTGACATCGCTGGCGCATTATTTGCACAGCTGCATTGCTGTACCAGTAATTTCTGCTGGGATGCCAGCGAAGGGAGCACTGAAACCATCTAACCCCCTTCTCCCTCTGGTCCGAACCGGTCAAAACAGCTTGTTTCATGGACCTAACGCTACATGACCTCGATAGCTTAACCGATCCCAAGCGGGGTTGGCAAACCTTCAACAACAACAAGAACAACAACAACAAATGATCGTTTAAATGTATCAGTGCATCTATTTCGTTGAAATATCTCAAAGACTGATGAACTAATTTGACCATACGCAGACGGAGAGACGGACATGCCTAAATCAACATAACTCGTCATTCTGACCCGTCGGGCCAAAGTTAATATACCTTTCATGTATTATCAAGAAAGGTATAAAAGCAAAAAATATCGATAATGCACCGATTACCAGTGCATACCACCAAGGTTAGGGTCATGAATTCGAAACCGTTCATACTAATTATAAAAAGTAGCGATTGGCAATCGAAGGAAATGTCAGCCTTCAGAGGAAAATTTCTGACATAATATTTATAAAAGATCTTCATAAAAAGTAATCAACCGTTGCCAAATTTTCCGCGCTTTCTGCCGAACCACCAATAGCGCGATATTCTTACGCATTGACGATGGGCTTTAATCTTTCACACAATACGAGTACGCCAGATAAGAACTTATGCTCGATTGAGGAGGCATGGTGCAGATTATTTAATCCAAAATATATTTAAATATTTCGTATTCCATAATTGTTTCTTCTTCATTTTAATCAAATGCTAGCTGTTTTACAATGGATAATAATAATAATTGGTTTGAGTATTTGCAGATCATAGATTTATTTCAGCGCTGTGGGAGCTGTATAATACGAGCAATTCCTGTGTGGATTTGAAACAAAACTTGGTAAGGAAGATTAGTTATCTATGGAAATTTTATTTAGATATAATAAACTAAATATCTTTATATACATACATGCAATATAAATCTTTACTGGGTGTGATATAAAGTTGGCAAATATCGCATGTGTATGTGTGTACATCTGCACATGTATTTAAAGGGTGTTTTTTTTAGACGTTTGGTTTTCAATGAGGTTTTACTTTCTTCGGCTAGTGTGAAATTTCAAAAAAATCATATTTTAGTAGATTACACCTTTCAAAATAACATATAAAAATTTAAAATCAATATCTCAAATAAATAGTTTTTGAGTTTTAGCAATATAAAGAGCAGTCGCTCGGCAGCTAGAGAGTCTCATTAGCTACGAGTGAAAACGAACATTTTATCTTTAAACGCGTTTTTCTCGAAACAGCATTTTCCGAATTTGCTGCAGTGATTACTCAAAAACAAATGATCCGATCACTATCGAATTTTTTTTAAATGTTCTATATATAGTTCTCCGTACAATGACCTATCGATTTTTGATCTGATCAAAAAATCGAATTTTGACAGGCCAAAAACGACCAAAATTTTGGGTAAAATTCGACTATTTTTTTTTAATCATCATTGTACAGACAATATTATCTAGTAGAGAATATTTTTTTAGATTTCATCCACGGAGAAGGCCGGAATCACTGCAGCAGTGAAGTACCTCTTTTTTTTGCGCCGTTGGAGATCGACTATGACTTAAAAAATATTTAATTTTTTTCTTTAGAAATTTTACTGTATATTCTTGAAACATGTATAAATATATTCTAACAATTTTGAAATAATTGATAAAGTATTTTTTTTTAATAAAAATTCTCAAAAAAATCACCTGTTTTTAGGCCATTACACTAGATGTGCCCCTTAAACCAGACGGCGCTATACACCATACAGCCAAAGAAACAATCAATTTATAAAAGGAATCAAAAGTTTGCCTGTGGCGTGGTTATGTGGGGTTATACAAAGTCACTTGTCTACGCAGATAAGCCCTAGACGATGGAGAAATTTTTGACGTTTTGTTACTGCAAAAATTGATTGAAAATTGAGCCTCTCGGCTGGACTTTATTTGAGTCAATCACGACGGTCACTTGCAAGGAATGAGTTTTAAAACATAATGGCAATCACTTTTTTCGTAAAAACCATATGTTTTAATAAAAAAATCACCCTTTACATGCGTATATGTACATACATGTAACAAGCATGTATAATATTCACAAAAGAAAAATATATGTATTGTACATAATAGTCAAATGTTTCTTTTAATCTCTAGGCGCAATAAAATAATTGGTTAATAAAGCTTTTAATTTCAATAAGAAATACTAAGTTAATGATGAAAGTAGTAATGCTGATAACACACAGTTGAAAACAGTTGATAATCGGCGTTCTTGGCGGTAACATTAAAATTTATCCGAAATGTGGAATATTAATGCTGGTCGAATGTATTCGTGAAATATTTTTATAAAAGAGACTTTTATGGCAATTTGATGGGTGCTACATGAAATTATTTCAAATAATTTTCTTTTGAAAGTGGTAAGTTGTTTGACGAAAATATTTAACTATATAAAGATTTATGTATACATACATATTTATTTATTTTCATACAACAGTGTTTGAAATATTAGCAGTGGCATAACCAGGAATTTAAAAGTAAGAAAAATCGGTAGACCCCGGTAACCATTGTTTTGGCTTTCGGAATTTTGTGCAATTTTCATTCCAATTCGTATTACAAAGAACTATAAAAAACCCTAATTAGCTGTCATTTAATTAAAAAAAAAATTTGTATTATAAATATTATTGTCCTAACTACTTATTTGTGTGTGTGGCTCACTTTTTCGGTGCTCAAAGCCTTCTACGAAAATATCAATATGAATGTTTCGAAGTAAGCCAAAGGCGCCATTCGGATCTAGTTGAGAATATAGGAAGGGAAAAGCTTGTTTTGAAATAGATTGGGCCACTTGCCGTAAAAAAGAACTACAAGTAAAAAAGAACTATATACGAGGTGTGTTCAAAAAGTATCGCGAATTTTGAATTGCTTTGCTTTCACGTGTTTTAGATGGTCTTCGATTTTCACCAATTTAAAAAAATGGATCAAAGAACCTGTATTAAATTTTGAGTGGAAAACGAAATTAAGTGCGCAGATGCATTCCGAATGTTGACTGTGGCATACGGAGAAGCTACCTTGGACCGAAGCAACGTTTATCGGTGGTACAAAATGCAAATGCAATTTGCGCGAAGCAATCCGCCAGAAACGCCCGAATTTGTGGAAGAACAAAAATTGGCTTTTGCACCACGATAACGCCCCTGCTCACACATCGTTGCTTGTGCGCGACTTTTTGGCCAAAAATAACACACTAATGATGCCGCAGCCATCATATAAATAAATAATTTTTGGAAAAACACAAAATTCCCGATATTTTTTAAGCACACCTCGTATGTATATAGACTTCATACTAATCTAAGCAAAAAGCCACATATGTATCGTAATGTAAATCGAACCATAAATACGATTTTTTCGAATAGGTCAGTCCCTGATCCACTTTCCATAGAGAAGAGTAATCTTTCTGCCTGCCACCTAACCATAATAAAATTTTTTCCCAGAATTCGTTCTCTAGCCCACTTTGCGAAAAAAAATATTTCGTAATATAAGAAGAATAATGAAATACATTTAATTTTTTTTATTCAAGCTTCCAAGAAATTGGTTTCTTTAAAAACAATTTAAAACTCTTTTTTTAAATAAATAAAATGGCATGTTAATAGCAATATTTCAGCAGAGATTAATAGATTGAGATTTCACATCAACAATAAAAATACAAAATAAAAAGCTAAAATTCTAATAATAATTTCTCAAGGAGTATAGTTTACTAGGCTCTCTACACAACACTCCGTGGAGATTCTTAATTGACTGATCCGGCCAGTCCATTCGTTGTTTTTGTTGATAGAGTTGATAGGCCTATTTCAGCGAATTTCCTATTCAGCGACTCCATTATTTCAATGTACAATTTGGCAATATTTAATACTATTTAAGAGATATGTACCATATTAAGAATTGCGCTTCCATATGATGATTTCAGCTATTCATGTTTTACCGTCTGGGAAACTTATCTGTGATCAAATGGAGCTTATTCTGGCCTTTGTACATGTTTTCGCCATCCTTGACAACTAAATAAAATCACTTCATTTTGTCTGACAACAGTTTGTGAAATATTTCAACTGGTGCTCTTGAGCAAATTGAACTCTACCCTGAAGTAGTTGCATCTTACTTGGACTCCAGCCGAAAAGTTTAGCTGTTATAACTTTTATCTTATGTTGAACGCAGTGACACTAAGATTTAACTCATCTTTATTTTTGTAAGTGCAAAATGGTTTTTCGCGGACCAAAGCCAAAACTTTCTTCAACTGTAGCCGCGAAAGAGCCTCCTTCCGTCCCCTTTTTTTTGCGACTTGTCAACCATTTTTTAACATCCGAGACAATCTTTGATCAAATTTTATAAAATTTCGTTTTTCTTTAGAACAGTTTTTGCAAAAGAAATATTTTCTTCAAATCGGAAAAGCGATGAATTCGCTAAAAAATTAAATTGTTTTCGCAATTTCATTTCAATTCTTTTAAATAAATAATGTTTATTTCGTTTTCTCAGCTAGTTTAAATAACAGTAAAAGACTCCTACGTGGCACAGAAAATAATGGGGCTCGGAAACTGCTCGAAATTTTAAAGGTAATGTCATTATGCCTCTCTTATGGGAAGTGTTGTCCCTATTGGCATAAAAAAATCGGACAATCGATTTTCACAGACTTTTCTTGAGGTTAATTCTTCACCAACTAAATCATTCGTCATTTACAGGAACGGTTGGTAATCAATTCAGCCGGAGTGGATACATTACTACTTCAGAACCAAGCTCTCGGAGCATCTGGCTATTCATTATCGCTGAGTGTGGTCTGACTTTGTTCTGATGAAACACAATTCCCCTCCTGTTGGCTAAGTCTGGGCGCTTCTTGGCCATTTGCTTCCTTCAGATGATTCTTTTGAACTATCAAAAGATCCGTATTAAGAGTTTAGCAGTAGGGGAGTAGCTCATAGTGGATGATTCCTCGTCAATTCCCACAAATATTCAAAAACCTATTCCTGGCCGTCAATCCTAGCTTGAAGTACGTTTATGCCGGCTCTTCGGCCCTTCAACCACGACTGTTTTCGCTTGCCATTGCTGTTAGTGATCCACTTTTCATCACCAGCCACCATCCGCTTCAACAAGGGGGCGATTTTGGTACTTGATTGCCATATTTAGCTCACATGACGGTCGACGACGATTTCCATTATTTTATTGACATTTTCAACAATTGACTTCCACAATGTGGATCATCTTTTACATCAAAATTCGTTTCGGTAAAATCGGCGAAACCGAAATTGTGAATGATTGAGTGCTATATTATCAGGACCTCCTCCAATTTGTGGATTTGCGTCTTGATGTTTTTCAATCAAATGGAGGGGCCTACAGTTTATACTAAGCCGCCTCCTAAAGGCTGATGGTCTTTTTTTATGAGGAGCTTTATTCTATGTAAGAAATATACTCGGAAGGGTTGGCATTCCCTGCTGAGGGGCGACCGCAATTAGAAAACTTTACTTAATTTTTTATTTAAGTTAATTTGGATGTTCGACGGGGATTTGAACCCGATCCTTCCGAATGACAGCAGGCAATGCTAACCACTCGGCTGCAGCGGCCGCCAACTAGACCAATATTATTATTCCCAAACCACTGCTATTATTCGAACACAGTTGTACCTGTGGAAATAAATATTTAAAGCGAATACAAACTTAAATTTGTCTAATGTACCATTTTAGCACAAAACAGCTGCAGGCAGCATCTACCAATCGTACATGCGGTTGGAATACACATACATTCGTATAACACGGAACGCTGACTTTCAGTTATACCCACTCACACACACCTTCAAATCACACCTGAATTCAGCGAATGCATGTACTCGTATGTAAGTATTTATATGTGTTGCATACACTAATATATAACAGTAATTATTTTTCAAATATTTTATAGGAACTCGTACTCGTAAACTCGTAGACTTTCCTTTGCCAGTACATTAATTATACCAAATGATGTTAAGTGGCGACATAAATGCTCAACCATCAAATGCTAACATAAAGTCTCTACAGAGCAATAATAACATTAATTTGAATACAAATAAAAAAATTAAAAGTTTACATGAACTATTGCTGGAAATATTGGATGCGTCATTATCATGTGTTATAGTGGCACCTTGCGTCATTGCCTATTGGCGCGGCACCTGGGAGCTAATGGGTATTCTACTATTTCCGCAGAATTTGCCGCTATCTGCATTGATGTCCTTCTGTATAGGATTTATGGGTCATTTCATATTTACAATTACTCAAACATTCTTTCGAAGATATATCCATCCTGACAAGCGTCGCCTTACATATTATGTTATTTCGCGTTGTTACACGGCAATCTTTGGTGTGGTGTGTGTGAATATGTGGCGTGGCTCGTGGATTCTCTGTGATTGGCTAACCAGTGCGGACTCATTAATTATAATTACGATCGTAACGGTAGTGTCCTTAATGTTTCTAATTGCAACACGAACTGTACGAAATCTAGGTGCCGCCCCCTATACAGTTGCAATGGATCACAAAGCTGATTATTTTGATGTGGACACAATGTTCAAAATACCGGTAAGTCAAAAATACTAGCATATGCATACATAATATATTTTCTAAGGCGTAGATAAGATTTCAGCCGAAAACATAACTGGCATGTCTACATAAATGTGGGTTGTTCGGTAAGTAATATCGTGGGTCGTCTGGTAGATGTCTGGATCTGCATATTTTTTTAAGTCTACTCTACTAGCTTAAACTCATGTATTGTCTCCTCGTTGCTACTAAAGAACTTTCCTTTTAAATTATTTTTTATTTTTGGAAATAACCAGAAATCACAAGGTGTATAGTATCCGGGGAATATGGTGCTGGACATATTTCTTCGATCCTAGAAATCGCAATAAAATTACTGATTGTTTCTGCAGTGTGGGATGCCGCGTTGTCATGATGTTAAAAGTAACGCCCGAATCCTGTTTCTATCTGTTATCCAACAATTTTTTTGAAACTTTTGGTAAGCACTCTTCGGTGTACCATTTTGCACTTACCGTGTGACCATTTTCCAATGGAATAGCAGCTACAATTTTAGATTGGGTGAAGTAAACTGAGTTTTGCTGTTAACTTTTGTTGCTTAGATTTTAAGGCTGGCATTGCTTCTCTTGAGCTCCATATCATAGACTGCTGTTTGGTCTCTGAATTGTCCTTACAGAACAAAGATTTATCACCAGTAACGACTTCATTACTAGACTGATCATTTTCGAATTCGTTTATGAAAAATTGATCGAAAATGCATTCGAGCCTTTTTTTGGGTTAAAATTCGTGGTACCCAACGAGCAGATTTATTCGTATATCCCAGATTATTACTTAATATTCGCGATACTGCCGTGGCATTCAAGCCCAGTTTATTAGCAATCATTTCTTATGTCAATCATGAGTCTTCGCCAATTTTGGACTTCACCAGAGCTACAGTAACATAATCAATGGAAAACTTTGATCGATCGTCTCGTGGCTCGTACTCTACGGAAAAATGTAGGGTCTGTAGTCTTTGGAACTACTTAGAAATAGTATTTAAATACGGTGCAATCGTTCCATATGCAATTTGGCATTAACTGAATATTTGTATTTCCTGTAAATTACGCTGAAACCCGAAAAGAATAGAATGACGAATTTCTGTTTGCGTGGGTGGTGGTATTTCGTTTCTTGTGATATCAAATATATGGCATTTTTGTCAGGATAAAATATCTCATATTTGGACAAAGACTGTTTATTTACATATACATACATTTAAATACGTGCCCGGATTACCAATTTTCCTTATTTCAGATGCTTTTCTGTGTAGCTCATCGTGTATGGGCAGAATATCGGACAGGACTGACAGTTTACGGCCTCATTTCGACCAGTTTTGTCTAGAAATTCTGCAAATGGCAGTGTCTTTCCATCTTAATTCCGCCTGCCAATGTAGTATAAGGTCATGCTTTCTTTGTGGGAAAGAATCTGCTTGGTCGTGCCTAGCCTGGCAATTTCATTTGCCTTATATTTTGCATCTGTGTTCCTGGGAACAATAAAAGATGATCTGTTGTGTTTGACCGTCTGCTGCAGATACAGACAATATTCCATTTTTTTCAAACCGTTGGAAGCTACCCTTGCTTGTGAGTTAAGTTCCAACCCAACCATCAGCCGTTCGGAGGCGGCTTAGTATAGATTGTAGGTCCCTCCATTTGTTGGAAAAACATGAAGACGCAAAACCACAAATTGGAGGAGGAGCTCGGCCGAAAAATCGCTTCAGCGGTTACAAAGCGCTATCTATATACATATCTATATAATATTGGGGATCACATTTGAGGTCTCATTTGGCCCCGTCTCTAGCGCTCCACTAATGAAAGTTAACGTTTATCTTCCTCAACTCACAGCCACCCCATACAAAAGTATTGGTCTCACAACAGATGTAAAGACTGCATGACAAATCATATCATTAATATCAGACGAAACAAACGGATAATCTCAATAAGTTTTTACGAGCTATAAGGTACAGACTTTGTAAATTTACTTTGTGCTACGATTACAACTAACGGTTATATGTAAATAAAATAAATAATATTACTTACATTTTATGATTCGTCTCATCTACAAAATTCGTTATCGTTAGCGTTATCACCGTTTACTGTTATTGTACCTGTTACTGAAATTTATGTATATATGTTTGTAAAGATGTCTATAAAAGGCTTTGTCTTGAATGGTCGACGAATCAATCTACAACCTAAACCACTGATCGTAAAGATCTCAAACACAGAATGTTTGTCTTAATTTCCAGCGACAGTGGTGTTCGCCTATGCTAAATAACGCTTAAACTCCAAAAATGTTTCTTAAATGCTTTTTTCGAAAACTCCTCATGCCGATTCATCAGAAGTTTTCATTGTATATGCCTCTGCTCTTTATAGCAGAATAGGAACTACGAACGAAATACATTGTGTATCTCATTGAGACAGAACTTTAATTTTCGATTGCCTACTCTGTCCAGAGTAGCACCTGTTGGCAAGAAAGATTCTACGTTGGATTTCATTGCGGTTATTGCTGATGGTGTGGATATTGTTTTCTAGATACAAAGAATCGATTACAACTTCAAAGATATCACGGTCAACAGTGATGTAGGATCCAAAATGCGAGTGGACCGATGACAGTATTGACTTGGTTCGCGTCGATTCTTGGTCTAGTTCAGGGAAAGCAGAACTAACGGAGAGCCTTATTATCCAACTTTGAAGACTCCTTCAAATATTCGAATATCTAAGATGAGTTCTAGCCAAGGCTGGGCAGAAATAGAGAAGCTCATACAATGTCTCACTCAGTACTCTCTCAATACACTTCTCACACTTGACTACATGGCTACTAATACACATTCTGCTTGCCTGGGATGCAAGTAGGCTGTAGCCTGTCATTAGGTCTACAGCTCTCTTGCAGTGAACGGCTAAAAAAATGGGTGTTTCCCTTGCTGCTCTTGAACATGGTTGGTTTGGCATGTCTTTAATGCATTCTATTTCACTTTGTTCCGATCTCGATTACTCTAGCAACTTTTGTACTGCACTGCACTGGGCTCGCTAGCAAGACAGATGGCACTTTTGGTAGATCGTATTTGTTGAAAATGATAAAAATACAAACAAGTACGAATGAAAGAAAGAATACTTTGAAAACTAGAGGAAAAGGGGGCAATATGTGAAATTAATTTTAAAATTTTACGCAACTAATTTTATATTCATTTATACATATTTTTTATTTTATTTGATTTATTTCACTAGGGTTTTCATCAGCCTGGATTATACGTATTGGACACTTTATTTTCCGTTTTAGTCATTGGTACTTTAGTTGTTATTGTATGGAGAGGAGTATGGGGTATAATGGATATAACATTTTATCCCTTCAATAGAACAAAATCGTCTTGGAGCTCATTGGTAAGAAAGAAACACACAAAATTTTCTATTAAAAAATATAAAAAACCGCAACAAACTTCAGTTTAAAGGGTGTTTTTTAGACGCTATGGATAAAAATTTAGTTTTATTAAGTCATTTCGTTTAAATGGTTTCGTGTAAGTTATCGCCGCGGCTAACCCGAATAAATTCCAACCGAGAGGCCCAATTTTCAACCGCATTTCGCAACAATTGGGGCGGCATATCAGCATTAACGAATACTCTCTTCAAAGACGTCAATCGTCCCAGCCTTATATGCGTATGCCCATATACAATTTTCCAGTGATGTTTCATTCAATAAATTGATTAAATCCTTGGCTATATGACATGTAGCACCGTCTCGGAACCAAAAGTCGTCCATATCAACATCCTCCATTTCTTACACAAAAAAGTTACTAGTCATGATTCTATAGCATTCCCCATCGACTGTAACATAATAGTTCTCAAAAAATGCCTTGTGGATTATTATCACTCCAAGTGCGACAATTTCATTTCTTAACGTACTCATTCAACAAAAATTTAGCTTCATCGCTGAACAAAATTTTCTTATGAAAATCGGCATCGATGGCCATCTTTTTTTGGTCCTATTCACCCAACGTATGAAGCGCCCAAAGGCAGTTCGGCTTTAATTCTTGCACGAGTTGGATTTTGTATGTCCAAAACCCAAGATACCTCCGAAAATCTTCCACAAAGTGGTGTTCTTCTTTGGGCCTTCTTTGATAATCTGCTGCGTTATCCACTACAACAGACGTGGTGCGAAACCGATCCAATGGTTGCTCGAATTACCGACTCTGCTGAGCGATTATGTCGACGGAAAATTGGACTCGGCGCGCGAACAAACTGAGTATAAAGCATATAACAGCTGCCCAAAAGACAAACGCGGAATTTATTAAAAACCACACAGCTAAAAACAACACCCATTATTTCTCGGTGAGTGGGACAGTTGCTCAAAAGAATTACATTGCAAAGTAAAAACTTGGCAACGGAAAATTTGTGAACTGAACTCATGAAAAACTTGTCAATGTAAACCAAAATCACTCTAACTATTTCAAAATAAAACTTCGTCGAATCAGTGGAATTTTTTTAAATACCGCAGATTCGGGTGATTATAAAAGATTTTAATTCGTAGTTGAAAGAAGCAGAAGAAATAAGTGGGGACCTTTTTTGAAATTCGTTATAATTTTCTTCAAAATATAAAAACTGACAAATTTGGAGAAATTACGCGAGACCTTTGGAGTCCCTCCGTCAGCGTTTCCCAAAGGAACACTTTTACTTAAATATTTTATTCCCTTTTTAAGTATTTTCTTTAATAATATTATTTTTTAATTAAATAGGAATTATAAAAAGAATTCACTATAATTGAAGCGTAACTTCAGTCGTTTATCGCAATATAAAAAGCGCAAATTTTATACAATTCTATTATAAAATCTGCTTTCTTAATAAATTTTGACGTCATAAAAGCCACCACCATGCTTATAGCTCGCGAGTTAAGCTATTAACTTGCGAGACCGATTTACTTGTAGTATAATAATTTGGTGAGCTTTCATTTGTGCTTATAAAAATATTGTACAATAGCAAACTTTCGTTCACTATTGTAACAATAGACTCATGTTGTATTACGTTTGTAAAATAAACAAGACTTGTGTTTGTATTTTATAGATCCTTGGCTATAGCACAGTCATCATCACGTTCATTATTAGGCCGATTATACGATGTGTATGCAAAAAAATTGACGGAGTCTGTAAATTGATTATTTGCGACATGTTCTATTTTTTAATTTTTTTCGGCGCTGTGAACGCATGGCGCGGTATTTGGAATCTACTGGATATATACGTGTACCCAGGTAAGTGAAAAAGTGAAAATCAAGCTCAGCTTTAGGATGGGAAACTTTCTTTGAATTCATCTTAATCAGACAAATAAAAACAGTGGACACCTTAGCTTAGAAGCTACGACCTAAAGATGCGTAGTCATGAACGAAAGCAAGACCAACATACAAAATTAATAGAAAAAGTATTTTTTGAATGCGAACGCCCCTCTCATCATTTCCGTACTATATACTACTATATATTGATAAGTGCATAAGTTCGTGCCCGATTCCGCTGGATGCCGTTCGAATGGTGCTCGTGAAAGAAATATATACATATTATATATCGTTGGAAAGGTAACTTCATTTTGTTTTGAGTTGCTTAGTGAAAAGACGCATGGAAGATGGACAACGAAAAAGATCATATGCGTCATATTATGTTATACGAATTCCGCAAAGGAAAAACAGTAGGCGCTGCAACTAAAGATATTCGCGAAGTTTATTTGGACCGTGCTCCAGCACTCCGCACAGTAAAGAAATGGTTCGCGAAATTTCGTTCTGGAGATTTTAACCTCGAAGATCAACCTCGCAGTGGACGGCCTTCTGAGCTTGATGACGATGTTCTAAGGACTTTAGTTGCGAATAACTCACGTATTTCGACGGAAGAGGTTGCCAGTGAATTGAACGTCAACAAATCAACTGCGTTTCGTCGTTTAAAAAAGGTTGGGTACACTTTGAAGCTCGATACATGGGTGCCACATCAGTTGAGTGAAAAAAACAAAGTGGACCGTATGTCAACAGCAATTTCTTTGCTTCGACGGATCAAAAACGAACCTTTTTTGGATCGGCTCGTGACTGGTGATGAAAAATGGATCCTGTACAACAATGTTCAACGCAAAAGAACATGGAAACAGGCACACGAAGGGGCGGAACCGATGTCGAAAGGTGGATTGCATCCGATGAAGGTACTGCTGTGCATTTGGTGGGATATCCGAGGCGTGATCTATTTTGAGCTCTTGCCAGCTGGAGAAACGATCACTGCCAACAAGTATTGTCAGCAATTGGTCGAATTGAAGAAAGCAATTGATGAAAAACGTCCGATTTTGGCCAATCGCAAAGGAGTTCTTTTCCATCATGACAACGCCAGGCCACATGTTGCAAAACCGACCCTGGCCAAACTGAAGGAGATGAATTGGGAAATCATGCCGCATCCCCCATATTCACCCGACATTGCACCTTCTGATTATCATTTGTTTCGATCGCTGCAGAACAATTTGAATGGAAAAAAATTTAAAAATGTGGAAGACGTCAAAAACCACCTTGACACCTTTTTCAACGAGAAACCGCGCGAATTCTATGAATCAGGCATCCGTAAATTGGTTGAACGTTGGGAGTGGATTGCCGAACATGATGGCGAATACATAATTGATTAATAAAAGCGCTTTCTTCAAAAAATTTCATTTTTAGTTTGCATTTGAAATCGGGCACGAACTTATGCACTCATCCAATAGTAATGAGGCATGGACGATGTATGGTCGGTTGCGCATTGGCATTGGCGAGTACCGTAGTCAATGGGACGATAAATAGTATGTAATATATAGTGTTATAGACATACAGTGGCTCAAACTCAAAATGCGACACGGTGAGAACTTGTGAAAAAATATTGATTGAGTTTAAATTGTAATTTTTTACAGCAAAAGGTAACCAATATATTTTTTACATATATTAACTACTAATTTCTCGCAAACATGACAACTCTAGCTTAGCTACATTGCAACTCTACCAAAATAAACATGCAAACATACTATTTGTTCCACCTCGAAAATCACCAGACTTAAATGTCATTGAGCATGAATGGGAAGAATTGGCCAGGGGGGTATTTAAAAGCCGATTCAACTCAACCACGACCTCAAAACCGCAATAATAACAGAATTGCAAGAAATTAGTGGAATCTACGCCAAGCCGTTTTAACGGCAAAAGGGCTACCAAATATTAATTTGAAAAAAAAAAAATCCAAATACAAATAAAGATAAAAATAACCCATATAGCGTCGCCATGTAGTTCGACGAGGGTTGCCAAGATAGCGATATACTAGAAGTAAATATATGTACTTTTTGCGTATGAGCCAGTGTAGTTCAGGGTTTCATGAATGAGAACACTACAGCTTTGATGCAGTACCCACCGGTACAGAGGGAGAGGACCTCCACTCCGGTCAAAATATCAAATGGAGAAGAGCCTGATTACGTTTGGCATTTCTATTTGTCATCAAACGGCAAAAACAAGAAAGGGTTGACGCACTGTTATTAAATTGGCGGATGGGTTTTTTTACGAGGAGCTTTATTTCATGTCCGAAATACAATGGGTGGGGTGAACATTGAATGCCGAGGGGTATTTTAAATTAATTTCCCATAATTTTTGGATGTTGGTGACACTGGGATATGAACCCGAGCCTACCGAATGCTAGTACGCAATGTTAACCACTCGGCTACTGCGCTAATGACAATGACTCATATTTAGTATAGTTAGACTCCTAATTAGTATAAATACGAGGTTTCATTGTAATTAGACATTTAGTCTTTGAGGTGTAGTCAACCAAGTAACATATTGAATGAGATGTCATTAGTTTACGGCGTCTCTGGTCCGGGAAAAACGTTATGTGGAAGTAGCACAGTTTATTTAAACAAGGAAAGGAATACCTTGAAGGCGACCCAAGGCCAAACAGGAGCACTGAGACGACGATTAGAACTTCGCTAGAACTTATCTAAAAAGTTTAAAAAAATGTGGCCTCTACGATGCTCGACTAAAAAAGAAACAACTCGCAGAAATGGTTGGAGTATCCGATACAACCATTTCAAAAATCCTTCACAATCATCTTGGCATGACTAAGGTTAACGCAAGATGGGTACTGTAATGAACAGGAAGGTGGTGTTATTAACTACAAAATTTTGAGCGCTAGTAGTACAAACAATAATTCTTGAAATCTTTTACAAATGTTATGCCAATGATGTTGTATTATTCACACTTTCAAATTCAAGCAAAACTCAACACTTTGAAAGCACATATTTTTCGTAAAGCAGACACCTATTGAAATATTGAAATTTTTTTTAAAACAAAAAGCGTTTTCGTGCGTCAGAAATTATGAAATAATTATGTTACAAGGGCTTGAGTAGTGACTCGCCATCTGTACTCACCATTCCCTACCATTACAGAGAGTAATTAAGTGGTTAATGAGAAAAATTCCTTAAAAAAAAGTTTTTTACTTGTTTCATACGTGTAATTATCAAATTAATAATTTAAATATTTCTCTTATTTACAGACAACAAGGTGCTAAGTTATTGGTTAACTCATCTCATACCATTCCTTGTACTAGCTGCCCTCAAATGCTCAAATTCCGTACTAGTTCGCGGTGTTTTCATTGACGCAGAAGGTTCACCCGATGAATGTGTCCAAATACCGATAAACTATGTTAAACTACATTTTGAACGTGAACGCAGTAAAAAATCGGTTTATAAATGTCATCAGACGAATATTATGAAAAGAGCGAATAAGGACGCGCAAATCAGATTAATCGAGAAATCGGACAAAATAGAGATTAAGGCACAACCTGATAGAGATTTAGTTCGTAATGTGTAATTATAAGTATTTACATTTGTATGTATGTTAATGCACATAGAATATTTCAAAATATGTACATAAGACAACCAAGAAAAATGAAAATAAATTAGAGTGATAAGAACTATGTTAATACGTCTTATTTGAAAATTCGAAGAAAGTGGTATTGAGTGCTGCATGAGTAAGTAAAATTTGATTTTGAAAACACCTCATTTGCGTTATCCTAAATTTTATTGATTCGTACACTTTTTTTTGACTTTCGGAACAACAACAAAAGGTATGGGAATGCATTTTTCTATTCGCTTGTATTCCTGCCAAACAGTTTTTTTTTACAGTTTTAGATTTCTTCTAAGTACCGCCGAAGATTTCACTCCTTGTTAACTTCTTGCCTGACTGCATCTGAAAATCTATTAAGTTTGAAATACCAAATTTTACGCTCAAAATCTCATAACGGAAAAAATTAGTTGTATAAGGGCTATATAATATAGCCTACCGATTTCGATGATTTTCAGTTCTAATATTAGAAATTAGGTTCTAATGCTTTATTGAAGTATTTATGACCGAAAATCACATATGAGAACATAATGTATACATGCGAGATATGTGGATCTGACCGGCTGCATTACAAAAATACGTCCGCATGTTAAGTCTTATTCAAATATCACGTTTGGAACTGACTCCGAAACTAGGAGACTAGTTTGCGTTGGAGCAAACGAATGGACAGAAAAGCAGACAAACAGACTGATACAGCTAAATCAACTCAGCTCACCATTCTAATCATATCGACATAAATTTTCATGGATCTATCTTTTCTCCTTCTTTTACTTAAGTATTATATTTCATGATTTCGATTTTATTGAAATACCTCAACATTTCGGCTAATTATGAATTTTTCAACACATTTTAGATTGTGTAGCCTTCTATGGCTGTAATGGCAACTTCAATTTCGGGTTGCAAATCGTCTCTGGATGGTTAACTTACACCTAAAGGGAACCCTCCCCTGATTTTGGATAAAAAGAATGGATTTTTTACGCAAAGAATTAGAGATATATATTTGTAGAGTATGTGTTTAAAAGGATTTTGTAATATATATGTATATATATAAATTGACACTTTCTAACCGATGAAGCGATTTTCGGCCGAGCTCCTCCTCCAATTTGTGGTTTTGCATCTTGATGTTTTTCCAACAAATGGAGGGACCAACAGTTTATACTAAGCCGCCTCCGAACGGCTGATGGTTTGTTTTATGACGAGCTTTTTATTTCATCTCAGAAATACATTCGGATGGGTTGACATTCCTGCCGAGGGGTCACCGCTGAAGCGATTTTCGGCGGAGCTTCTCCTCAATTTGTGGTTTTGCGTCTTTATGTCTTTCCAAAAAATGGGACCTACAGGTTATACTAAGCCGCCTCTGAACAGCTGATGATTTTTTTTCACGAGAAGCCTATATTTCATGGCCGAAATACACTCGGCTGGGGAGCATTCCTTCCCGAGAGAAACCGCAATTAGAAAATTTAACTTAACTTTTATTTTTATTTTCTATATTTTTTTATTTAAATTAATTTTCCATAACTTTTAGATGTTGATAGCACCGGGATATGAACCCGAGCCTTCCGTATCTCAGTACGAAATGCTAACCACTTGGCTATCGGGGCCGCGATTTTGGGATTTTGCAATGTGATGAATATTTTTCAATTGGTAGCTTCTCGAACACACCTGTCTGACGCACGCACGCACGCAAGGCAAACTTTCAAAAAACTTTTGAACGCGTTTTTCTCGAATGTTTTCGGGCTTGATATATCCGTCCGTACATAGTTCTCTGAACTTAAGATTAGCATTAATGATTAATTATTTATATTTTTTTAACGCAATTCAAGTGGAGGAAGTAGCAAAAAATTTAACTTTATAATTACATTGAGCACTATGCAATAAATTTATGCTTAATATTGTCTCAATTGAGGTTCAGGACGTAGAAAATTCCTCAATCTTCAAGTAATGATAACGATTTTTGATTTCAGTCTACTACAAGAGGCTGCAGGCTTGAAGTTCGTGGGCCATGTTTTTCGCGCAGAGGCCGACAGAGAGCGCCATTTTGTAGCCGTCATTTTGAATTTCGACTACTTTTTTGCCGTTTTAAAATCTTAAATAATAAAAAAATTTAATAGTCAGAACCGGAAATTCGTACGCCTTTTCATTCTCCCACAAAACAAATACAAACTTTGCCTAATCTTTGTCCAATATCAGGGCCGAGTCCCCTTAAAGGCGCCCTACAAAAAATAGTCCAACAGAGTCAAATGGAAGTTACGAGGTTCGAGTGGCATTGCCGTTTTGGCTAATAACGCAAATTTCGAGCACCCGTGCAAAATAACGATTGTAATGTTGGCTCAGCGGTACGTAGAGTCGCTTAGTTGAAAACACACAACATCCATGCCATTCTTTGCGATATTTGGAAACAAATACGCTTAGTTTTCAATGAAAATGAGCCAATGACGCGGCTGACCCACATGCACCCATAAACAATAATCGTCGTGGATGCATTGGCTTCTCCTTGGCTACATGTGGGGCTCCTAAGCCCCAAATGAGGTAGTTAGTTTTGCAGAGCTGCTCATCTTCTGTAAATCGACCTTTAGCCCATTGAGCGATGGTCATTAGGCTTCAGGTCTTGAACTAATTGTACTTTATAAGCTTTCATACCGAGGTCTTTGTGCAAAAAATATTCTGATCTGAAAGCACTGGACGAGCCGGCAGGCGAGTTGTTTTGTCCAACACTACTTTGGAAGCAAGCTTAATAAATTTCCCAATCGTATGCTTAACTATTTCATTTTACTGAATATTTGACAAATCGAGAAAGTCGAAGAAATTCGCTGAATATGTCAAAGCTCAAATAACCAGTAGTTCAAAGAGCAAATAATAAATGGCCCACACTTTAAGAAATAAATATAACATAATATTTTTAGAATTTGCTTTCTAAGCAGAGAGTTCCAAGCATCCAATGTTTGAAAGGAGATCATTTTAATTCAAGGAGAACAGAATTCAAATCGAACATCGAGCCAATGTCTATCGAATCGAACTACAGAATAAGGTTCCTCATTTCGGGCCATAAGCATAATTCTACCGAGAAAATGAACCTGGTGCAAGTCATCTACTGTTTGCCTAGCAGGGGGAGTACTGATGTGAGACAGGAGGCAAAGAAGCAGAATATTACTATTTACCAATTAGCAATGTAGCCCCATACTCTTCTCTTCTTTCAAGCAGATATTATAGGCATAGAAAGTGACCCAGGTCATACGGATGTAAAAGCCAATGAACGGACGGACGTGCTGGCAAAACTGTCACCATTAACTGCTTCGACCTTACAGGGCCTTCAAATGCTGTCTAAAACAGTTAGCCACAGAGAAACCCCTAAAACAACTGTGTCTTGTAATAAACAAAAGAGAACTTGGTATTCTAAGGGGGATATCATTTCCAGAAGTTAGGTAAGTTGGAATCGGCTGAGTGTCGATTGAGACGTCATATCTTCGCAATGTTCCTAACACCAAACTTGCGAAAGTACACATGATTGCCTGAAAGATATTAAAAGAGTCCTTAAAATCGAGCAAATGAAACTATTCAGATGCTTGGGCGCCGTCGCTTGTGGTGAGATTCTCCTTCTTCAACTAACCAACCAAGCAATCATCAAAAACCATACTAAAGGAAAAGAATTCCTTGATTACAGATGTTGAACTAGTCATGCACGCTGAACGAAATGACACCTCTAAAGTTGCTTTCTTTCTTCTTCTTTATTGGCGTAAACACCGCTTATGCGATTATAGCCGAGTTAACAACAACGCACCATTCATTCCTTCCTTTTGCTGTTTGGCACCAATTGAAAATACTAAGTATAGCCCTTTGAAACGGTGTGGAGGTCCTCCTCTTCCATTGCCTAGGCAGCAGAACCACTATCTCTTGATTCGCTGAACTATGTTAATGTCGCCGTACAGCTTCCAACTCGCAGAGGACCAAAAATCTTAAGCAAAACCTTACTCCCGAAAACATATAATACCGACTCATCAGATGTCGTCACTGTCCATGCCTTCGCATCATATAGCATGTCGGGAACGTCGAGGGACTTGTAGAATTTGGTTTTCGTACGTCGGGAGAGCACTTTATTTTTCCTTTGCGTACTCAGTCCAAAGTAGTACCTATTGGCAAGAGTTATTCTGCGCTGGATCTCAAGGCTGACGTTACTATTGGTTCCGAGATAAACGAAATAAGTGCGCCTTCAAAGTTTTGACGGTTAGCAGTGATGTGAGAGCCGAGTCGCGAATGCGATGACTCTGTTTATTCGACGACAGGAGATAATTCCTTTTGTCGTATTTGCATCTCTTATTGATATTGTAATTGACGGCCAAATCAGCTTAATAAAGATGCCGAAACGCCATACGTTATTGAAAGAGCAAATCATTTGAGAAAAGTCGCATGTTTAATATAAATTATTTACTAACAAAATCTCAAGAAGATAAATTTTATTTTCAGGGTCGCGGCGAATGAATTCCTAAAATTAATTATTTACACTTTTTGACTTTTGAAAATTTGGACACTTATGTGTGTCCTAAAAATAACCGAACTTTATATTTAAATCATACAACTTACAGCGCCATCTATTGAAAATTTGCAACATTAAAAAGATACATTCATCCTCTTTCAAACGCGCCTAACATCATGTAAGTCGGATGACAGATGTAAAAGTGACAGCCATTTCAATAAAACTAAAAGTGTGCTAATGGTTCAAAAATAAACTGGAACAAAGAGCAAATATAAAATTTTGTGTCAAACTTGAAAAAAAATTAATGAAAAAAGTTTATTGTGATGATTGTATGTGTCATACGCAAGTTTTTAAGTGGTTTACACGATTTAAAAATGGTCGTGAGGATTTAAATGACGACCCTAGAGCAGGACGTCCAAAAAGTAGTAATCCTGCTGAACTGGTGGAAAAAGCCCGTGAATTCATTGGTATCGATGCAAATTTTACTATGAGAATGTTGGCTGAGGAATTGAATACGAGTAAAAAAACTATTTGGAGAATTTTAACTAAAGATTTGGGGAAAAGAAAGGTCTGTGCGCGATTTGTTCTACATGAATTAAAAGACGACCAAAAAATCGCTCGAATTTTTAATGAAAAAAAGCGATTTCTCTCATCGACCATCCTTCGTATTCGCCTGATCTATTACCAAGTGACTATTTTTTATTTCCAAAACGGAAAACCAAGATGAAGGGAGCATTTTATAATGATATCCCAGCCATTCAAGCAGCCGTAACCAAGGTACTGAAGAACATTTCCATAAATTCCATAAAAAAAATCTATGCATGCGCTGGTTGATCGTTCCAAACGTTGTGTTGAGTCAAATGGAACCTATTTTGAATTAATAATAACTTTCAAAGATAATATAATGTGTATTTTATTTTATATCCAAAAAGTTCGGTTATTTTTGGTACACACGTATGTAGTCATGAACTATAGTTTGCGTTAACGAGTGCGCACTGTATTCACATATACAATATATTTATGGCACGATTTGGTTCATTTTTGTAGCATTTATTGACATACAATACATAAGTATATTGACGAGAGAAAATAAATTTAGTGCATAAAAATGTGCCTTACTGCAAGATCTTGTGAATTTCGTAATTTATTTTTAACTTTAGCATGCGCTTTGTTGCAGAAATTCCATTTTACATTACTAGGCGTTGCTACAATGAATGTTTTACTCACCTTTTGTAATGAGATTTAGTTTCTTCACAATACTATAAATGTTTTCATAATAAAATGTGATACTAACATTTATTTTTAACCGAAACAACTTGTTCGATAGACAGTTGTTATGGATGGAAAATTTTAATTAAGGTAATTACTTTATTTTAAATAATTAGTGGTTTTAGAGAAGAAATAAAACGTATATAATCTAATAATATGCCCAATATTATATTCAAGAATTTTATTTTATTGTAATTGATTTCGGAGCAGTGACCGCCGCGACTGGCTCGAATAAAATCCAGCCGAGAGGTTTATTTCGACTACCTTTTTCAGCAATTGGGGCAGTATGTCCAAGGCGTCCATCGTCTCGGTCTCATGTGCGAAGACAAGCAACTTTACATAACCTCACAAAAAATTGTCCAACGGAGTTAAATCGCACGATCTTGGAAGTCACGCTACAGGCTCCCGACGCGTGATCATGCGCTCACCAACAGTTTTCTTTAATAAATTGATTGTTTCGTTCTATGCCAGCCATGTAGCGCCGTCTTGTTGAAATCAAAAGTCGTCCACATCAAAATCCTGTAATTCAGGCAGGGAAAAGAAAAAGTCATTCATCTTTGCTTTATTGCCTTACCCATTGACTGTTACATTATTTCCAATGAACCAATGATTCCCTCTGCAAATACACACAAACAAAATCGTATGTGATACGCCACGGGATGGTAATAAATTTGCACGGTTTACAAACGCTGTTCCGAAATAACTCTATTCCATACGAAAATGCGAACCAAACGGAGTATAAATCTAGTTACGGGTGCCAAAGTTGGGGTTTTTGGGCAATTTCTTCCTTCAGACGGTCCGATTGCTGTCAGTGCATGTCAGAATGAAGAGTTTGACCGAAGAGAAACAGATCATAGTAAAAAAATCATGAAGACAGGTGGTTTTTTTCGGTGTTTACCGTGGTGGTACCCCTTAAAAGCGCCTCGCTGAAAGAATTAATGGCTATCCCAAAGAACGAGTCTGAGAAATTTTATGAAAACGATCTCGTTGTTTTTTTTTTTTTTTTTGAACACACCTCGCATACTCGTATATGATTTCGAAATTTACTTTTCACGGAATAAGTACAGCCTTGGCCAAAAGTATTAGGCACCCACTAAAATATAAATATTCTCAAATGTGGCTATCAAAGTTATCACTCCTTTTTGTAAATGTTTTCCATGGGTGTTTAACAGTTGATTAAGCGAATAAATGACGAGATTCCACAATAATAAATCAAAAAGTAGAAGAAATCGTCTAACCTGTAAACGAGAAGAGCGAATACTTATACGCGAGTCTTTCAAGGATCGCAAAAAATCTTCTTCTGCCCTTTGCAGCTGCCCTTTCGGATGAATTTAGTAAACCAGTTAGTGCTCAAATAGCTAGAAGAAAACTTCGGGAAGCAGGTTTAAAATGATGGAAAGCCCGAAAAAAGTCGTGGTTCTCAGAAAAGAATAAGAAAAATCGTTTGGAATGGGCTCGCCGATGCCAACATTTCACGGAAGAGGATTAGTCGAATGTTATGTGGTCTGATGAACCAAACTTCGAGGTAAGCTTAGTTAAGATCGTCTTAAACTATTAACAGCCATAGCATAGTACCCTAGAGCAACTTTGGAGACATAATACAAATCTTAGGAAAACATTATTTTTTCTTTTCAAATTGCGTGGTACCCACTGTTAAGCATGGAGCAGGCAGCATTATGATCTGGAACTGCATGGCGGCTGATGGTGTCGGCGAGATGTTCGTTTGCGAGGGTCACATGGACAGTCAAAAGTACATAAATGTATTAGAAACTGTTCTTCTGCCTTCGTTAATGCGCATTTTCGGTGATACTAATTTAGACGAGGTTCAATTACAGCAAGACAATGCTCCTTGTCACAAATCAGCGACTACGATGCGTTGCTTTAGAGATAACAACATTGTTTTGTTAGATTGGCCTGCATAATCTCCAGATCTTAATTACATTGAGCACATGTGGGCTATTTTAAAACGCAAGATTAAGGAACACAGTATAACATCAAAAACTGCCTTAAAGAATGCCTTATTTAACGAGTTGTACGCTATAAGTGCGGACGAATGTGCAAAGCTTGTACCTAAGAGAATCGCTGGCGTTGTTAAACCGAAGGGTGCACCTACTAAATGTTGATGTTATTATCACTAATTCATTGCATTTTCACTGTTTTACTAATAAAGTTTCATTACTTCAAAGAAAAAGAAATTCCAAAATTTTCAAAGGAAAATATTCATAAAACCGCCATTGTGACGTCATTTCCTGTGACCCTTGCCGGGAAGTGGGAACGTCTACGTTGGCAGTAGAACTCATTTCAAGAACATCCGAAGTGAAGAAAATAATATCGTGTTTAATATCATAAACTAGAACTGAAATAAAGGAAAATAGAACAAGAGTGAGAATTGGATTTTTGGCATTTTTTTTTGACAAATAAATAAAAATGCACATTTTTTGCAAAATTTGCTCAACTTTTACTTTTAGATAGCTAAATTGCTGTAATTGTATCTCGGAGACCTGTGGTCTAAGCTTGGTAGATAGGAGGGAGAGAATGATTAGGAATAAAAAAATATGATAAATTATACCCATAAATGTATTAATCGAGCCCAATGGCTCTTGAAGAAGTTCCGAGGTGAAGTCCATAGCAAAATATAATATATAAATATGAACAATAGACTATGTTACTTTAAGAATTTATTGGGTTGCCCAAAAAGTAATTNCGTTCATCATCACATAAAAAGTCTTGGACAGGTGAAAAAGCTTGATATTTGGGTACCACATGTATTGAAAGAAATTCATTTCACACACCGAATCAACGCATGTGATATGCACCTTAAACGCAATGAATTCGATCCGTTTTTAAAACGAATCATAACGGGAGATGAAAAATGGATTGTTTACAACAACGTTAGTCGAAAACGATCATGGTCCAGCATGGTGAACCAGCTCAAACCACTTCAAAGGCTGATATCCACCAAAAGAAGGTTATGCTGTCTGTTTGGTGGGATTAGAAGGGTGTCGTATACTTTGAGCTGCTTCCAAGGAACCAAACGATTAATTCGGATGTTTACTGTCAACAATTGGACAAATTGAATACAGCCATCAAGGAGAAGCGACCAGAATCTTTATAAATAGTTGGAGTGAGAGTGATCACTATACAATTATTGGCACCTTTAAGATATTGTTGGTGTTGGCAAAAATCAATCCATGTAAATACAAGCAAGGCGTTGAACTCTAATTAAAAATTGTAGGAGGGTCAGAGTGACTTTTACTACGGTGATTGGAGTTGATTTAGGATGATCATTCCGTCTCAGCGCTACTCCTTACCATCCTCACCCACCTATCCCTAAAAGCTTAGACACCTGTGTAAAATTTCATAAAAATCGGTTGAATAGTTTTCGAGAACTTTAAAAAACCAACCTTAAAAACACAGTTTCGAGAAAATCGATTTTAGTGCTTACTATTTCTGAGTCCTCACCCTGACAAGGCTATATCTCTAAAGCGTTTATTCGGTTCGTCTTGGTAATTTCGGTTAACATCGCGTACAGACATTCGCAAGGCCAGAGTTCGAGTTCTGGTTCCAACAACTTCCAAAAGTTATAGAAAATTTATTTAAATAAAAAATTTAGTTTATTTTTCTAACCACGTTTGCCAGCGAATGTCAACCCCTCCGAGTGTATTTCTGACATGAAATAAAAAATCTTCTCATAAAAAACCATCGGCCGCTCGAAGGGGGCTTAGTGAAAACTGTAGATTCCTACATTTTTTGGGAAACATCAAGACGCAAAACCACAAATAGGAGGAGGAGCTCGGCCGAAATTCGCTTCAGCTATTACAAAGCGCCAATAATTGTATATTCTAGATGTTGTAGAAATTGATGAGACAAAAACGATTTTTTAGAGCTGTAAGATCTATTAATCCTTTTAAATGTCCTACATTTAATGCTCAGCATTTGTTAATTTTTTTTATTCAGTGAATTTGCTTGTTATCGTTCTAAAAAGTTGCATACGAAATTAATTTCTCTTTGTTTAATTGGGTACACGCGCTCACCTGCACACATACATACAAACACACATACATGCATACATATATCAAATGCATTAAATTCAATAAGCCAATTGTAGGGTTGTGTAAGGTAAAAGTAAAAAAAAAAAATAAAAATAAATAAACAAAAAAAAAATATGGTATATATCTGAAAAATAAAATGCATTCGTCTTTCTTCGTCGTATTTAATTTGTGTTTTATCGAATTAATTTAGTTTGTACAACGTAGTCAAAGCAGTAGCAAAATTACTCAAGCAGCAAATTTTTACTAACATTTCAAAGGAAACGTTTTTTTTTTTTAATTTTTTGTGAGAAAAATAATCAATTCAGTTAGTATTTAACATTACCGATAAATGATGGAGTTGATTTATTGAGCGTGCAACTTAAAGTGTTATATCATTTGACACACATATGTATGTATATTTGAAACATCAAAGCAAAAGCAACTATAAATCGTCATAATAATGGGTATTCCTGACATTCGAATGCTCATTTCAGTGGAGTTTGAAGTGTTTGGCCACGTTCAAGGTAAGCATTTCGCTCAAATTCTACATATCTTGCTCTGATTAAAAATTGTATTGAATCAAATATTAAGAATTTAATTTTCGCCGTTCACACAAAAATTCATTCGCTTGTCGGTACTATTTTTAGATACGTAGTAGTGCACAAGTAGCATATTCGTGCATATGTGCATATGTATATATGTATGTACACGTATGTGCTGAGGCGCCTACGAAAAGTAAATAAAATAAAATCTTAAAACTTGTGTGAAAACTATTTGAATGCCATTTTCTTAAGTTAATTATATATGTATGTACATATATGTATGTACATAGAACGAATATGCATAAGTATATGTATGTGTAGAAATTTGGAACAATACACTATATAAAATATTCCAAAGCGTTGACAATTTTTTTTTTAGTTCTATTAAAATGATTGAAGGAAAGTGGTCACATACAGTGGCTCAATAAAGAATACGGAAATACATTCTACTGTTATTAACATGCAAATTCAAGTTAGATTTTTTTCAACCAATTGATATTAAGCATTTTTGTTTTTTATGTTTCTATAGGGTATCCAATAAGGATTTAAAAAATACCAATAACAAACAAATTAAATAGTTTATAGGTCTACTATACCTTTACTACAAAAAATTAACATGTGGCATGCTAGAAATTTCGCCAAAAAAGAAGTCGGACATCTGGTAATATTACAGTTGTTTGGCATTTAAAAAGGTGAATCCCACAATTAGTTTGTTTTCGTTTTAAAAAACATATGTTTATAATCATTTTTGAGCCACTGTATATCCACTTCTGAAAACCGTCTTCAAAATCTTGATTTCTTAGCTTATCAAGTTCAGCATTAACCGCATTAATTATCTCCTTGTTGCTATTAAAGACCTTTTCTTTTAATTTTATTTTGTTTTTTCATTTTTGGAAATCACCAGAAATCACAAGGTGGGAATATGGATCCTCTTTCTTACTGTTTTCCAACAGATTTTTGAACACTTTTGGTAAGCACTCTTCGGTGTACCATTTTGCAGTTCCCATCTGACCCTTTTCCAGTGGAATAGCAGCTACGATTTTAGATCGAGTGTAGTAAACTGGCACCATTAGTTTTGCTGCTGATTTTTGTTGCTTAGATTTTACGTGTGGGTTTGCTCCTGTTAATCTCCATGCCATGAACTGCTGTTTGGTTTGGATCGTACAAGATTCGTCATCAGTAACGATTTTAATTTCGTTGCTAGACTGACCATTTTCGAATTTGTTTATGAAAAATTGAACGAAAATCCTCTCGAGCCTTTTTTTGGGTTATAATTCTTGATACCCATCGAACAGATTTATTCGTGTATCTCAAATTATTACTTAATATTCGCGATACAGCCATGCCATTCAAGCCCAATTCATTAGCTATCATTTTTTGTGTCAATCGTGGGTCTTCGTCATATTTGGACTGCACCAGAGCTACAGTGACGTGTTTGGTGTAATATTTTGGTCGACCTTCACGGGGCTAGTCCTCGTTCCATATGCAATTTGGCATTCACTGAATAGTTGCATTGGCTGTAAGTTTCGCCGAAACCCGAAGAGAATCACATGGCGAATTTCCTATTTTCTTGTCTCCATTTTAGGCGATCGTTCTAAAATTTGGAAGGAGGGCTAATAAAGTAATTGCAAAGTATTTGTTGATTTTAGTTTTAACAACCAACTGACCGAACTTTTGGCGCTTTGTAATCACTGAAGCGATTTTCGGCCGAGCTCCTTCACCAATTTGTAGTTTTGCTTCTTGATGTTTTCCAACAACAGTTGGCATCCTCTGCCGAGGGTGGATCGCAATTAGAACATTTAACTTAATTTTTTATTTGAATTAATTTTCTTTAACTTTTTGGATATTGGTCGTGGCCGTGGTTACATATGTATATAAATATACATGTATGTATATATACCGCAAATATTTTTGGTGTAATCCAATAGTTACTTCTTTACAGTGCAGCTTTCCGACGATCCAATCGCTGGCAGTACAGGTCCAAATAAGAGTTTGTCCGTAGGGAAGTAGCTCTTAATGGATGAATCCTTGCCAATCCCATCAAACAGACTGCAAAATCTTCCTGGTCGTCGTCAATCCTGGCTTGGAGACCATTTGTCCTGGCTACAAATGCGAAGAAAACATACCTACGCACGAGTTATGCTTGTATCAAAAGCAGGCTTATTTATATCAATCTATCGGTGATCTCTTTCGCGTAAAGAAAATATTATTTCTTCTTCGACCAAATCGAGCTTGGTTCCAAATCTCTGGTCGATTTCCGTGAAAAAAGTGTTCCATTTAGATATACCATCCAAAAATTTAATTAACACAAACTATAAACATGTAAATTTTTTCAAATAGATCGCTCCTCTTGTAAAAAAAAAAGAATTTCGAGTAAAAAGAACTGTAAAAACGAGTTTTTCGTAAAAAGACACCTACTAGAAATTTTTAATTTTTCGTATAAACCCTTCCAGGAACCATTCAAACGAACATAAATATCATATTTAAAGCTTATCATTGACAAAAAGGCTAAGGCGTCATCAATAATCCTCCGGGATCGGCACATTGCTTGTAACATACCACTTTTGTAGATGTATTTGTATCTTTTTGCTCAAATTATATCTCAGCTTTAGCAACAACCTCTTGATTCATGCAAAATTTCGGTGGCTGGTGAGTATTGTTTGAGGTCTGAGAACAGCCAGTAGTCGATAGGATCGAATACGATAGATGTGTGGAGTAGTTCGAAGTTGAAATCATATAATTTTATCATTGTTTCGATTGACACGCTGATTTATCATTTAAATAACTAAAGGCAAACGTCAACATACTGATTTGACCTTATCAGTGTGGCATTCTTGCATTAAACAGATATTAATCAAGCGTTAAATCTTCAAAAATAACCGTAATTAATCCCGAAAAGTAGCTGTCTCTACGCCGGTATACGAGTATGTACATATGTACATCAATTTGGTATCCCCGTAAAACTTATATAATACCGATATATAAACCGACCACACTCTTGCTAACAGGCAGGCTCAGCTACTTCGGACTGAGTAGACAATTGAAAAGTGAAATCTTCTCTCGACAACAAAGGAAAAGCTCTGCAAGTCCCTCATTACTCCTATACTGACATGTGATGCGAAGGCCTGGGTGTTGGCAACATCAGATGAGTCGGTATTAGAAGTTATCGAGAGAACGGTTTAGAGAAGAATTAATGGTCCTCTGCATAAGACGACATAATAGTTTAAAGAACGCAGAGACACTTCACGCTAGCTAGACCAAATTGAAGGAATAGATGTGAACATTACAGCTTTGAAAGTGCTCAATGCAATACCGGTTGGTGGCAGTATAGGAAAAGCATAACCTACAATAATTTTTAAAGATCAGTTGGATAAGAACCACATATCTCCAATCAGCGTTGGCTATAATCGCTCAAGCTGTTGTTCAGTAAACGTGTTTATAATAAAACAAAATTTGTGTCCTCATAACTGTTTAATGGTATTTCTTTGTGAAATTTTAGTGGTCAATGTTTATTTTGGTAAATTACCGATTTGCATCAAAACAAATAATAGATCATGTTAGTTCTGTTTGTTGAACAGATGGACAGCAACATTCTTTAACGAACTTTACTGAATAGTGTTTGTTGAGCCAAAATCTCAGTAAAAATTGGTAGCGAGAGAACGCAATTTTGTCGTTTAGATGGAGAGAAAGTTGCAAATTCACGCTGGGAAAATTTCGGCCAGTTAAAAGTAGCAATTATGAAAAACAGCTGATTTGTGATCATATGGTTGAATTTTTGTCAACAAAATAAAATTGATTTAAAATTAACTACTATTAAAACTTCAATATTACTGATATACTACCAAAATAAGAGCCCAAATACAATTTTGCCAAAGTAAATTTAATGGTATTAACTATTCAATGAAATAGTTAGGGATATATTATTATTTCTTGTACAACTCATGTTAATTTTTGATATCCATAATTTAGTAGTAAACAGTGGCGACCAAAGATGCCGCAAAACAAATTCGAAGCGAAGTTGTTGTTACGATCTCAATGACGCTAATTCATTCTTAAACTTCCGGAAGCGACAACGATGTACAAGGTAAAATATTAAAGGGTAATTGATTGAATTTTACTTAACAGAATTGAAGAAACTCTATAGTAATGTTAAATTAATACTTAAAAGCAGTGAAATTATAAGAACGAATACAAATTTAACCGCCAAAATAAACAGCAGCTGTACAAGTTGCTGGCTAATCCTATACGGTGCAAACTCAGTATATTTCTATCTTTGATAGAGTAAAACATCTTACTCTCTCAATTTCGTTACTGGCTAATTTTTACTGACATTTCTGAACGAACACAGCTGTTGTCTCTTACGCTCTTTGACGGTTAGGGCCCCATGCGTATTATTGTATTAAGAAAATATTAAATTTTAAATTAAATTAAAACTAAAAGCAGCTGAAGTTTCATGCCCATGTTATCTACGGCTGCATAATTGCCATTACTTTGAGGAAACTAAATATGTTTGTTTATAAATTTGTATGGGATTCAACTCACCGCTTTCGTCATGCTGCAAATCTCTGGGTAATAAGAGGAGAATATTAGCAATAAAAAGACATTTCGCGTTAGTTGAATCATGCTAGATTTCCTGGCTTGTTACTCGTAGTCGTGCGGCCAATTAAACTAAAGTATTCCTTAGAACCAGATTAGCTCCGATGCACGCACTTTGTTATTGTTTCTTCTATTAACTTCTAGATCTTGCTATTGTTTTCTATTAACTTTAATAATTTCTTAATTTTAGGCACAATTGATTAGTTTCGGTCAATTTTTTCTTCATCTTTGCTAATGTTCACAATTTCACAAATAACTAAAAAATTTGAATAAAATTAGGGTATTCACACACATTAAAGGTACATTTCATACCAAGGGAATTCATGAAGGCGATAGCAGAAAACCATATACCACAATTATGAAGGCGAAGTTATTATTACAGCGAATTCAAATTATTTCATTCATTGATCGCAGAGTTTGGTATATCTATTTTTTTAGTTTTATGTTTCTTCTGCTTGAATTTTATTAGGTTTTCTATTTGTAAACACGAAATTAATGATGTGATTTGCGTGAAAAAAGAGTCGATGAATTTTCCATTATTTTGACAATATTTTCGCAAGAGAAAATCACTCTCTCAATCTCTGCTCTCACTTTTACGACGATTTGCGTGTGTTTTGTTTTAGCATATGTTTGACGGCCACAATAGCCGAGTGGTTAGCAGTACGTACTATCATTCCGAAGGTCAAAGTTCATTTTCTGGTACGATTTACATCCAAAATTGTAGAAAATTAAAATTTTCTAATTGCATTCACCTGAAGCAGAGAATGTCAAGTCCACTAAAAACTGATTTTGCCAATCCCTACAATTCAATGAAATATGAAAAAGAATTAATTTGCTGCCGTAGTAACATCAGCATTTGCTTGTACAGCACGAGCAAGTTGATACAACTTCCGGAAGGTGGTTTGAAATTAAAGTGTTGCCATACTCTGCAATTTTTCTTACCGTTCGTTTGAGAAAGATTAGAATAGACTTCCCAGCAAGAAAATTATGGTTTGGATAAACCCATATGATTAAGATATGGTATCCCTTATAAATCGAAAAACTTTCCTTTATACTTTACACCGTTGGGAAAAAAACTAAGGGATATTACTGTAGTTGTGAGTTTTTCCATGTATGACAAAATCTCTAGTATCCATTTTTAATAAGGCATGTTTAAGCATTTAAACAAAGGATTTGTAGAAGGGATTTTTTAAGTATTCATAAAATTACTGAAATGAGGTCTTTTATAAGATATTTTTTAAGGTTTTATATACATACATAAGGACTGCAAATGTAATCTTAAAGTGCTTTATATAAGCAATCAAGAAACAGATTACCTAGGGCACAATGTAAGAACTGCATAAATCATTATATAAAGACTATTAAAATCATGAAATAAAAACATCATAAAACAATATATTTTCGAATTTTTAGTTCTTTTAATCTTTGATTCACAATATATTTATAGCTAAACTAATATATGTACATAAATAAATAAGTTTTATTGTTTAGATTTTTATAATTAGCCGAAGGCAGTGTTGATGTTGTTCTACTGGTGTTGTTACTGAGTGAGTGAATGTTGCTACTGAGTTTAATGGAATTGAGTTTGTACATTGTGGTGCTATATGGCGATGTGTCGCTGTTGCTGAGTTTGGGTCTGTTGTGAAGTAGTCGCTATAGGTATTTCTTTAATTTGCGGTGCGATTTGTATCAGTCGTCCATCGTTCACCGCAAAGATTATCTATCTAATAATACTAGGGAAGGCTGCTGAACTTTCACTTCGCTCTATTATAATAAAAAACTTAATGAAGTTTAAAAGGAGTCAATTCGCAAAGATAATTTAATTTTTAGGTAAACAACCCACTAATCTTTTTTAAAAACAAGAACTTCAGAAGAAGAGCGATACTTTGTGGGCTTTAATACGACAATCACAACATAGACTCTGTTTGTCCAATCAGTATGTTAAGCGCCGGAAGTAATTTGTTCCAATCTGGCATATATTGCTTTTCGGTAGGCTTTCTTCATTTAATGACGTTTTTAGTCCAAAACTTTTACCAAAAGTCTTTTGCTCTTGCTAACAATTCCGAAGACTTTTACACAATCATTGGTTGAAAGCCTTCTATTTTAGAAAGCCGTCACAGTCGTCCTTTTGTGGTGTTCTTTGCATAAGCCTTAACTTGGTTGTTATGAGTGTATATGTATTTTTCAATATAGGCTGTATCAGAGTACAACGTATGTTTTTTTTTATTTATTAAAAGGAAAAAGCTTAACTACTTTTAAGTTATGTAATAACTAATGAGATTTTCGATCTAAAAGAAACCAACATTTCTGTTCATGAAAGAATCATTTAACTTAATGAATTACAAATTGAATATACATATATACATACACGTATATGCATCCTGAACTAATTATTTTAATTTTTAGGCTGCTATTTCACAAAATATACAAGGGATCTTTGCAGCAAAGCTGGAATAAAAGGTTGGGTTAAAAATTCCAAAAACGGAACTATAGTAGGAAAAATGCAAGGTCCAAAAGAAGAAGTTGATAAAATGTAAGCCTATAACTATCATAATCAATTACCGCTAACGATTTGTTTCTCATAGGATAAATTGGCTCTCAAAGGAAGGTTCGCCTGGCTGCCAGATCGAGAAGTGTGTTTTACAGAACACAATTACCATCAATCGGTTGGACTATAAAGACTTTGCAATTCGATTTTGATTAATAGAAAATCATATGTCTTCAACCTTAATCTTTAAATAAGTGGTTTTCTATTTATATAGAAGTTTAATAAATTTAAAAATTAAAAACGAAACAATTGTATTAATTTTAACTAGAAATCAAAGATTAAACCCTTTATTCGTAGCTATTGCATGTTTCGTATAATAATATTGATTTAACAACTTTGGAAACGACCATTAGCCTTCATACGTTCAAAGGACTTCTGCGCGTCATAAGTTCTAAAAAGATACAAAATAGAGAATTTAATACTTATGTATTTCAAGTTTAATATAATGTCTTACTTATAAAACTCCGCATACGCAACCTTTTTAGGTTTGTTGATGGCGAAATTCCAAGCAACGGTTACAACAGTAGTAAGCGCGATGGCAACGATCAAATTTTTCTTAATTGTAGCATTATGTAGGCCTCGCAACACAGGCTTTGCAGAACTTATAGTAGCAGGAGCACTTGCCATTTTAATATCTGCAAAAGTTACGTAAGAATTTATCACATTAAAACAATTTCCCCAACTAAAAAAAGCTATACAGTGTTGCTCAGCTCTAGTTGCTTTAGTTTATAATTGGTATTCTTATAAAATTAATTACACAATTTTATAATAATTATTACTTGCTTAAAATATTACGCGTTTCGCCTTTGGTTAAAGTTTTCTTTTGGAAATAGTTGCAAGACTATCGGTGACAATCGCTATCGGTGAAAACAAAGGATGCCACATTTAAATAATACATATCACCCTCGATAAACGTTGGCAGCTCCACGACACTGTATAACGATGAATAAACCTTGAGCTTACTCGTAACGTATTACACACTTGATATGCGATGGTACGACAAGCGGAATTTGCCTTTTCCATGATACCCTCAATTACGTTGTTCGCTCTCAATTGTGATTCACACTCCAAATCAAGGCCATGATAGACTGGAATATGAGAAGGTGAAAAACGTAGGATAAGAAAAAATTTTGAATTAAAATGTTTGGATATCTCGCTAAGTTTCGAAATATCAATCATATATTAAACTTCCCACAGCTGATTTTATTTCTGTTCCTTTATATATTTGAAAAAGTTAAAATTTTCTGCGAAAACTTAATTGTAAATGACATGAAGCTATGATACAATCAATACTGGTAAGCTTATTTACCAATTTCAGCAGAAGCAATTTTCGACAATAAATTTCTTTACCCTATGATCTAAGACTTGGCGCTAATTTCAATAGAAACGTAGAGAAATGACTTACTTACAATGAGAGACGCTTCAAAAAAATGGCTCAAGATATGAGTGGCAAGATGAAAGACAAAGCAAATTCAGATAAGGTGAAGTTGATAGCACAATTATTTTCTTTTTCTATCAACTACTTGATTTCCAGAATATATCTTTGACAAAAATTGTTCTCATTTCGATATTGTTTTTCTTATTTTCTTTCCTTATGCTATGACATTCGAGACGAAATACGTTGTTTGCTTATGGTGAAAACGCCATATAAAAGCTATGTGAAAGGTTTCATATCATAAAACTACGGCTGTATCCATAGTCACAACCATAACCATAACCATAATCATATATCACTTATGACAAGCCAGTTTCTATTTAAATCCGAAATTTATCAATCAGGTTGGTGAAATGGACAGTAGCTAGTTAATAGTTAGTTTGTGTGTATTTTAATATTTAATGCTAGAACAAAACAGTTAAAGCAAAAAAGTCGATGCGGTGGCCATCCAACTAATATTAATAAGTTTTATTACGGTTATCATAGAAGAAATCTCAAAAAACCAACATAAAACTAACTAAAACCTAAAACCATTCTGAACATGGCATTATGGTATTTCCCCAAAATAAGGTTACGATAATGCTTATCCTTCACCAAAATAAAAAAAATATCATTTCATGGAGTTTTTGCAGTCTATTAGTTTAGGAAATTAATTAAGTTAATTCATAATTCGGTGAATTTATATAAATGAAACGACTTGGGTATTAAGTAAATTGTGTACTTGTATGTTAACGTTGTTTATATGAAAAGCATCAGACGAAATTTTTGATTTAAGAATGGTATTTTAACATTTACTCTATTGCCCAAATTATTGAGTTGCGTTTCAATGATATTTAATATAAATTTAATTTCAATAACTGTTCAAAATTAAACGTAATGTGTTTAACCACGAAATAGAAATTAAAATATTTTCGGAAAGTATGGCATCACTCCACGGAATTCCCTAGTTAAGGAAATCTTCAATGGAAGGCTTTCCAATACAATTTTCATTTTCCAAAATCGTTTGGATGGCAAATGCAAATGGCGGTTGTTATTGTGATCGCAAATTATCGTGGAAAAAATATTTTGTAGAATCTTTGTGAAGGCACAATATTTGATGCTATAATTAATATTAATAAAAAAATGAAGGTGTGTTCTAGCGCGTGTATAAATACAGTAAGATTAAAAAGTTGTTTAAACCTTCGGTTCCGAAATATTCGTACATTCGTCGTTTAGTAACTCGCTGCTGCGTATGTGTCCAAATAGTACCAAGTTATGTTGTGAGGACACGAATTTTCACGCATAATCTGTACGATATTTATAAGTACTGTGTATAAGTGTGCGGTGTGATTTATAATTTAGACAAAAATGGAAAATAAATAATAGACACTCAATAGAAATTTTAAAATGTATAAATGGTAACAATAAAACGAATAACGAATCAGGTGAAAAGAAGTAATATAACTTGAAACTAAATCCCATGAAAGGCGGCGCCTTTGATAAGTGGTGGTGTGGCAATTCCTTGATATGAATCGGTTGGCAGAAAACATCGTGGAAAAGGTCAAAACAGAAAACTGCTAAAAGTAATATTCATGCTAAAAATTTTGTTTGCAATTGACCTATGTTTGGAATAAATATATTTTTGAATATATTTCTGTATTTGTATTAGTAAATACATATTTGCGGGTTGTTAAAACATTAGTTGATATTTATGTGCTACTCCGATTTTGTAAATCGGGCCTTTTTATGGAATTTGTGAAAAGTGAAAATCCATTTTATGGCTTAGTGGTTTGAGTGATGTATATAAAAACCTTTTATAAAAATATAGATAGATCATTTAAAGAAAATTCGAATGAAAAAGCATATTTGTAAAGTGTAAACATGAATCAAGAAGGGTGGAAACATTATGCTGTATCGATTTGTATCAATTGTTTTCAACGTTTTTTAAAAGTGGTTACATCTATGAGAGCTAAGTGATTGTAATAAAAGTTGAACTTTATAAACTTTATATATGTATTGCAATCCTACCCCTAAAATTAAAACTCTACAACAAAGTGTGATTGTCGTGTGATGATATGCAACTTAAACAGGTGAGTAATGAAACTTTATTCTACCGTAGAATTCACACAAACTTGAATAAGTGAATATTAACGTTAATTAAAATTTACAAATCCCATATAAGTCCTATTAATACAATAAATAAATTAGGAATGGTAGAAATACTTGCTATTTGCATATTATCGGGGCCCTTCTTTTGCTAACATTCGTTACATTTAATAACGTCTGTGCATATGGTTTATCTCTTCTACGGCCTATTGCACGAATGAAATCTGTCAAAGAATGAACCAAAATGGCGGACATGTTCATAGTAAACGAAAAGCGTTTTTCTTCCAATGCATCAATACCCTCATCATTCAAAAATTTGAAACATTATAAAAAAATTGTTGAAGTTTTAAAGATTTTAGTTGAGTTTTTAGAACGATTTCAATAGTTAAGTTTAGATAAAAATTGAATATTTTCTTAATATGTAATGAATATCACTCTATCCTCTTTCATTGGAAATATTGGAAGTTTGGAAATCAAGTGGATACTAGAAATTTAATTAAAGGGAAGACAAGAAATGTCAAAATTTTATTTTTTTATACTTTAATATGTATGTTATATACATATGTGTGTTTTGGGAATATGTGCTTCACATATAGAGTATCATAATTATTTGATTAATTCAACGAATATATTTCTGTAGTCGGATTTTTTAATCATACGAAATTCTTATTTTTTGTTGATTCATTTATAGGTGTAATTCATTTACATACATACATATACATTCGATAGTAAACACATTTAAAACATTAACGTTATGATTTATAAAATATTTTTTAATTGTTCCTCAAGTCGTAAAGTTCGTATGCAATACCCGAATTGACGTATCGTAATTTCGAAATTCGAAAACTGTATTCGAAATTCGTAATGTTTGTCGGCGATACAAAATGCGTTGTCTATGATTTGTTCCTTCCGCAGAACAAAGTCCTTGCCTATACCAAGTGTGTAGTTTCCACCAAATATCTTCCTTCATTGTTCTTTTATGAATTGTTGTTTTGCTTAGGGTTCAAGGGTTTTAAAGTTCATAATCATGTAATGAGATTCACGAAGTTCTCATGCCGGTTGATGTCTTCGTAGGACTGAAAACACCTTTCTACTATGGCGTTTGGTCTAGGTAGAAGGCTCCGTCGCTAAGTCCACTCACTCTCGACCTTGAACTTATTGTGGAAACATTCAAAATTAGGATGAAGCTGATTGATTTCGCCGAGGCTGACTGATATTTGTTTTAAACACTGTATTCTGGACACTAAGCGAATAAGTAGGTCGGGAACGTCGAAAAGACGAAGTAACTCCTAATTAGGGCAGCGTAGACACGAATAATAATATCAGCCGTGAAATAATACGTAGAAAACAACGCTCAACCACTCCGAAGAGTTCTCTAGAAAAATGTTTTTCGGAAAGTTTATTATCCGTACGTCGCGATGTTTTTCCAACAAATTAACCAACACTGAGTTTATTCTAAGTCGCATCTGAACGGCTGATTTATATTTATTAGGATATTTTCTTTCATGTTAGACGTAAACTCGAACGGGTTGTTATTACTTATGAAGTATCCTTATCTTATGTTTAATAATTAAATTTGTCTTTATAGCATTTTAGTAGCACTTAATTTTTATGTATATGTATATTTGTATATAGAAAATAAGTATTTAAAAATGTTTAATTTGCAGCAGATTGATTCGTGCGTGCGGATAACAGTGCAAATCCCTAAGGATGCGGCTCAACGGCTACGCCAGCTGGCGGCGGAGGGCAATCCAGCCCTGCGAGCCCTCGGCATTATGTCTGTGCAGTTGGATGGCGATTCTGTGATATCGATAAAATTACCCGGCCAAGAGATTAATTTGAAAACCTCAGGTATGTTTCTTAATTAGCTTCCCAATTGAATAAAATAATTAAAAAATATTTATATTTATTTAGATAATGCTGTGGAGAATCCATCAAGCACAGCGAGTGGGTTGGGTGAGTTTGCTCAGCTGTTGCAAAATGGGGGAAATGCGATTGAATGTATCAGCGACCCTTCGGGTAGGGGGTCAATTTTACAATCACAAATGCAATATGGTGTTCCTACCCAAAATATCAGCCAAGCCATAAATGATGGAATATCACCCCAACCGCAATTAATTCAACAGCAGGTCGTACAGGAGAGGCGAAATTTGTTGTTAGGCGGTCCGAGTACAAGCAGTGCTGCTCAGGCCGTTCTGCAAAAGCAACAATTACAACAACAGCAATTGCAACATCATAGCTCTCAACGACAACCGCTGTTTAAGCCTCCAAATACTGTGTGCCCCATGGATGGAAAAGTTCCAGTTCCACCAATATCTTCAAACTTAAATGGCGGTTTGAGTAATCGAGACTATCCATTTGTGAGTATGAGACAAGCTCGCGTTTTACAGGGTCGGGAAAATGCATTAAACAGTGGACTAGTAAACGTCAATCAATCCTATTCGCCAAGTAGCTCACAGTCCCTGCCATCACCGCAACATGAACTTGGAAGTGGTTTAGGACCGTCACCTAATGTTCCGCTAAAATTTATAAAGAATTCTCCAAATATAGAGCTCACTAAAACGTCAGTGCTAGCTGGAAATAAATCTCAATTTTTGCAACCTCCTCCTCCACCATATCCGGGCATGAGTAACATAACTTCAAATATCGTGCACAAGCCCACATCTCAATTAAATAAACCAGTGCAAAATTACTTACAAAAAAGGGTTGGCGGGCCAGCGGGACTTCAAGCGACAAATGTTACATCGCCTAATAACAATAATATTGCCATTTCATCACCTTTACTTGTGAATTTATTACAAAATGACGGCAATCCAGTTGCAAGTCAAGTAAAATTGTCTCCACAAATGTCTGTAATGCAAACCCAACAAAAAACACAACAGCAGCAGCCACAACAAACTTTGCCGTTATCATCTGTAAATCAACATCCCCAAATGATGGGCTCACCAATGCGTACGCAGACAGTGGCTACTAGCGTTATGCTAGAAAATAAACAAAATCACCAACAACAACAGGACCCACTGTTACATTCAGCAACGGAAAACAATTTGATTACTGCATCTTCTACAATGGGCATGCCCTTATCTCCCAGTGTTAATTCGAGTATACTTAATTTGCACCAGCAACAGCAGCAACAGCCACAGCAGCAGCAGCCGCAGCAAATTATCACAAGCCCTGGAAGCAGTTTATTTGGACACCAACACTTTCAGCCGCCGCAGCAGCATATGGCATCTCAACAAAATAATTTTCTACGTCAGCAAAGCCAGCAGCAAGCAGGAGTTGTTACGGTGCCAGGTGTACCAACTCATCGTTTCATACAACAACAACAACAACAACAACAACAACCTTTCCAGCAAACTCAAATGATACCAACGCATCAGCATCAAGGGCCTCAGCAGCCCAGTGTTAGCGGAATAATGTTAAGTAACGTTCATCCGCAGCAGCAGCAACAACAACAACAACAACAACAACCAGATGTCCGACAAGCTCGGCCTGGAAGTGCTATGCCAGGACATGTGTTAGTGCAGCAACATCAGCAACAAGCCCATCAATTCCTTTCGTCAGGCGGCATATCTCCAGCTGCATCGCATTCACCCGCCTCCAGCCACCATTCAATGCATAGTCCGTTAATGGGACCTCATCAACAACAACAACTGCTGTCACCTTCTACGACACCGATTCAGTCACCACACTCCCATCCGCCACTTGCGTCTAATATTCTTGGGCAACAACAACAACAACAGCATGTGCAATTGCATCAGCAACAACATCAAATACAACAGCAGAAGAAGACAACATTGCTTGCACCTACGGCAGCATCACCATCATCACACAGTGTTACTTTTCATCACAACACACAAGTACCTTTATCATCAATAGGAGCAGGACCTTCTAATACTGTTAGTGGTAGTTCTATATCAAACGCATTGCCACCGCCACCCGACTATAATCAAGCAGCAAACACGACATCAACAACTCACTGGCCAACGCTTAACAAACAGCTGGATTCAGAAACAAAAATTAGTTTTCAGGAGTTTGATCGTTACCAAATGCAGTATAACTTGCAGCAGCAACGGATCAACAAAAATCATCAAACACAGACACAGAAGCAAGATCCTCGCAAGCAGCAATTGAATGATAATGTAACCGCCTCGGAGACGGAAACAATTCCAGGCATTGTAGGCGTTTCTTCTTTAGATAATACCGCAAGCGGACTACCAGATCCTTTGATATCGTTGTCAGACTTTGAAGCTTTAACCACAAATGATCTGGATGCTTTATTACCAACACTAAACTGTTTGGAATCCACTCTAAGTTTAGATGATAAAAATGAATTGGAGTCACTTTTGCAAGATGCAAAAGATCTTGATTTGGATCTAATTGAAGAGAATCTTTCTGCTGTAGGAGTGGATATCGATGAGACAGCAGCTGCAGCTTCATCACTTTTAGATGCGGATGTAACACAAGTGCCGCCTAATGTCACGCTTAGTCTTAATACCATGCAATTTGAGCAAAATGTGCAGCAACAACAATCATCACTCTCAGAAAGCAATAACATAATGGCAATGCGACAAAATCAATTACAACCGCAGCTAAATATGATTCAAATGCAAGATCAGATGATGCATAATCGTTATAAATCCGAAGATAATTCAATTCTCTTAAGCAATCAATCCCATCAGAAGGTACATGTAAATCAAAACCTTTTATCCCATTCATCGCAAATACCCCTGCAATCTAATCAGCAATTACAACAACAGGGTATTATTCATCAAAAGCAAAAGGGCGGCTTAGTGGATGGTAATTGCTTTTCTTCAAAGCCGACAAGTGGAGCAGTTTCTTCATCTAAATCTAGAAAGAAGCAATTCTTAATCAATCCACTAACAGGGGAAATGGAACCAATGCAAAGCGATGATAGCGAGACAGAGGCCGAACAGGAGACGAAACAATTGTTATCAAACTTGAAGAAATCCAATGTAGTCTCGTCATTGATTGAGAGTTTCAATTGCAATCGACCAAGCGATAACTTACCCAATTCTCTCTTAGAAGATGATTCGAATTCCTCTGGTACCGCTGTTTCTAAAGTTTCTGCAAATGAGGCAAATAATTTAATTGTATCTGGAACTGGAAGTGATATAGCACCATCACCAGATTCCTTAAAATCGAACAAATCGAACCGTAGTGTTAAACATACAAAACGAGATGGTGGCCAAGTGCCTAATAAATCTTTAATACTTAATAATACAGGTGAATATGGTGTAAATAAAACGCCTAGTCCAAGCTTAACGGCTATTTCTAAAACTACGGCGTTAACAACTTCCAACGTTGTGCACAGGAAATCAAAATCAAATATAAATCGTGAAAAACATCAAAATAATGTGAGAGAGAAAAAACAAGATGTAAATGCAAGCTCTGAAGCCACTAAGCCGAAGAGAACGAAGGCAAACGCTAGATCGAAGGCGGTAAGCAACGCATTAACAGCTAAGGCCGTCTCTAATGCAATGGTGTCTGAATCCACATCAACGACGTTAAGTAATGTGGTATCGAAAGTACACGCAGCCGATATGGGCAATACTAATGAAAAAATAAAATTGCGGTTAAAGTTGGAAAAAAAGGAACCCGTTTCACCTGCTTATAAAGTAGACGTTTCATTTTCCACTCCACCAAAATCAGAAACTCCAGAAAATAGCTCTTTAAGTATAACACAACAAAGCAATAATAATATAAGTATTCAACCTAACGTAACTGTAAGCCAAAATTCAACTATCTCTACAAATTTACGCCAACACCAACAACAAAATCATTTAGAAACTGGCCGATTAATACAGAATCAACCTACGGGTTTTAGTAATTTCACACCTCCACAGTCACAGTCGTCTGTCAGTGTTGAGCCCTCCGGTTCAAGTGATGAACCACGAGTACCTCCATTACACATCAGCCTAAGAGGTGGCAAAAACTCAATTGTGATTAAAAGCAGCCGTAAAGATCGTAAGAAGCCACAGGGTATGACAAGTATGTCCACTGTGGTATCTAGTGGTGATGCTGATGATGATCAAAAGCAAAAAACTAATAAGCAATTAAGACCGCAAACATTACAGCTGTTAGATGTTGGTACAGCGGTTATGAATTCAGAAAAGGTACTACCATTTTACAGTTGTGTTTCCACAGCTCTAACTCCGTCAGTTTTTAATAACACCGTAAGCTGTAACAACGCTTTGACCGTAATGTCATCATCGCGTCTGCAGACTATATCAAGTGGCGAGCCGACATCGACAACAGTCTCTATGACAATGTCATCGGCAACACCTTCATTCTTGTGTAACAAAAATGGTCTGACAATAAGTGCAATTAAATCTCTTGATACAAAAAGCGGTACAAGTTTGAATGACAATAGAAATTTAATCATCGGATCGACAAATGTTGGTACACTACCATTTCCACCACAATTGATGCAGCAATCTCAATATCAGAAACAACAAACAACTAATGAACCGACAAGCTTACCCAGTAGCATTACACTTAATTCAATATCGAACTCCAACGTCGTGGTCAGTTCTAGTGATAAATCAGCAAGTGTAGTTAATCGTGTCATTAGCTCATTAAGTTCAAAGTCAGCGGCGACAATTACACCTGTTGGTATCGGCGGAGGAAAGCCGCTGACGAAGAACCACAATCCTCCATCTTACTTAACAGCAGTACAACAGCTTCAACAGCAAAAGCATCAACAGAAGCAATTGGAAAAGCAAGCACAATTCAGTGTCCTTAGTGGAAGTCAATCTGCTCAGCAGACAATTGTTGCGGTGGCTACCATGTTGCCGAGTGCAACGACACTTAAGCGAGTAACAGTACCAAAATCATTAACAGAGCAAGGTGATACAACTAACAAAACTGAAAGGCTTACTGTAACAGAAGAGTCTAATGTTTATAGAGAAGCTCCAGCTCATTCTTCGATTCCGTCATCTCCACAAATTGTGGGTATTAAAAAGCAAGCTAATGAAAATATACGAAACGAACCTGTTTCGACTATTCAAACTGTCGTAAGCAATGGAGGCCCAAATATCGGTATTGTTGTGTCGAATAGCCAAAATAATGTTGCTAGCACATCCTTACCTACTCTATCTAATGCAATCCTACGTAACTCTCCTGCAAGTAACGGTAGTGGTACACTAGGCCACGGTAATGGAAATGGAACTGGAGAGGATAGTGGTATCGAGTCAATGGATGCTTTATCCGAAAAAAGTCCTCACCAACAAACCTCTAGCAGTCCGATTCAACAACAAATAAATAATGGTGGTAATGGTGGTGGGACTAGTAACGTTGAAAAGCCCATTGTTGCTGCGGCATCTGCAGCTACGAAAAAATCCTTAGGAAATCAAACAAATAATGAAACTATAATTATAAAGGATATGACAACTAAAATAATAACACAAAGCAAAGACGATAAAGCGGCATTACATCTGAAACCCGAAGAAAAATGTAATTTCATTGATTTTGCGGAAGATGAAATTGAAAAGGCCTTGGCTAAAATGGAAGGTTTCAATGAGGATTTATTGCAAGTGGATACATCCTCAAATGTTAATTCAGTTTCACAAGCAGCTACTACAAATTCTGCAGGGGCTTCACCTAAAATAAAGGAAACTTTAAATAAGGAACAGCTAGAACGGATAAGCAGCGTAAAAATTGCAACAGATACTGTTAAACAATTATCAGAAAAGGTAGAGATTGAGGACAAGAAAAACATTCAACTTTCTTCGGTTGGAAATAGGTCAACACCAGAGATAAAAGAAGATAAATTCTATGCCAAGAATAATGACGGCATAGAAAATGACACAGAGAGTGCGGTTGACGCGAAAAATCAAAGCGTTACTTTAGATTCGTCTGATGGAAAGATTAAAGAAAATATAGGTGTGGACAATGTAAAGAAGGCTGAGCATGAAACTCAAAATCATCGGTACGAGTCGAATTCCGTTTTTCCTCCAATTTCCATAGAAATACCAATGCAAAGTGAATTAGAATCTAATCGTATTCGCACGCGTGCCAGTAGTCGTTTGGGAAGCCCCATGGATGCAAATAAAATGAGTCCGACAGTGTTAATAACAACGAATGAATCCAATGCAAATTCCTTCGTAATCGCCAGCAATAAGCACATCAATAAAATTGGAGTTTCTTCGCAAGACAATGCCAATTCACAATTAACCATATCAATAATTGATAATGGTATTGAGTCTGGTATAGGTAATAAACGAAAACGACAAGAATCTGCTGCAAGTACCAACAGCTCTAATAACGAATGTTCGGACGAAAAACGACTTCGAGCAAACAGTATAAGTATTGCTACTGGTGGCCTTGTAGCAAATGAAATGGATGAAAATATGACTCAATCGTCTTCGTCAAATGAAATGCAAGATGTTTCCAAAGTTTGTGATATAAGAAAATGTGAAGAATCTTCTGATTCTGATGAACCATTGATAGAGGTAGCCGAAAAAGTAAGAAATTCTAAAGTTGGCAACACTACTACAGCTGTAAACAGTAATGAATCCGCTATTCAAGCTACTCTAGCAAATCTAACAACGACGGGAAAGTCCGAACTCAGCAATACATCAGGTTCAGATAAGTCTACTCGAAATAATCGGACATTACATATAAATAGTAAGTAATAATATACGAGAATAGTTTTTTATTTAAATAAAATAGTTCAAATTCAATATCTTGGACTAAGGACCATATGTTTATAGCTCCTCGAGAACGATATATTTGTTTGAATTTCATTTTCTAATCATACAAAAGAGCCTCGTCGTCGTATTTCATACAAAACATCGACGCAGAATCAGTATAGACGGAATGTATTCAGAATATTTCGAGGATTTGTTTTGTCATTTTTGCATCTGTATCTTTTTTAAATAATTTTTGCAGAATGTTTCCTTCCTCGAAAGTTCTTATGTAAAAACGTTCTTTGTTAATGTTATAAGTATTAGGTTTTCAATATAAATGAGGCTGTTCTGAAATCCCTTAATGGGTTGCATGGGTTTCACAACTTTAAACGCGCTTTTCTCGTAATTGTGTATTCAAAACGGGTTGCCAAAAGTTCTCGAAAACTACTCAACCCTGATGAAACATGATGAAATTTTACACAAGTCTTCTAGATTCAATTCGCGAGAAATTGAACGAAGGATTGGTTTTGTTTTCAAACTCAACTATTTAAGAAACCATTTAATAAATTTTTTTTAATCTGCCATAAAACCAACTTTATATTTTTATTTTTCCTTTTCCCTACCCCAAGTTCTTAGCTTATGGCATTAACTAAAACACGATTTTATTTTTTTTATTTACTGATTTACGAGACAAGTTTCACTGTCAACTCAGACGCATATTTTTTCCGACGGGTTACTGAAAATAACGTCACAATGGCGGAGTTATGAAGATTTTGCTTTGAAATTTTCAGAAATTCCTTTTCAACTGTATATCTTTAAGAAAGTAAATAGTTTGAATAAAATATTATATTTTTTATATAAAAAAAAATGTTGAAAATAAACATTTCTCCCCCGAAAAACGCCTTAAACGAAAAAGTGGTGAGAATGAAATGCAATCATCGCCCATACTCCGCACAGCCTATATTTGGAGAATCGAAAATTAGGAATATTCAAGGCATAAAATTAAAATATATTATTTTGCTTTGTGCAATGATACAGTGATTTTGAATTCCTTTAGCTCTTTAGCTTACTGGAAAGCAGTGTCGCCTAAATTAGTCGCAAAAGTTTCCGAAACAATGTTTTTGCTACCGCCACAATGATGATAACGTATATGCTGGTATTAATGAATGAATACCTTATAAATTATCTATAATTTAATTCAAAAGTTTTTCCTCAATGCGACCTAAGTAAAAATGTGTTCACGTGTTGTCCATTTACTCAATAATACCCAATAATTTCAGGAAAACTTAAAAAACAAGCAATTCAACTACAGTCAACTTCTTAAAAAAACAAAAAAAGAACAAGAACAAAACCAACTAAAAGCCCATCAACCAACAACTAAATTGTCATATGGTTTTTACTATTGGATTTTTTCTGTAAATCGAAATATAGAACACCAAATTCGTTGAATAATTCGATTCGTACATAGAATCCCATAGAATTTCAGAACATATTTATGCAATTCCTATCGAACTTGGATTTCAAAACAACGTGTGGAAATGTAGATTTCATAATGGAATTTCTTCAATAAGAAGAGTGGAAAAAGTTTTTACTAAAATTTTATTTTATTTCGGATTTAATTACATTTCTAGTCAACAGGTGTCGGTACTCTCGAATACGCTAAACTTCTTATCTGCAGTTACCTTAGATACTTTTGGAGAAATTTAGCTAAAATTTAAATCTATTTAATTTTATTTTTTTTTTTTTCATTATATTATGTCATAACATTAATTAAATATAAATATAAATTTTATTTAGAAACATCTAATGTTACCAGCGCGATAGGAAATGTGTCCACATTAAGCCCACCACCAAGTCAGGGGAAATCTACTGGAGCTACTTCTGCTGCAGCATTTACCAGTTTAACTGGAACTTTAAAAACTGCTGGCAGTAAGTATAAGAATTGTGTTGTCTGATCTGCTACATAACATCTATTGATGACATTTTAGATGCGACTAGCAGTGCAACCTCAATGGAGTCAAATTCAAGTGATATTGGTAGTACCAGCTTTTCTCCAACTTCGTCCGCATATTCTACTCGGGGCAATACAACATCTACTGCTCCTAGTTATTCTGGTGCGGGTAGCTTGAACAACAACAATAACATTAGTGATGAAAAAATCGGAACACGCCGTAGCGTACGTACGAACGCTGGCGTCCACAAAAATGTTTATGGGCGTACGATCAGTTCCACTGCTACATCAACTATTGTACAAAATACAGACCCATCAAAAGCATCCATCCCAGCAAAAGTGGTCGGTATTCACGGGAATGACCATATTGGAGTCGTTGAGGCTCGCCGCAAAACAAGAAGTGCAGGTAAGTTTAATTTGATTATAAAAGTTAGTGTAAGGTCGTGAAGATAATAAGGCACTGTGATAAAGCTTTATCGAATCGCAATACATTTGTCACAACTACTGAAGGAATAGAGCTATTTGTAATAGTATAGTATTTCTAAAAGCCTGGTTTTCAACATAATGCGCAGCACACGACTTACATGATGCAGTAGAAATCTCTTCTAAGAACTGTTTTAGTGATTGGTTTTTTTTCTCGAACATAGTCGCCGTGTAAAACATCCGCTGAGAGGCTTGTGGGTTGGAGAAATTTTATGAACACTTCAAGCATTGGTTTTCTTATGCTCCGTAATAGATGTAATTAACATACCTCCGTTGTTGGTTTTACGTCTCACACAAAGCACTCATTGCGTCGATTGAAACGTTGCGAGACAGCCAATCTTTTTCTTCAGTCATTCCTCATCGGACAAGCTCTTTTTTTGAATTGTTCGAAAATATTGTAGTTTATCTGGTGACAGATCATCCGTCAGTCCTGTGGGTTAGGGTTTCAAGAATTTACCCGCGGCAAGGCTTGCCTGTCGTAAATATCATATCGTATCGTTCATATATGGCGATCCGAATTGTGGATTTACGCTTAACCACGGGCGTGAATCTCTCCACTCGGCGATTATGATTATTTGATTTAATAAATTTCTTAGTATCTGAATATTATTCCTTAATAGTTTAATTTATGTAGAAATTTATATAAATATTCATATGTATTTACATTGTTTCTGTTATAGTTATTGGGGAAGCACAGTTAACTGAAGGACGAAGAAGAAGAAGCTCTCGTGACAACAAGTGACCATTGTCTTGCGCCTCGGCTACAAATTTGAATGCATGTGATGAAGAAGAATTAAGCGAATACGGAGTTCATGAACTCGGAAGCAATAATTGCTTCTTATTGGCCGAGTCGCAGCACGAATTAACAATGGATGATTTTATTGATGATGCCAGTAAGAAATCTATTAGCTGCTATAATGAAGTTGAACAGCAGGCTAGCTTAACCGCTCTTAGTGCAGATGAAAATGATTACATGGCCGGAGCTGGTTTTAATAAGAATAAAATGTGTAAAAACTCAATAGGAGATGATAAAGCTGTAGACGAAATGTCCGATATAGAAACTAGAGATCAGACATGGAAGCCTATAGAAAATTTATCGTTTTATAGTAGCGCCATGGCAACAGAAACCGAAAATCTGTTACTGCCAGAAATTTCTCATACAAATTCTGAAGATTGTAATTTCACAGATTTTAATGAATTTAATTTGTGCGTGAATAATATACTAAATTATGATAACGACGAAGTTATAAATGACTGCTTGTCGCCTAGAACAATAATTCCAACAGATGGTGTTGTACTCACTGACGATTATGCGACAAGTGAAAAGGCTATAAAAAACACTGCAGGTTCCAGTGATGATTGGAGCCACCGTTTTACGCCAAGAAGTGATGTCCATCTGCATAATATTTTCGACATAGTTCATTTAAGTGAGGACATAGATTTAGAGTCTTTGCAGACTGACTCGCAATTACATACACAATCAGGCATTAATATTGAGAGCGGACTACATTTTGGACCTACGACAGGTGTGGAAAAGGATGAAATTGGGGTAACTCAAGAACGACAAATCGTTGATTAGATTAGGTATATTGGTTGTAAATATAATAATGTAAATTAATGTAAAAATATTTATCTAATTATTTCTATTTACACATATTTCTTGCATTTTTTTCCTTTGTACATATAGAAAATTAACAAATTACATTTCAAACTGTACAAAAATTGCTATGAAGTGCTAGGTGGATTTCTGTCTGGCTTACAAATTTCGAATCACTTGCTAACAGTCACCTCTAAATACATAATTTAGAAAATTTTTTGGTCTTGTTGCTTATATTTCTAGTCACGAGGTTTAAATAAGAAATAACTTCTTTTAACAATATAATATAACGATACTATTATGACATCTCACTATTTTTGTAAATACAGGATTTTATTATGTATGTAGTAATCCTTTGTATATTGAAGAAAAAAAATTCAATACGATAATGTAATAATGCTGCTTCACCAAAGCGAAAACTCCAGATTAATTTTTATTTTCGGTTTGGCTCAGTGCATCCCCAAATAGTGCCTTGTTTTTTAATCATAAAATTGCAGTTTCAAATATACATATAAAGATTTGTCGTCCGAAAATGTATATTAACTGCTAACCAATCGCATTGAAATAAAACATTTAGCAACTGCAACGGTTATTACAACTGAGCCGCTACAATAAGAATGTTTTTATAAATTATAATTCCGTTACACTTTTCCTTACAGCCAATTCTAAAATATAATTCATAGAAATTCGAGTAGTCCAAAAACTATTTTAAATCTTATTAGCTGCTTTCAAGACCCATACTTGGCAAAGAACTGATTTTAGTTAAATGTTGTCGTTTGCAGATTTTTAAAATCAAAATTAAACAATATTTCATCCACAATTAAAGAAGAAATTTATTTGATTACAATTAAGCAAATGACAATTTAGTCCCAAAATATATGTTTATAAAGCAAATATTTGTCATAATTTTTAAAACAATTAATAATAATTTTAACTATAATAACGCATAATTATTGTAAATAATTATATATTTAAGATCTATTCAAAGTAAATATTAATTATATAAATATTTCCAAAACTATTATAATACTACGTTTCTAAAAATGTATAAAATGAATTGATTGAAAAGGCAAACAAAACGCAATATTAATGATATAAATAAAAAAAATTTATTACATAATACAATTCTATGTAATTGAGACTTAATAAATTAAATCATTTTAAAGTAACGCTATTAATGCTATTTTCATACACACTTACCCAAGTAAAAGATGTAAATAAATAAAAGTGAAATATACATAGCAATATTTCCATTTTTGTATGTAATGTGTATATGTATTTGGAGCACTAGATATAAAGGATATTTAATATAATATGAGCATTAACCATAAGAATATTTGCTTAAACAATATAGGATATATATTTATGTATAAGGCCGCAGTGATTAAGAAAAATAAATAATTGAATACAATAAATAAAAAAAACATTGGATGCAGAAATAAATAATTTAAATAAAAACAACAAAGTGTCTTAAATGAAAATTTAGCATTAAGTCCTATATACAATCTATAATTAAATTTAGAACTTAATTACTCTATCAGCTATTATGTTTAAAAATTTAAAACAAAGATTAATGTAGTAAATATAAATTTACATTTACGTGAAACCCCTTAAAATAGTGTTTATGTTAAAGGAATAATTTCATATTTAAGTGCATACGCTCTACTTTTTATTAGAACTGAATAAAATAAATATATTGAAAAAAATCTAACATTTTTTATTTTACCATTCCCACAAGAACATTAACCATTTAACAGTGTAGTTGTAAAAAAACTGTCTATGTGACTGTGTTCTTATTAACAAAGAACTTTAACAAGAAAACTGTGGTAATAGAAACCCGTTAGCATTTGGAAATCAATCCCAAAACCGCCGAAAGTTTTACTGACCTTCCCTCCCGTTAGACGACCTCGGTGACTTAGATTAACTAGCATGTCCCTAAACGGGGTTAGAAAGGCCGATAAACAACAGGAATCAATCCAGAATCGCTTGCAACAGGTGCTCACATTTTAAAAGATTGTAAGTAATAACGAAGTGGCATGTACAACTTGCAAGAAAAGTTGCAAAATTAAATAATTATTTTTGAAATATGCCATTTAGAGTGTTGTCACCATACCGTCGTCATTTGGACGATTTTGTGCTGCAAAATGGCGGTTTGATGTTGTTGTAGCGGTTTACCAACCTTGTTTAGGAGCAGGCTAGCTCATTTTAAGTTGTTGTTGTTGTTGTTGTTGTAACCGCAAAATTATTCCCCAAAGTACTTTTTGGGGAATATTGCGGGAGTGACAGTCCTTGGCCGGATAAAAATCCGGGTCGTTCCGGTATAAAGACCCGACTGTCGGGAGAACTATTGGATTTTAGTCGCCTCTTACGACAGGCATGCCTTACCGCGGGTAAATTCTTGAGCCCCTAACCCGCAGGGGGTCTCATTTTAAGTCATCGGGTTCACTTAAGGAATATGAAGTCATCAAGCTGTTTCGATGAGGTCCGGCCAGAGGGAAAGTGGAGTTAGGTGAGTTGGTTTTAAGGAGCAGGCAAAGAAGCGGTTAGTGTGATAAGTAAGAGTTTAATCCTACTTAAGTATTCAGAGCTAAGTTGTGCCAGTATTATGGAGGATTCTCGAGGTAGCTCGATCTTTTCGTCTGCAATAGGTGGAGATTTTGACTCCGGCATTCGGCTTTTCTAATAACGTCTATTGGGGTGTAGATGCGATAGCATCCCAGCAGAAATTGCTTGCACAGAATAACTTTTTGCTCCTCAACTTCTGCGAAAGTGATGCTCTGGCGACATAAGCAAGTTTCTTGCCACAATAGTCCTGAGAGCGATATTTTTGTAGACTTGTAGCTTCTTCAACTGCGTCTCGCTAGTGCCCGGTGCCCGGATCAGTGTACTAGGATCTAACGTTTTGAGGATTTCGTAGATTGCAGTCTTAGATGTCTTGCAGTATAGAAGTGGGAAAGGTCGCCGAGATAGCAGTTTAATTTCGAACGTAAGTAATCAATATCCTGGCCAGAAGTAAATATCGACCAATCATTGGCATATGAGATCAGAGAAACCACGTCCAGTGGTGGAGGGAGTTTCGTAATATAAAATCGGCGAGCTAATCCCGTATATTTTTGATTTAATTGTAGGATTGACAGATTGAAGGATTTGTGATGATGCAAAAATCTAAAGAAGGTTTTTCAGTTAATTGGGTTTCCAATTTAAATTACATACAGTTTTTTTTATAAAAAAACTAACATGTTTTATACGATGAGTTAAATATTTCTCATGTATTTTCTTAAAATATTTAAATGTAACTGTTATCATTCTTGACACCAACTATTTTCGATATGAATATATGCCTTTGACTTTGATAAAATATATCGAGCAATCTAGTGCGGACAACAATTGCAAAGAACGTATATGAATAAGAAGGGAAAAGAACTGTGAACCAATTTGAAAAATTTTGCTGAGGTGAATAGTGAGGTGCCACAGCGAGATTACACCTTCCTTCAAATTTCTCGCGATTTTCGTAGCACAGCGGGGCAATTATGACGGCGAAACGAAATTTCGTACCAAAACAAAAATGAGCCGATTGAGTTGGCAAAAATTGTTTGAATATGCGCGCGAAACGATAGACATGCATAAAAATATGAAAACAAACATACATATATACACTAGACAGAATGGAAATCCTGAAGGGATCCGTCTTTTTTTCTTTGTGTCCCCGAGCACGCCTCTACTTTCCTCTTTGGCCATAGCTTGGGACTCGCACTTCATCCCTAAAATCTAGAATCTTTGCATTTTGCCCAGCTGACTGCTTAAATTTACTTGCTTCCCAATATGAGCTAATAGGCAAACAGCAAATTTAACAGCACGATGCCGACTTGCTACAATTCGGCGGACATAGTCTGAATTTTTGTCAAACTCGCAAGAATTTGAAGCAATGCTAGTGTATGCTACATACCAATGTACAATATATTGTTGTTGCTTCACATTTCGGGAAGATGTACGATTTGCTAATTTTTGTTACGGGACTTTTTATACCCGGCNAGTACAGCCGGGTATAAAAAGTCCCGTAACAAAAATTAGCAAATCGTACATCTTCCCGAAATGTGAAGCAACAACAATATATTGTACATTGGTATGTAGCATACACTAGCATTGCTTCAAATTCTTGCGAGTTTGACAAAAATTCAGACTATGTCCGCCGAATTGTAGCAAGTCGGCATCGTGCTGTTAAATTTGCTGTTTGCCTATTAGCTCATATTGGGAAGCAAGTAAATTTAAGCAGTCAGCTGGGCAAAATGCAAAGATTCTAGATTTTAGGGATGAAGTGCGAGTCCCAAGCTATGGCCAAAGAGGAAAGTAGAGGCGTGCTCGGGGACACAAAGAAAAAAAGACGGATCCCTTCAGGATTTCCATTCTGTCTAGTGTATATATGTATGTTTGTTTTCATATTTTTATGCATGTCTATCGTTTCGCGCGCATATTCAAACAATTTTTGCCAACTCAATCGGCTCATTTTTGTTTTGGTACGAAATTTCGTTTCGCCGTCATAATTGCCCCGCTGTGCTACGAAAATCGCGAGAAATTTGAAGGAAGGTGTAATCTCGCTGTGGCACCTCACTATTCACCTCAGCAAAATTTTTCAAATTGGTTCACAGTTCTTTTCCCTTCTTATTCATATACGTTCTTTGTTATTAATATACGTTCTTTGACAATTGGACTGAGTGGAATGTGTGTTTTTAAGTTGTTTTCAGCGAAAACAGTTTTTCGATGTATTTTCGTTCACTTATTTTATATGACGAAAACACAAAGTTTTACGTGAAAACATATTTTCTGCAACGAAAACATGTCGGTCCGAGCGAGACGAATGGGATATTAACATTATTTAAACGACCTATAAATATTGTATATTGTATATTTTATACTGACTTGAAAATTCTATCATGCAACAACGTCAATAAATATCGCGATCCGTTGATCTCGTCAGTAAATATTGACGTGTGACGGCAATAAATATCAACACGATAAATATTGATCGTATAGCGATCGATCAATATTTCTATCACAAACCAAATTGGCTGACGATCCAAAACACAATGTTATTGAACGTGCGACATTTGACTTGATTTCAGACCTAAAGTTTTTGTTTATTAAATGGTTTGGTTAAATTTGTTAAATAATGAAAAAAGAAACTCAATTGCCAGAACTAGCATAAATAGGTTGGGCGAAAACACAATTTCCTATACGAATTTTTACTGGAAGTACCTATACCAAAATTGGCCAGTTATTATAACAAATGTATCAAACGAATGGGAATGTAGCAAGTCGTGGTTAACCAGAGAAGACTATGGGAAGGATGTAGGAAAATGTACCAAAATAAATTTTGATTTTCTTAAAGATAAAATAGGAAACCGCCAAGTACCTGTAACACACTGTGATAAATCTAGTAAAGAAAATGCTACGCAAATGCTTTTCTTCAACTATATGAATAACTGGCAAAATTCTATAAATAATTTTGAAAGTAGTGAAATATCAAGGCAAAGCGGTACAAATGTATATTTGAAAGACTGGCATTTAAAGGCTGAACTACCAAATTATGAGTTCTACAAAGTTCCAAAATATTTTGGTTCTGACTGGTTAAATGAATATCTAGTAGATAAAAAGAATGATGATTATCGCTTTGTTTACATGGGACCTAAAAATACATGGTATAATACGTTTAAATTTGAATTTATTATGAATTATTAATTTATTTTTTTTTTTATTAAATCAGGACTCCTTTCCATGTAGACGTCTTCGGATCATTTAGCTGGTCTACTAATATATTCGGCACAAAAAAGTGGATACTTTTGCCACCGGGTGAGCAGGTTAAATTATTGGATCGGTATCAAAAACTTCCTGATGAAATCAGTGAGGAATCCTTGAATAAAAGGAATGTAATTTATTTTGTAATTTATCAACAAGAAAACGAAGCAATTTTTGTACCTAGCGGATGGTATCATCAAGTATATAATATCACGGATACTATATCTGTTAACCATAACTGGTTTAATGCAGTTAATATTAAATATATCTGGTATAATATTGCCGGAAATCTTAGGAAAGTAATTAAAGAAATTAACGATTTTAGAGAAGAATCTAATTTCGAGGAGCAATGTCAAGCAATTCTACGCGCTGACTTTGGTTTAAATATTTCCGATTTTCTAGACTTGGTGTGCTTCATAGCAGAAAAGCGCATAAGCATGAATAGCAGTATGAATCATGACTTTTATACTAAGAGCAATTCTGAAATTCGTTTTTTAAACAAAACTTCTATTCTTAATGATTTTCATATCTTGTACGATCTAAAAACTATTAACAACTTGTTAAAAGTGATTATACAAGATAAAATAATTTACAAATCTACTGATTGGTATGAACAATGTTTGGAAACAATAAATCTTACTAATAAATTTTGTGAGGAAGAAATGAATAAAGAATAATATTATGAAGTATAAAAGTTCAAGTCCCTATTTATTGAACCTCTTTAAGATATTGCAAAATAGTTTTTTTTTTGTATAATTTATAACACTGTTGAGTTAATATATTTTCTTAAATTATTGAAAATTGTGAAATCCTTTTAATACCGTCAAAGTAATATATTTTTTACTTACTTAATCTTTCAAAATTCTATACATGGGTTGGTGTCACGAATTTTAAATTTATTATTGTTTATTGTGTTTTAAGTTAATAAGTTTCTTCATTTTCATTTATTGCTTAAAATTTATTGCTGATGTAAAAATACAACCATTGACAGATTTAGCCCATTTCCACCCTTTTTAAAAACATTACATTTAAAGAAAGACAACTTCTTATTTTTGGAAAAAAATATTTATTGCTTCATAACAGAATAAAACAGCTTCAATCATGTGATGTCGCACAAACTGTAATATAGTATATAATTTTTTTTATTTGTTGTTGAATGTTCACGTTTATACCTGGACAAGTATTTAGCACAGTTTTTGTTTAAGAATAAATGTGGTCTCACCTCGACAAAATTTACTATATAATGATATGAAACTCTCTCCTTAAATTAGAGTGCAAATTAAGCAGTGGTACTACACCACGCCTCGAAAAAGACCAGCACTCTTTCGAGTTTCGTCTCCCAGACTTCACTAGTCTTTTATGGGTTTTCAAAATGAATTGCTATATAGTCTTTTCGTGATGGATGTGTTTTGTGACATAATCACCAATACACCTATATAACTGTTGTTTAGAATATATTTTCACATATGGGAGGTCATGGATCATGGGATCCAGACCGGATCAACATCTTGAAAATTATAAAAAAAAAAAAATTACGTAAATTCCAACTGCTTGCAGCGAATGTCAACCCCTTCGGGAGTATTAAATAAAAAAAAATCCTCATTACATTTTATCAGCAGTTCGGTGGCGGCTTAACTATAGGTCACCCTATTTTATTGGGAAAACATCAAGGCGCCCACTACATATTGGACGTGGAGCTGGGCCGAAAATCGTTTCAGTGATTATAAATTATATATTTATATATATATATATATAAAATACTTAAACTAATTAAACAAAATAAGGCAATAATAAAGACAGCGTATTGAAAGCTTTATATTTTCAAAAAAAAAAAATAATAATAATGGATCGGTAATATAATATTTGCATTTTGAAGTGCGCTGCCCCTAGAATTATGTTTCATTATTCGTGCAAAATATAAAAAATTGCTTAAACAATTTATTTCTCACATAGTGTACTGCCCCCCGCCCCACAATTCTGTTCATAAGGAATGTTTTTTTTTAGTGAACGCTCCACATTGAATTCCCTGTCCCGTATCCGTGGGACTTAATCGTGATATATAAAATGGGCAAGGATAACTTTTAGGGTAATCTGCACAATTATACATTTTGCATGAATATTTATAAAAAAAAAAAATGATGGTAATCTGTAATATAACCACAGTACTAAGTATAAATATGTATGTCACACACCAGGTTACATACATATTATTGACCTTATTGAGTCATTACCACAGCCGCGTTCATCGTCCAAATCATTATACTATTCTCTTTTATGGTTTCACCTTTCCTGCGATGAAACTTATTCATTTTACCAAGAAAATCCTATTAGACTTTATATAAATTTGTTTGAACAATTTGACTACTGAATGTAGAAATACTTGTATGAAGATAAATTGATCTTGTTAAGTGAATAATACGCCTCTCATAAGTGATTTGACGGTATCGCAACATTCGAATCAGAACTGGAATAACAATGCATACGTATATTTTTACTGTCGTCTTCTGTATCCGAGTATGATCCAACTGATCGGCTGATTCTAAAAATAAAAAATAAAAATATTAAATTTGAATAAACTGAAACTTTCAATTACAAAAAAATACAAGTAGATTAATGTTCTAAAACGAAAAAGTTTATGTGGACTGACTATTACTTGCTAATCCACATATGTACTAATTTTTTAACACAATATATATTTTGCTTAAGTCTACTACTTTTATATACAAACCGTTGTTTTACGCTAAAGCCACCTTCTGCAATCGATAACGGTATAGATAGTTGAAGCAAAGAATTTTGTGGCGAAGCTTTTATCAAAGGAACTGACATGTTATTTATTTCCACCGAAGAATGTGAACTTGAGAGCGGATTATTGTCCACATTCACAGAACCGTTATCAACGTTCTTATTATTTTTGCAGTTCAAAGTGACCCTTTTGTTACTAAATAAATGAAAACTGACTGTTTTCTTTTCATCTACATTTCGAATATCGGTTAAATAAGTAAATATATGATGTATATTTTCAAGTGTTAAACACATATCACAGCGTATTCCAGCAATATCGTAGCATAGTTGAGCAATATTTTGATTGAGTAGAAATATTGCGTACTTTACTGCTTTGGATGGTATTGTAGAACGACTGTAGAGTGGAAACCTAAGATTAAAAAAAAATAAAAAAAATAAAATAAAATATTAAAAATATTTTTTTAGGAATCCAAAATTTCTTACTCTGAACAAGTATATGGAATATCTTTCACAACGTCAATTATATGAGAGCGAGATCCATGATGTATAATTGAATTTCTAAAAAAATAGTAAATTGTTGATTAAATTTCAAGCAATACCAAAATACGTTAAAAATACTCGTAAAGGGCTTAAGTTAGTTCGTCACAAGGAAAAAAACGTAATTTGGTTTAAAATTAGACATATTCAATTTAATTACCTTAAAGGCCGGTTGATTATGAGCGCAATCATCTGAACTAAATGAGCGACGTATCCCAGTGAAACACTTAAGGTTATAGGTAACATATTGTCCATACTGCTTATACTGGTATGTTTTACATCACTATTAAATATATCCATAATCGGAAATGGCACATTATTTATAGTATTAAGACCACTTGAATTTTTTTCTATTGGGTAAATTCCTCGCAAACCAATACATAGTGCAGACATTCTTCGCTCCATATCTTTTATGATGTCACATTTCTTCTGCACCAAGGAAGATTGTTCATAACACTGCTCGCTCAATATTTTCTTTTCAGCTTGCAGCTGCTGAACTCTTGACTGAATCCAATGATGTCGCTGTTGACGATATTTCACTAAAGATATTAAAAGATTTCTCTGTTGAGCAATGCGTGCAGAGTATACATCACATTCGGACTGAATTAATCTTTGTTTTAAGCGCAAGGTTTCCATTTGTTTTTCTAATTTCTGTGCACTTAGAAGGGCATGCGGACTTACACCGTTTTGTTCAGAAAATAATTCGCTCAGTGTTCGACCCATTGTGATCCTTTGAGGATTACGGTTAAAAGATTTAGTTAATGCAGTTGATGAAGGGGCAGAAAGTTGATCTTTTGTTATACAATATAAACAACGACGTTTAATTTCTGAAGTCAACTCTTTACTCTCTTTTATTTTTTGTAACTGCATTCTTTGGAATTCTTGTAGTTTTAAAAGCTGCTCCAAATTGTAGCTTTTCCGCACATCACCTGCTTTAAAGAATATCTGCAGGTATCGAATATTTTCTAAAATGTCTACAGTTTCCAATTTTTCATCGCAACTATATTCAGAAGGACGATGTAATAAGCAGTCTGTTTCATTTGGAAAAGCTTTTAGTTGCGGTACGGTGAAGGAGTTGTTGGAAGATATATCCGAAATTGTATGATCAGAGGATGTAAAATATTCTCCGTTTAAAGAGAATATTAATGAGTTTTCCTTAAAGTTTAGATATCTTTGTTCACATAACGGCTTTAATCCAGAGAAATTTACACCCCAAGTAAAAAGCACTGTATCATCCGAGCATGTTGTAGAATGCATATCTTCCTGTGCTCTCGATGTATCTTGATAACACGCCCTGGGGAGTACATATGCATATGTTGGTAATAGTTATTAACAAAATAAGTAAACTAATTATTTATACCTTAATGATTCCACGCACTCCATTGTCGCTTGCATTTTTATCTCCTCCTTACAAACTCGAGCCCACACTTTGACACAAACACTTCTTTTATTTGACTTAAATAGTTTGGAGCAGATGATCTCCGCCCATCTTTGTTCCTCTCGATGGGGTAAGCATTCGCTGGAATAAAATGCCTCTTCATCCTTATGGTGATGAAGAGTATAATAAATTAGAGCTTTATTTTCAACACATTTTATGTTGACACCTTCGATTCTGATGAGATTTCGCAAGCGTAGTTGCTGTGTCGATAAAGGTAGCCACGAGCGGCAATGAGGTCTAGATCTCATATTTTCCACAAGAAATAAGTTTACTATTTTTAAATTATGCACTGTGTTACAACACGTATCTTTAATTCATTATTATCGAAAAATACACTAATTATACACTATGTGCTTCTGATATTTATAAACATACAGGTATGAACAAGGGACAACACCGATAGTAGTGTCAACATATTCAGCAAACAAAACTTATGATGCGGTTAGGCAAGGCAAGAAAAATTAAAAAAGAAAAGTTAAATTGAAAAATTTCTTTAGCTGCAAAGCAAGCTGCCTCAAAAAACTCTTCAACAATCATTTCTTTTTTATAATAGATGATAATGTTCATATAAATTCTGGCATTTAAATTATATTACAATTATATAATTTTTGTATTGGTTTTTTCCTTTTCCCTAATATTTGCGATATCTGCATTAATAGATTTTATACCATTACAAAAATTCTAATATTGAAATATTCGGAGCCTGTCTACAACAAATCACTTACAACGTATTTACTTAAATCTTTTTGTATAATTAAAACTGATTGTTTGAAAACTAAGCAGGAATCTGTGAAATCTGCTAGGAATGCATGTTTTCAATGTTGGTACCATCAATTATAAAAATCATCAATAAAAATATTATTCGTGATGGAAACTAACCGTAATTGCAAGTGTGTCAAAATATTTAAAATATCGTATTAATCGATATGCGATATTTTTTGGTTATGTCTAGTTATTATTGTTTTCGTTTTTTATAAATATTCTTCACTGTGAAGAAAGATAAATAACTTATCATTGCTGTGAACTCGTGCGTAGATCGCGTGAGTAGGTGCTTGTTCTGTCTCGAAGCATTAACGCATATAACCTTGAAAATAAGCAGGTATTTTAATAAAAATGGGTAATCAGCATGGAAAGAAGGAAGATAAATTACCCTTTAGCGCTGAGCATATCAAAGTGCTGGAGGCCTCATTTCGAGCTTGTGGCCCGCATTCAGAAAAACTTCAAAAGGATAAATTGCTGGTAAAGGAAAAATGGTTGTATGTGATGCTATAGCAAAATTTAATTCTCGTATTTTTCCTAGTGTGCGTCTAATTTTAACAAGTACTGATGAGTCTGATAAGACTTTTGTTAATATTTTGATCTTTAATTAATTAATTGAGTATTGTTATTTATGAATAAGCTGACTGACCCTGGTATAGTTGTACTTTCTGCTGCTCTTTACGTTAAATTTGTGTTATAAATGGAATAGAGAGACTACAAGTTATTTTGAGCTGAGGTTAACAATAAACATATAAACATATCTTATTACCATGAAAATTAACTAATCACCTATTTATTATAAAAAGGAAAAAAATCGACAGTGTGTTAAGCCCAGAATGAAATGACATTAAGGGAAGATATAGAAGGTCGTATTAATCATAATTTTTCTAGGTGAGGCATGGTTCACTAGTAATTAGATTTAAAGTTAAAAAGACACAAAAAAAATCACAATTTCATATTTTAGACAAATTTTTACGCTACTAAGTTTAGTAAATTCAGATAGACCCGAAAACTAATACCAGCAAACAGCTTTAGCAACGCATATCCAAGTCTGCTAATTAAGAATTCTCATGATTTTTCTTCTTTATCTTTAAGGAATGTTGGTCAAATATCATCGACTCTCATTTAGCGCAGAGCACAGCAAATTTTCTTTTCAATTCTACTCAGCAGACGACGCCCGCAATTACTCTACGCCGATATGCTGAACCATTTCACATAGTACAGAATGGAACAATTGATGACAAAGTGAATTTATTAGCAGCTTCCCTAGAACAAACTGATACAAATCAGTATACAATAAAAGAATTGGAGCATGTAAGATTATTTTTTGACTTATTACACTCATTAAGGTAATCAAAATATTCTAAATTCCGATAGTATGTTGCTGCTGTTTTAAAAAGTTATCTCAAACTAGAGTTGCAACAAGGTACGGAAGCGTTCAGTAGTTGGAAGCAACACGGCTATCAGTCATCGGAACGAGCTGTATTTGCATTCGCAAAAGGCCTTATTCGTGGTATATGTCAGGGTCAAGATCACTACATTAATTTAAATCAGTTGGAACAATGGTTGCAAATAAATCCTACTTTTCTTACAATGTGGCGAGAAGTTTTTGATAATTTATACAGCAAAAATATGACAAAGTCTTTGAAATTAAATTATGCTATTACTTCAAATATATTACCAGTATTAGAAGGTAAGCATGAATTGTGATTTATTTGATAAACCATTAATTTCATTTCTTTTAGGATTAGCAACAGGAACAAATTATACGCCGATTTTAGATATTCCGCATGTGATATTTGTGAACAGTAATTTACCGAACGAATATCGTAATAAATGGCGTTTCTTATTTTCATCAAAAATTATGGGAGAAAGCTTTTCCACTATGTTAGGAAAAATTTTAAATCGAGGTCCTACGCTATTGGTTATTGAGGATGAAGATCATTATCTGTTTGCAAGTTTTAATCCAGAGTCGTGGTCGTTGAAATCACATTTTTTCGGAAATGAATCTTCAATGCTGTTTACATTGAGCCCAGCAATGCGGCATTTTAATTCCACTGGTTACAATAACCATTATCAGTATTTGAATTTGAATCAACAAACTATGCCAAATGGATTGGTAAGTAATTTACAACAATACAGTGTTCACCCCATGAAATATAATTTTACAGTGTATTAAACATTTAGATATAAATTTCTGCTGCGCTAAATTCTTTAAAACCAAAGTAGTTTCAAATTTAACGAACTATTAGGTTTCAAAAAATGACATTTCGGGTAATGAACCATTTAGTTTCCAGTCGAACTAAAATACAAATAAAATTAAAATACAATATTAAGGACAACTTTATCTTAAGCTTTCTACTTCTCTCTCGTAGGGTATCGGCGGCCAATTTAATTATTGGGGTTTATGGGTTGATAGTGATTACGGTGTGGGACAAAGCAGTGAGTCCTGTACAACATATCACGATTACGTACAGCTTAGTAAACGTAAGGAGTTTAAGATACGTAATTTGGAAGTTTGGGGTATTGGAGATGAACCTAAAGATGATGATGACGACGGCGAATATGAGGTAACGTAATATTGGATTTTCAAATAAAATAAAATCGTTCACTTAGAACGCCCTACCTCTTTTATTGTCTGTTTCACATTTCTTCCGGGAACCTCCAGTAGTGGTTGTTCTATAATTTTTTTGCTAGTAATTAAATAAATTCTAGTAGAATAAAAAAAAATACTATAATTAATTAGTAAATAAATTTAGTGATCTGAGCACATAATTTTAGTTTATTCTGTTATGACTTTTTTTTTAGAAATTATACTATGTATTTGTATAGTCGCTTTCTTACAGCACAAACTATTCGATTGCATAGTTAGTTCGGCATTCGAATAAAAATAAATTTACAAATGTATTATTATTTGAATATGGCAGTCTCTCGGCACGGATTGTCAAACCCTCCCAGTGTATTTCTGACATGAAATAAAGCCACTAATAAAAAAAACCATCAGCCGTTCGGATGCGGCTTAGTATAAACTGTAGGGTTCTCCATTTGTTGGATAAAGACGCAAAACCACAAATTGGAGGAGGAGCTCGGCGGAAAATCGCTTCAGCGGTTACAAAGCGCCAATTATATATATGTATGTGGCAGTTTACTAAACTTATTATCAACCTAGTCGTATAGTAGAGATTGATGATAAAAACGTTTCATTTATACAAAATTATATTTTTATCAAACTTTTTCAGGGCGGAAAACGTTCAATATTGGATAAAAACTTAGAGGATAAAGTCATGCTTCAGCTGGCTGGCAAAGAAATGCATTCGGAAGGTCTTCGTGAACCGGAAATGGACTTGTGAAAATATTTTGAAAAAGTATTAAAAGAGAAAACAAAGTTTATTTTTGCTATTGTAATTTAAAATTTCATAGCGTATAGTAAATACGTTTGCTGTTAAATATTTCTAATTGGTTATAAAGTCAATTATATCTCATTAAAGGTAATTAATCAAAATTTTTTAATCATGTCACAGCAACAAATTTTCATTGTTTCTTTAGTAATGATGTCGTTAACTGTTTATTTTGTGTATTCATTCGGTTTTCAATATTTTTAAATATAGAAACGCTAGGTAACTCTTTGCAAACAGAACTCCAATATATTTAAGCGGTGACGCAAGCAGTCAGTTCGCTTGACTAAAATGCATAATACATACATACTAAGGATATTTATTTATATCGCCAGTAGTTAAAAAAAGTTAATATTATTTTGTGTTCAATTTTTCCGAACAATTAACTATTTTTTAAATTATAAATTTATACATCATATATATGTATATATATATGTATGTACATACATATGTATGTTGGTTATATGTTTTCTATGATAAACATAAATGCATGGACACATATAAAATATAGCTTGCCTTATTAATTTCGGAATACCTAATGATAGGGGGAACCGAGGCGGAGGGAGGGCTTGGTGCAAAGTTTAGTTATCACCATATCACCAAATAAGCAATACCAGAACCAGTTGCCGTGATAGTTGAAGATGGATTAAATTTTTCATTTCTGTGTTGAAAACTGTCTGCTGTCTTTAAATAGATTGCACAGAAATTATTTGCTGATTTTTTACGATAAAAAACCGGGAAATTTGCAACTCGGTCGCGGGGGAAAAGTGGTGGATATAAAAGCCAAATTATTTTTCCATTTCACTTAATTTTTTTATATACATATATACTAGCAGACCCAGCCTCACGCTGTTGTGGCTTTCTGTATTTTGTTGTTGTTGTTGTTGTTGTTGTAACCGCAAATTATTCTCCGAATTGGTTTTCGGGGAATATTGCGGGAGTGACAGTTCTTGGCCGGTATAAAGACCCGACTGTCGCGGGAACTATTCGATTTTAGTCGACTCTTACGACAGGCATGCCTTACTACGGGTAAATTCTGAGCCCCTAACCCGCAGGGGTTTCTGTATTTTGTAGAATTCTTATTCTTATTGATATTGCAAAAAATGACAAAAAAAACCCTTATCAAGCATCATATAATACCAAATAAAACAACAAACATACTGTGCCATTTGCACATCATGGTTTTTCCCGGACCACAGTCGCCATAAATGAATCACATCTCATTAATTTTGTTGCTTTGTATTACTCACTGAATAGGTTACGATCCTAATAAGCTTAAAACCTCATTACAATCCTCTCTTTACGCGAAAGACTCCCTTGTACATTTTCTTCTATATATATTGGCACAAAGGACCTTAAATCATTCGCAAAACTTTTCTGCCAGTGCCGACTCATTAGACCTCGACTTCTTCCACCCGAACTTGTAGAATTTTGTTTTTGTTCGTCGAGAGAGGAATTTTCTTTTCAATTTTCTACTCAGACCAAGTCAACAGGAGATATTCCGTCTTGTCCTCATTCACTACCATGCCCATACGCTTTATCAAGTCTGGAGAAAGCAGAACTAACGCCGCACTTGTTGATCTCAATGATCTAAAAATCATCGGCGTACGCCATCAGCTGTACACTCTTATACAATAGAAGATTGTACGTTCTCTTATACTCTCCAGCAGTAAATTAAAGAAATCACACAAGATAAGGAATAACCTTGTCCGTATCCTCGTTTGGTATCGGACGATTCAGGGAGGTTCTTCCTGATCCCGACGAAGCTTTTGGGGGCGTAGAGGCAGTTCCTTTACGTTTTAAGGATTTTTCAAGATTTTGTGCCTGGTAAATATCTATTATCTATTTACCAGGTCTAAAGCCACACTCACGAGGTCAAAACAGTTTGTTGACCGCGGTCTTTAGTCCCTCATACAAAACCCTAAGGATGTTTATCCAACGGTATCTTTATTACCTGTTCAAATCTACGCTCTACTCCGAACGGCTTTTGGTCTTTTGAGCTTTTTATGAAGATCCTTGAAGTTTTTGATGTAAATTCATACGTTGAGATTAACATATCCTGGGTAGAGGTGATCGAATTATCTTAGAAGTTGGTCTGCCAGGATTCAATTCCACTGACGTTCGCTTAGTGCGTAGGGATGGGTTCGAATACCACGCTAGAGACAAAGCCAAGTTAACTGGTTTCTTCAGGTAAATCGAAAATTAATTATAAGTTGATAGAATGTTATTAATTAAAATTGATTTATTCCCTTTTAGGTTTTTTGATATATTAGAAAATTATTAACGTTGCCTATATAAAAAACGAAAAAAATGAGACAAGAATACATTCCATTAGACAGGCATGGAGGTGTCAACGGAAAGGCCATTTTAGTCTGCATGAACAAAAGGAAGTTTAGTCTATATGAACAATCCCTCATTTACTTTATTTTCGCCAATATCAGTTCGTATGCATACAAGATACAAACGTATGTATGTAAACGTATATTTATTATGAAGAACAGTTACATATGCATATATATAGATGATTATCCTGCATTTAATTCGGCTCTTTCCCAAATAAAATTATATTATTGGAAATTTGGTGTAATGAATATTGGAGACAATTCATTAGCACCACTCCGAATACTCGGCGAAGGTGCTTTTGGGCGGGTGTACCTTTGTAGATGTGTTTCTACCGGTGCACCACCTGTTGTTTGTGTCAAAAGAATATTAATTCAACAACCGAAATTAGAAATAAAAATGCTAATGGAAGAGGTAGAGGATTGTATAAATAAAACAAGTGCAAGGCATGTGCTCACAGAAAAACGATTTAATATTTGAAATTTTTTCTTTTTGTTTGAAACAGATCTATATTATTTCACAATTGAAACATCCAAGTATTATAAAGTTCATTCGATCATATGTGCACGAAAGCAGCGTAAACATTGTTATGGAATTTGCTTCGAATGGTACTATGCGTGATATAATTAGCTTAAATCGTCGCCCATCAATATCAAAGAAAAGATTTCTTGAAATGATAATTGATATTATAATAGGACTTGAATACCTACATATCCGTCACATAATTCACAGAGATCTTAAACCGGAAAATATTTTAATAGATAAAAATAATAAGATTAAAATAGCTGATTTTGGCATCTCAACCATATTTAGTAAAAATAAAGCAATTCAGGGCCTGACCGGTACATATCTTTACATGGCGCCAGAAGTTATGAAAGGTGAAAAATATGAATTTAAATCAGATGTTTGGTCATTGGGTTGTATACTCTATGAAATGTGTAATGGATTTAGTCCTTTCAAACATGCGAAAAATTTGGCTGATTTAAAATATTTAATTCAGAGCTGTGCTCAAAACGGACTTGATACCGCGTCAATATCCACATATTATGGTATTGAATGGGGTAGAATTTGCAAAAAAATGATTGTTGTTAATCCTAGTAAACGTTTATCATTATGTAACATCGTATCATATGATCCAAATATCGCTATCCCATATTATTGCGTATATTTTAATTATAAAAACGATTTTATGTAATAAGTTTTCCACTTTAATAGAATTCTATTTGTTTCGTTTTTCAGTATATATGTACATGTTTTATTTATTTTATAAACAATGAATATCGTTATCATCTACATACATATTTGTTTAAATTTCCAAAATGTTGAGGTTTAAGCGTACACACTGTTAGATGAACTCGGCTCGTGAAGAGCAGCAGCATTTCAGTTATGCTTCCCATTTTTATGAATAAACAAAACATTAAAATTCAAGTACACACTTATTTGAAATCGCACGTTTGAAGAGTGGCTAAAAAAATGTCCTAAGAAAAAAAAATAAAATGTACCCATTTGTTCTTTTATATTGGCGATTTTCTTGTGCTAATGAATAATATTTATCTGGGATTTCTTTGATAAAAAAAAATCATCAATTGAGAAAAGCAGCATATCACCTAACAAAATTATTAAAATCAATAAATTAGTCCTTATAAATTTTGAAGTATTATTGGTTTCTAAATTCCTTCTTTCGGACTTATATAATAAATAAAATATAAGTTTGCCCTCATGTTATTCCACCTACGAGCATTTGCAAAATTTCTTCTATGTGGTAAAAAAAAAAATATTTATTAATAAACTTATTATAAATACCATTCGCAGATACTTTGTTCATATTTCGCTTAGTTTTTTATCGCAATTTATTGATCATGAATATCTTTAGTCTGAAATTCAAATGTAATTTCGAACAACGATTTTTTTTAGCAAGTCAGCCCATGAAATTTTTTTTTAATCAATTTTTTAATTTTTGTTTTAATATTCATATCATAATTGTTTAAATATCTTAAGACATTCGTAAGTGTAATTGATAAATCGTTATTAAGAAAAACACTATACATACTATATAATCAGTAAATATTTTAATACTTTGATTATTTTCTGTAATCTTATTTCACATATTAAAACATTTCAAATACATTATGGATTTTGCTTAAGGCATGAGAAGATTCATATTGACTTTTGATGACGCACTTCCTAAAAATTTCTCTTCGTCACCTCTAAGGGAAAGTTGCTTTGAAAAATCGTTTACATTCTTATCCCGCAGCATTGAGCACCGTTCCCACCTGGAGCTGCTGCAATTTGAGCAACTAAATTTTGGTAGTTTGAAAAGTGTTGTTGTACGATTTCCACAGTCTTTACATTGAAAGAAGCGTTTCACACCTTCTATTATTTTAAGTTCATGGCGTTCTTCCTTGCAGCGATCTGCAGCAGAAAATGCAGTATACTTACAAACTTTACACACAACAGCTTTACATGATAATTTATATGTTTTGAGCATTTTTTCTTCTAAAGCTTCTTTTTTCTCGAGCTTATTGAAATATTTGTCTTCTTCCTGTTTATTACGCAAATCTATTAAATCACTATGACCAGAGGTAGTTTCGATAATGCTTGTGAAATGTAATTTTCGTGTTTCATCAATTTTTTGACGCTTTTCTTCATTTCCGTTAAGAGCTTCTAGAGCACGTTTCTTTCCGCCTGTAGTCCCTCGAATTGAATTAGGATTTACTTTTTCGAGAGGTTTTTTCTTGAGCATGTCAATAGCTCTCTGCTTAGCAAAAGAATGCGAATCCACTACTGTAATAAAAATGTAGATATGTAGGTAATCATAAATATTGTTCAAAACAATGTGTAGTAATAATAAATTGCATTTGGCAAAATTTAAAAAGAAGATGAACAAATCTAAATTTTTTCTGTATATGGCATACTTCACTGCTAAAAATTTTTGATGGAAAATAAATGATTATATATACATATATAGTAGAAGTATGTTATACCTGAAATTTTACATTCCGAGAATGTTGTTGCACTAGTCCTATTCGAATAAAGTGACTCTCTTTTACTAGCAATTGGGTCTTTGGACCCTAAGTCTTGCACGCCAGATTTTGCAGTATTTGTTTGCATCGGCTTATGAACAATTGAAGATGAATTTGTATGCTGGAGTGAGTCCATTATCAGTCTATCTTTTTGCTTAAGTTTGATTGAATTAAACTTTGCATTACGTTTTACATCATTGTCTACATTAATAGAAAACATATTTAATATATCATATTTCAACAAGTGCTGGTAGTTTTAAAATCTTACCAAACTGTCTCCCATGTGTTTTATATACACTTTGCTTCTGGAAATCACGAGACATAGATACCTTTTTATATTCCTTTTGCATATGAAAAACACAAAAATCGCATTCGTAAAGATTTACAATATTCTTACAGGCATCACCATTCTTCTTTTTAGCTTTGCATATGCCAAAATCTTTTGATTTCCCCAAAAGCAATACTTTCTTCGCCGAATTAATGGAAAGACAAGCAATGTCCTTTCCAGAAGCATTATTTTCACTGAAAGTCGGATTCAGAATAGCCACACAACTGCCTTGGAGAGTTTTCCATAATTCTTTATGAGCATCCTGAAACAATAATACGCATACCGTTTTCATATCCCCTTTAAGATCCGATAACTTCCAAATTGTGTAAGTGTTAGATTTTGAGGAAACTTTAGTTTCCTTGGATGTTATAACGCCTGCAACAACCCAATCGCTTGTTTTGTCATTAACCAGCATCTGATTTTGTAAATCATTAAATGTTACAAATTTTCGACTTGCCATTCGCTCTCTAATCATTAAACTGGATATTAGTGGACTTGTAATACGCAATCCAAAAACTGTGTCCGCACAAGTAGGCTGAATTTTATTCATAGTTTGTAATTCTTTTGATGTGTTTCCGAGACGACTAGGTAATTCTTTTGATGCGTTTCCGAGACGAACAGGTAATTTTTTTTCGAGGAGCATATCATTTGAGCTATTTGGTTGACCACTGTACTGATCGTATTTTCGTTCCAAAAAATTTTCAACATCGCAATTTAAAAGTTCAATTTCTCTTGTTTCTGAACTTTTTATATCATCAAGAAGTGCACCCAGAGTTAAAAGTTCACTCTCATTGTCGGAAAATTGATCATTCGGTGTTTCGTTAGGCATCTTGATAAAATTAATTTCAGAAATTAGTTTTCTCAAATAGTTAATTGCCAAAAAATGCGCCAATAACAAAGGTGCTATCGATCTTGATAATCAGCTGTTCTCATGTCAACATTTCTGGTTTTTTGAGACATGACACTTAAGACAAGGATAGACAGAACGCGTTGCGTTACAGATCGACTTTGACGTTCTAGACGAATTCATGCACCAATACGAAGTTTTCTACAAAATACTATATAATATATATATTGTATTTTTCGATATACAGCGAAAATTGTTTCACTTTCATTGCAAAGATTGTAATGTTACACAGAGCAAAAAAAATTGTATTGCCAAAGTATGTAGAAATTCCGCTTTGCGATGCGTGAGTTTGAGTTTGACCTGGGAAATGAATTCAAGCAGCAGTACGCAACGCTGGGACAATAAAAAATACGCTAAAAATTTGTCAACTCTAGCAGCATATAGAATTTAAAGGAAATATAAGCATAAAGAAGTTTCAAATACATACATACACACGTGGTAAACAATAAATTACGACTTCAGCTTTTATTTCTGCATTTGTTTAGTTTATTTAAATTTTTTTTTTAATATAAGTCGCTATTGTCAGCCTTGAACAATAGTGATCAATCATCAGTTGAGATGGTTTAGCGAAATAATCAATCGCTCTTGGTTTTACTGTTACGGTAACTTCTGACTTGCATGGCGCTCTTACAAGAAAGGTAGAGTAGGAAAGTGTCAGGCTGACAGATACCATTAAAATTTTAAAGCTCAAAACGAATAAAATATCGCTAGTTTTCTGTTTAATTATTGTGGTTTTAAACCATTAAATATTTTATTTATTTTAATTTTTCGGATAATGAGGAAGGGGATAAAATAAAATGATGGAAATTAAAGTCAGCAAATGGTTAACACGTTGAGAGATGACCAACTAGGCGTGACATTGTTGTCTTTGTTGTAGCGTTTGCTTTGTCGTTAGAGCCCTTTTATGACGGAAATTTCATAGAGTTGCATGTATTCATCATAACCGTCAAAGTCAAACTGTTATGCCCCCGGCTCTAAAGCTATATCTGCAACCCTTAAAGCCAGTTTAAATGGAAGCGATTGGAAGTATCTCCCAATGATTTTCTGCATTCAACACAGCTTTGATATTTGTGATTCAGACAAGCACTTTTTCTAAATTTGCAGCAAACTATGTTTCATTTCTCTTGACATACCGATGCACTTCTCTCCAGTTATATTTCGAAAAAATAATTTATTTGATCTTGTTCGGATTTCAGTTTAATTTCATCTAATAATAATTTAGTTGACTATCGTTTACTGTACTCTAAATGTAAAGCGACAATTAAATAAATGTTTAAATTATATTTAGGCATGATCATAATAATGCCTGTGATTTCGTAATTATAATAAAAATATAGAAACAAATTGAATATCCGTTCAAAAAGTTTAAGTTGTTTATTAGCAATCAAATTCCTATTATTTATTGAGCTAGTTCTTTCATGCGGTTAAGAGCACTGCCAGCTTTGAACCAACCAATTTGCAAGTCATTCAAAGTATGGTTCAGCTTAATCTTATCGACCTTATTGCCGTTCTTAATTTCGCAATCAACCTGCTTTCCAGGTGCAAGACTATTTAGGCCGAGCAAAGAAATTTTGCTCTCCGGTTTTATCTGAGGGCAAAGATTTTTAAAATTAATCGATATCATTTTACTTTTTTTATATAGAATACATACCTTGTCGTAATCAGCTGGATTTGCAAATGTTAAAGGCAACAATCCTTGTTTCTTCAAATTTGTTTCATGAATACGGGCAAACGATTTGACAATAATTGCTCTACCGCCAAGGTGTCGGGGTTCCAGTGCAGCATGTTCCCGAGATGAACCTTCACCGTAATTTTCATCTCCGACAGCAACCCATTTAATACCGTTAGCTTTGTAATCACGCGCTACGTCAGGAACGCCTCCCCATTCACCCGTTCGTTGATTTTTAATCTTATTCATTTCGTTATTTTCTGAGTTGACAGCGCCAATAAACATGTTGTTTGAAATATTATCCAAATGTCCTCTATATTTTAGCCAAGGTCCAGCAGCAGAAATATGATCTGTTGTACACTTTCCTTTTACTTTAATAAGAACAGTTAAATCTTGCAAGTCTTTGCCATCCCATTTATCGAAGGGATCTAAAAGTTGAAGACGTTGGCTTTTTGGATCCACATCCACTTTAACAGATTCACCACTCTAAAATATAATACAATATTATAAACTTAAATTATTCCTAAAACTATAATAGCTAAAATGAAAAATTTCATCAAATCCGACGACGCCGGTATTAATGAATTAGTAGTTGTTGGTGTACCATATTTCAAACGAAGATTCGTAATAAATCATAATATTACATACCTTAGGTGGGGCATCAAACGTATCCATACCAGGATCGAAACCTCTCGAAGGCAATTCATCACCAAACGGAGCAGCTAATTTGAATTTTTTACCATCAGCACCAGTGAGTTCGTCGGTTAAGGGATTAAAGTCCAATCGGCCAGCAATTGACAAAGCCGTAACAAGTTCAGGGCTGAAATTTCGAAATTATTATCATATTAAATTAAATTTAGGAGTTAGATTATCATTGCAGACACTCTCTCAAGCGAATAATAGTTCTAATTTTACAAATTTTATACTCAGCACTAATATTTTTACATATTTCATCCGACAACTCAGCCATATATCCGTATATAATATATTTTAATCTGCAATAAACATTACTAATCCGACGTTATATATATATATATTTGGATTTGAACCCGAACCATCCGAATGTCAGTTCGCAACGCTAACCACTCGGCCACCGCGACCGCCGTGATACTTAATATAAGTAAACGATATAATTGATGGCTTTTAATTACTTAAGACCTTTTGTGCAGTATTTTTTACTATCTCTGTACGGGGAATGCAGTTCTATAAGTTATTACTTACAGTAATACAATAATACGAGGAAATATTATCATTTCAAGCGCGGGGTAAATTAAATAACAAAAGAAAAAAAATCATTTTATGTTATTCTGTCGCACGTCTAACAATCTAACAAAATTATTGACACGCGATGCGTGTACAGAAGCACTAAACTTTATCTTTATAGCTGCCTAATTGCAAGATTTATCACCTATTATCACCCATCAGAACGTAACACGTTGAAGGAATTAGATTTCTATGATTTTTATTGTCCCGAATTTCAAAATTTATTATCAGATCTTACCTAACTGAACAAATCAAAGATATGGGAAAAACATTTTTACGTCATCTGACAAGTGAATTATCTTAAAATTTGAGCAATTAGTTTGCGCTCAAATAAAAAAGGAATGAATGATGCCCAATAGATAAAAGTTTAAATTGATCTGCCTATTTGCGTTCTGGTATAGTAATACTGCGGAACAAAGTTATAATACCATTCCATGGAATGTATAAAAAGAAGCATAGACTATGTTCATAAATAGAAGTACCCAAATCGATTAAATAAATTAGATACATGAATTGATGCAAAGACAAAAATAAAAACAAATTATACTTTAATTACCTGGTAACAAATGAGTGTGTTGCTGGATTAGCATCATTACGACCAGTAAAGTTGCGATTGTATGATGTAACAATAGTGTTCTTTTCTCCTTTTTTAACGTCCTTACGATCCCATTGGCCAATGCAGGGACCGCAGGCATTCGCTAAAACGGTACCACCGAATTTCTGAAATACTTCACCGATACCATCTCTTTCAATGGTAGCACGAATTTGCTCAGATCCAGGAGTAACATTAAATGGTATTTTAGATTTTAATCCATGTTTCATGGCATCTTTTGCAATATTTGCGCAGCGACCCATATCTTCGTAAGAAGAATTAGTGCAGGAGCCAATGAGACCCACTTTGATATCAATTGGATATCCATTTTGTTTTGCATTTTTGCCAAGTTTACTTATTGGATGAGCCAAATCGGGCGTGAATGGACCATTAACATGGGGTTCTAACTTATCTAAATTAATTTCAATTAATTCGTCATATTCACAATTTCCGTCAGGCGACAATAGCTTCGCTTTATATTTGTTGGCTTCATCCGCAATACCGCTGCGGCTTGTGGATTTCAGATATGACGCCATACGATCATTAAATGGAAACACTGATGTGGTAGCACCTATCTCAGCCCCCATGTTACAGATGGTAGCCATTCCAGTACACGATATGGAGTTAACACCGTCTCCATGGTACTCAATTATTGCACCTGTGCCTCCTTTCACAGTAAGAATGTCAGCAACCTAATAAATGAAGAAAAATATATTTGTATAAGTAAATATTTATGGTAGCATCAAACAATTTTAATATTTAACTTTTCTTATTATTTTAACATTTCCTTTTGACAATATACCATTTGCATTTTCTTACCTTCAAGATAATATCTTTTGGAGAGGTCCATCCGCTAATTTTTCCTGTCAAATTGACACCAATTACTTTCGGACACTTCAATTCCCAAGGAATATCTGCCATCACATCGACAGCATCTGCGCCACCAACACCAATGCAGAGTCCACCAAGACCTCCTCCATTTGGAGTATGCGAGTCGGTACCAATCATTACTAATCCAGGGAAAGCGTAGTTTTCCAAAATGATCTGATGAATGATTCCGCTGCCAGGTTTCCAGAAGCCGAGACCGTATTTTGCGCATGCTGATGCTAAAAACTTATATACTTCCTGATTCAAATCTTTTGCTCTAGCTAAATCCTCTTTGCCACCAACTTGAGCTTCGATTAAATGGTCACAATGCACTGTTGAGGGCACAGCGACTCTTTTCAAACCAGATGAAATGAACTGCAAGAGCGCCATTTGAGCAGTAGCATCTTGCATTGCTACGCGATCTGGTCGAAGGCGCAAATACGATGTGCCACGCACAATCTCCTGATTTTTAGGATCATCCAAATGGGAGTATAAAATTTTTTCAGATAATGTCAGAGGACGATTTAAACGATCTGATACAATCTTTAGATTGTTTGTAAGCTTTTCATAAGGTAAGAAAACATCAGAATCAAATTTCGACAGGGCAACTTTGGAAGCTGCATATAACGACGAGTGGAAATTTCTGGAATAAATACTGGGAGCACATTGGCCAATTGCATGCGCCTGTAAAAATTACCATAATTATAGCATCAGTAATGTAATATATTTAAATTTTTGTAAAATATTTATATATGCATGTGTATGTGTTACTTTTTAATTTTACTTATATATATCTAAGAAATACAATATGTTGAAAGCACCAAAGCGCCTGGCCGGGGGTATACATTTTTTAATCAACCTACTTTAATCTAATTTTTATTAAAATTAAAATGTATGTTTCCACTTTTCAAATATAATTACGCACTCAACTCTTTATATAATATGAAATATATTATATAATAAGCGACAAAATACATCACTTATTACTATTTTCGTCGGATCGCACACTTTAAACTTCTTTGGGGGCGTTGGGTCCGTTTTGAGATTTTTTTGGATGGTTTGGACCAAAAAGACAGGGGCGTTAGTAACATGGGGAATACCATCAGAAGTTAGGCAAGGTTATCAAAGTGAGCCAAGTATCTCCTAGAATTTTTGGAATGTGTCTTTTCACCCAACAGCTTTACTCTAAGCCAACCTTCGAATGGCCACTGGGTTTTTATTAAGATCTTCATATTTGATGTCAGAAATAGAGTCTGACCAGGGTTCGAACTCACGGCCCACAGTAAGGTATCACGCGCAGGTAACCACTAAACTTTAAGGTCAAATACAACTGCTTGCTCAACATATTTTGGAAAAAAAACTCTAATTGTTTACAATGGTACTGTAGCAAATTGTTCATAAACTCAAAGCAATAAATTCGAGTTAGTGGCGTAGGGCGATCATCGTCTGAGATAATTACCATGCTGATAAGCGTTCTTAATTTGCATTGTATTTTCCAGATATAATTTAAGCCTAAATAAACAAAAAGACATTTGCGAAACAATGATTAGATTGAATCTAAATTTCAAAGGTCACATTAACCATTAAGCTACTTTTTATTTAATCACAGGAATATTTCATCCAAGCCTGATCTTGCGCACACGATTACACAAGTTAAACACATGGCGTATTTTTTTTGTTTTTGTAAACTTGTATATAACTCCTTTGTATCTCTCTATGCACACATAAGTACAATTAAGGAATATTAGTATTGCTTTCATTTTCTACTGCAAAAAAAAAGAATGCATTGGCAATTGTATCGTCTGCTCTTAATTTTTTCAGATGTTAGACGTCGGTACATTTATCATTAAAGCTGTCATTACACAATTGCCACAATCCAAGTGCAATATGAAATAATAAAAAAGAAAAGTGACTGTAGTATTGCAAAAAAAAATTTACTAACTGGGACGCGAAAATAAATAAAAATTTTTCTTGCCTTATGTTGTCCCGAGAATGACTACCAAATGTTTCAACCTTATCCTACTGGGAAGAACGTTACTTGATTAACAGCAAGAATTCGTTTCCGAGAAGCTATTTATACACATGCATGAGTATATGATTCTATTTATGTTTTAATTTTTTTTTCAAAATTCTTTCGTTCTGAATAAAATTAGTAGCACAGCATTTTAGTTGTGATAGAAAGTTTTCTCTTCATTTTTTAAATACAAAAATTAACAGTTTTAATGATCCTAAATCTTCTTCGAGGGACATAACTAATGCATATGTCATTTTATTTTAGGGAAGTTACGAGAACTGTATGTCTTTTTAGCTCTCTAAAGCACAAACTTTTTTCCTACCGTAAGAAGTAAGTAAAAGTTAATCAGCATTCTTGAAAGCGTGCCCCTTTTTTATCAGCTGACAACAAAGAAGACAGTTAGGTAATATTTATAAAGTAAATTGTCAGATGAAAATATACTATACAAATAGCAAGCCAATTCATACGCTATCTTTTCTTTAATTTAAATTTTTTATCACTTTTCTTCAAGTAGATGAACGAATATACATATATTCAAACGTACATATGGTATAATATACATATATAACTAAATATTTGGTTATACAATATACGTATATTATATGCAGCTGGTACTTTCTTTACTAATTCCTGACAACTTTTCGACAAAGAGTACTTTCAGCCCCATCTGGCTGTTGTTGTTGTAGCATTACATTAAATGCAAGATCTAGTAAATGTAGTCAATGTCATCGAGGTCATCTGACAGGAAGTTCAGGAATCGTACTTTTTTGAGAGATTTGCACTGCAGGAAGAGAGATGTTAGTATCATGGGTTCCCCCACCAACGATAGCTTGCAAAGCGTTTCGAATTGATTTTTGACCGTGCTTTTCCTTCTATTTGGGAATGTCTTTTTTCAAAAAAGTTAATGAAGCGGCAGTTTTTTCTGAGCATCCTACGAATGATTTCTGGATTTTAATGGAAACTTTATATGCCAGAATAGTAATCGGTGGAGTTGGCTTTTCTTACAGAGGGACGAAGGCAGTCTATAATAATGTTGATATGACCCATGACGTTCCATATATCTCGTACTGCTAACCACTCGTCTACAGCGAAGCTTCTCAAAATATAGTCGTCCCGATTATCTTGGGACAGTAGTACAACTTCATCAGCGTCCAATTTCGTTCATGATGCTGATTTATTCATATTGAAGTCTATCGAATGTCTCAACCAGTAACTATGGCTATGCTTTATATGAAAACTTCTCTTTGTTCCCTTATGATGCAATGTGCGACTGTAAAATAAAGCCGCATATGATTTCTTAAATTGCTAGCCTTTTTTTTACCTTTAAGTAACGACAAAATTTTTATTACTGATTGTATAAGAAGTTTTGTCGGTGGTGCCAATAAGACATTTTACTCAATAAATATTATATATTCTTGGCTCTTTTGCTACCAAAAAATTTTCAAATTTCTTTCAAATGTTTAAGGCAGTTAGCGATATTGTTAAACGGTACATGTAACATAAACTTGAAGATGTTGCTCCGATGCTGACATTATACTAGTGTGTTTCGCAAAGACAAATACAAAAGGTGGGATTATGTATATGTTCCTATAATCTCTTTTACAAGATGTGAAAAAAATTTAGCGAATTTAAAAATTATTTTATAAAACTTAACTTCCAACAATAACACAAATCCAATTGGATAGTTTAAAGCTTCATAGCTTGGTTAGATAACAACATCCTTTGAGGTTATGGTCGTAAATAATAACTTGAAATAAGATTGTAAGATATATAATAAATTAACCCAATTATATGCCTTGTTCCATTATTATTTTACTATGCTGGAGAATGATTTTTTAGCATTAATCCACAAATACAGAAGATTGTACATACCCTATTGTTGATGCAACGGAGTAATTGGGCCATGATAATTTGATTTAATGTCGAAAAACTAATTTACATATATTTCTTTCTTTTCTAAAACACAAATTTTATTTGTATTAGACAAATCTCCACTCGTGTTACAAATCTATTGGCAGCTAACTATTTAAACGTATCAAACAAAATACTGCAATTTTATTCTGATTATGTAAATACACTGATAGCCGCTCGATAACAATCGATTTTCTTATAGTGTGCGATACAGAGCATAATTGAATTTCGAAACTTAGACTAGGTTTACACAACGAAATTTTTGTTCCTCGTTTAAGACAGTATTCTGATATTTCGTTTTAGCTAATTTTACAGTATACTCTGCTTCTTTGAGATGATTTAAAAAATGATTTTAATATATATTCGTGCAACTAATTAAATTCACACCTATTTAAAACAAACAACTTTAGCTCCATCGGGAAGACATCGGCATTCAAAGGTCCAAAGATAGAAATTTTCACTCCATCCATAATCCTTTTAACTTCTTCAAAGTAAGTACCAAGCGCTGCGCTAGTATTTGAAAGTTTGCCTTAGCGTTGCTTAAGAGATAAATTTCGAAGCTCTGAATATATTCAACTTAGATGTCAAAGGTAATCTGTCACAAAAGGTGGCCTAAAAGTTCTTTCAGGCTTGGGCTTAACGCTGACGCCAAGCGTGTTGACCGTTGTTTGAGCTTAAATGTTATGCATTTTCTTTAAATTTAATATCTTTTTGAAGAAAAATATTTAAATCGAAAAATCTTTATTGCAAAGCTAGAAACGTCATGAATCCGGTTGATTTAGATTTTTTATTATCCAAGGTATACATTTCCATAATTAATTTTATAATTTTGACTCATTTTCCGTAGTTACATTAATTGGTGGCAAGTGTCCATCGCCAATAGGAAAATCCGATTGAATAGCAATTTTCCCCGTATGGAACCATTCTATGCGGTGTAAATTCGTGGCTTTCAACCGATATTGCTCAATGGTCAAGTCTTCGGTTTTTAGCTCTTTCGATTCTGTATATGCATCATCGCCTGGCATTAAAGACACAGTACCATCAGAACATTTCTGAATAATAGGAAACATCAAAGTAACACCCTTTTGAGAACGAACTCTTGCGAATTCTATTAATTCATGGATGCGATTGAAGTTCAACAGCCTTGACAATTCGTAGAACTGTGGGGGATGAAGATTAATTTGGTTGGATAAGTGTTGCCTGATGGATTCCATAGGTGTGTCCCACTAAAAAGAAACAAATTATATAATATTTTTAGCTTCCGCAGAAAATATTTACCGAAAAACAAGCAGCTTCATTAGATTCTAAGAGCACATCGGGTGTATGATCTAACGCCGCCAAATAAAAAACGGCTGCAAACCTTCAAATGAAATTAAAAGAGTTGATCTCTTAGCTTTAGATCATTTTAATTTTTTTGTGTCATTTCGTTATTTATTGATGATAACATGAAAGAAAGAAAGGAATCTTTCGCGTTGCGTGAGCAGTTCTAGAATTTGCCCGATGTAAAGCATGCCTTCAGTATAAGAGGCAACTAAAATTCAATAGCTCCGACGACAGTCGGCAATGTCCTTCCCGCAATTTTCCTTGGAAACTAATTTGGAGAAGATTTTTGCAGTTACTCAACCCTACCATCAAAGTGCGATAGCTTTCCAGCGGCTAACAGACCATACCCATACGTCATTATCTCACCCCCGTATTACGAACGCTTTCTTAAGATATACACAACTCCCACAATTCAAAAGCCAAATCTTCAGGAAAGATCGCAGAGATAGATAGTGCTTATATTTGACTCGATAGATAGGCCCTTATCTTCGTTTCCGCGGATCACTACACATTTGTGAACTTCAAAATAGCTGAAATTTACCAAGAACACCTTCAGTGCCAGCTTCGTTTTCCATAAGCCAGCTGCCAGAATAGTGGAAATTTTCCCAAATTATCCCACTAAAAGAGTATTTAGTATCGAGGCAGAACTCCTGAAGTCAGAGATTCGACAAATTGTAAATTAGTATAAGAGGAACAATGGGGTAAAACACTTGAGGCCTCTAACGCAATCAAGCTTTGGGCCACAATCAAACCGATATCGACGAGACGTGATCGGGGGGAAACTTCTTTCAGTGACCACGTCTCGTCGGACCCGAAGAGGAGCGATAGCATTTTCAGTTGGTTTTATACGAAGAATTCTTCGGTTGACAAAATGAAGCGAATTGAGACCCGCCTTCTGAGCAAACAGCCATACACCAGCATGGTGCTTGATTTCTTCAAAGGTTCAAGGGGTTATCGGGAAGAAGAGAGTATATAAAAATATCAGCCCGGATAAAATAATAATGTTTTAGATCCTCATTTTGTCTTTGGACCGTGATCTACTTGAGTGGTTCGCAGTCGTCAGTAGTTTGGAGGAAAACAATTTAATAATTGGATAAATTTAATCAGTGTTTCCGGAGGGTGGTGTACTCTCTTCGATTTTTTTTTAATTTTGATTTTCAGAACTCGCTCCACCATCACCACGAAATTAGCGTCTGCCCACGACATGAATAATCTTTGCTCGAAAGCTGCCTGCTATCTTGCCTGCCTTTCCCACTTCTTTACTGCATGACAACTACAACTAAAACCAGCGTAATACTATGGGGTTATTTTCCGGTCATTTTTAATGTGCGGATGTAAATAGGTAGTCAGTGTCTTATTGCATGTAGGAAATACGTGAGGGATGTCGTGGTCAAGTGTGATAGGTGAGAGTTTAATCGAGTACAATATCCAGATCTTAATTGTGCCAATACTCGGCTCTCTCGATGGAGCTCGTTCTCTTGATCCGCATGAAGTGGGAAGAGAATTCATGAAGGTTTTGACAGACCCTCTTTGAATAGGACTTAAAGCCTGCGGGTACGCTATTTGGCTTTGAGCAGGTGTCTGTTGGGATAATCCTCACGATAGCATCCCTGCAGATATTACTTTTACAGAATAACATCTTGCTCCTTACTCACTTAAGTGGTAATTTCTTTGTCTTTCTCCTAGGTGCTGCGTTGGATTATTTATTGTCAGAGTTTTCACATCAAGTTCGAGCCGGTAGCGTAGTTGCAATTGGAGATACCGTTAAGTTGTGAACTGACACAGAAATAAGACCTCAACGAAGCATCGAACGGTCAATGGTTTAAATGGTAACAAATGAAATTACTTTAAATATATCTTTTCACCTTTTTGGAAATGTTACGGGCGTAAGCCATGCCGTCCAATCGAATAATGCCGTTAAATCGGGAACGACATCAAATTTTTTGCAAAGTGTAAGAAACTGAGTAGGGTCATTGTGCACAAGATTCTGCCAATAGTGTCGGTCAAAATCAACAAAACTGTGGCAAAACCCATTAATTTCACCTTTATTTAAATCATTTTGTCGGCAAAGAAGGATACCGGTTTCTTCGAATGTTTCCCTTATAGCAGTTATTCGTAGTGATATATCCCTAATTTAAAACAAAAATACATTATTAATCAGAAAACCAAATAATGTACGTATGTATTTGAGTCTATACCTTTGGATTTGATCTTCAATAAACTTCGTATAAATATTTGGCCGCGGGGCGTTACATTGAAGTGAATTCAGGTCAGATGACTGAGAAGAAGTTTTAATATAATCCATCCACAGAGGAGAAGCATCACTGTTTTCATGAACTCCTCCAGGAAAAACAGCAGAATTTGCAAATGATGTTGATTCTTTTGTTCGCTTGAATAACAACACCTGTAAAACTTGATTATATTATATCTTTACAAGAATTCACCTTTGTACTATCTAGCGAAACTTACTCGATAATCACATCCAACATCTTTTAAGCATTCATTTTTGGCTAGAATTATTAAACTTGCTGATTCTCGCCATTTGGATGTCAAATTTTTAGCCATTGTTAAGATATTATCAAATCAAAATTACAGCCTCTGACTTGAAATTTTTAACCTTTATTAAGGCGCATAAGGATGGCACATTTTAATCGATTTTTAAACGGTAAAACATAAAGTTATAGTGAACATTATGATTCTAAAATATCTGTGGGAATATTGATCAAATGTAATATTCAAGTGAATATTTTCAATTGTCTTTGTGCATCGATATCAGCTGATCATCACTCTTCGTGTTCGAACAAATTTTCGAATTATTTTGTCGTTATTGTAGGGGTTTTTTGAATTATCTTCGTTTTTGATGTTGGTTACAGGTTTCAAGAAGTCTCTAATAAAGTATAGTTCATTTGAGACCAATGCCATTGGGAGTTTCAAATGTTTCGCACATACTAATAACAGTCTTTCTTAAAAATTCTAAATAAAATAAAATAAATAAAATAAAATCTATGCATGTTCATTACAAAAAACATAAGTGTGTATATATATAAAACAACTTTTTTTGCAATTTTAGTATAACAGTTAACTCTTTATATTATATTTTCATAATTTCTCACACATCCAGCATGACTTACTTTACCTAGGTACATAGGTAACTGGTATAAAAATATATCTAGGTATTTAGTACGAAATATATGTTTAATAGAATAACTATATATATATGCAATTTACACATTTCCAATAAAGGGAAGTATATCCTTATCACGAAGCATATTTTTGCAGCTATGACATATATTTTCTTTTCGTTTTTGGGTAAAACTCGACAGCTCTTTTATTTTATCGTCTGAATCAGTTATACTAGATTTTGTACCTCTTTCAGACACAAATCGGGAAAACTCAACAGCCGAAATTGTTTTAGATTCCCCTGAAAGCAAAGAACAGCAAATTTCACATGATATTGTATTTTCGTCCTGGTTAACAACATCCGTTTTATCGTGAATGTTTGAAAAATTATTGTATGCAATTTTGTTCCCAGTGCGTATTATTGTAGAAACTGTGGATGTGAAATTTTTTTGTAGATTTTTTATGAACGACTCTGTGATGCCTTGTATACTGTCAGCTGTACCAGGTGATGATTCATTATATTGCTTACAACTTTTTAAATTACATGCACGCAAGTAAAGGTTGACTTCAGGTACACTTAAATCCTTTATCGGACGCATAATTCTTATACCATTTTCTAAACGATCATCAACGAATCCAACGTCTAAACCAACGCTGCTTCCACGACCAAGGGCAATAGAGGACAGAAAATCAGCTGCTATGTTTATATTAATAGTGGGTATAAAAACATAATTACATTTTAAGTGCTGAGCCATTGATGCTAGCAACTTTTTAAGATAAATTTTGATGAATTCTTTACGGTTTGTTGATGTTCGTATATTCGAATACATTATCGAAAACATGTTTTCATCATCTAATTTGCGAGCCAGGTAATGATCAATATCTTTTATATTATATGGCATTTGATGTGGATCAGACCTCAGATTAGTAATATAACATTCCGTTTTACTATCGCTTAACATAGTATCCTTCATTTCTTGTAAATAAGTTTCATAATCGAGCGCATTTAATGCTTTGTTACGAAGCTCGTAATCGTCGACAATTATAACTTTAAAATGGCAATGTAGCTTCTTAAAATTCGATCCCGACTTAGCCGTTTTTAACATATCCAACAATACGACAGACTCGGCACTACCATCGTATACTACAAGAACCTCCGCATCTCTTGGAACAGCTTTCGAAGATCCAACTGTGGCACGAAATTTATGATTAACATAATTAAGAAAGCAGCTCTTACATTCCGCTTCGCGGAAAACTAGTTTATAAAGTTCTCCATTTTGCCCACATTTATGACAAGCACCGCTTCTTATGGGCTCACTAAACTGATCCTCTCCCGCCTCATTTATCATCACATCGTCAACGGACTCGTCATCGCCTACGCTGCACATTTTATTCAGGAGTTTAGAAATTTTTCACTTAATTATATTTGCACTCTTCCGACGAATGTAAGAAAATTATCGATAGATATGAACCTTCGATATGAACGATCGGTAGCAATTGCTTAGACAGTCCACTTTGGCATGCGCAAGCTTATTAGTCCAAAAATTTTCTTATGAGATGAGAATAAAACAGAATATATTATTCTTCAAACACTTTACTTATATAACTAATCATAATTTATTGGGGTTTATTTTGGTACCAGTACCAAAGAACGTATATTAATAAGAAGGGAAAAGAACTGTGAACCAATTTGAAAAATTTTGTTGAGGTGAATAGTGAGGTGCCACAGCGAGATTACACCTTCCTTCAAATTTCTCGCGATTTTCGTAGCACAGCGGGGCAATTATGACGGCGAAACGAAATTTCGTACCAAAACAAAAATGAGCCGATTGAGTTGGCAAAAATCGTTTGAATATGCGCGCGAAACGATAGACATGCATAAAAATATGAAAGCAAGCATACATATATACACTAGACAGAATGAAAATCCTGAAGGGATCCGTCTTTTTTTCTTTGTGTCCCCGAGCACGCCTCTACTTCCCTCTTTGACCATAGCTTGGGATTCGCACTTCATCCCAAAATCTAGAATTTTTGCATTTTGCCCAGCTGACTTGCTTAAATTTACTTGCTTCCCAATATGAGCTAATAGGCAAACAGCAAATTTAACAGCACGATGTCGACTTGCTTCAATTCGGCGGACAAAGTCTGAATTTTTGTCAAAGTCACAAGAATTTGAACAATGCTAGTTAGTGTATGCCACATACCAATGTACAATATATTGTTGTTGCTTCACATTTCGGGAAGATGTACGATTTGCTAATTTTTGTTACGGGACTTTTTATACCCGGCCGTACTATGTGAACAGAGTGCATTGAATTTGTTCTGCTAACGGTTTTAAAATAATCAAAGTAAGAATATATAAACTATGTAAAAAACTTCATGGAATGGTGAGGTAAATCGATTTAGTAATATCTGTCCCTCCGTCTTAATACACGATAGCTCGAGTAAGAACTGAGATGTTTTAAACATATAAATATCAGCGGAATATCTCGCTTCCACTCGAGTTTAGTGTTCCTTACATGTTTGAGTTTGTGACCGTCCCAAGGAAGCAAATGTTGAGACGGGTAAGCGGAGCCATGTGAGCAATGGCATTTATGAATGAACACATTGCGTTGTTGCAGGGCGCATGCGTTTATGAATGAAAATGTTGTATTTTTCATGGTTTCATGTATGTATGGGTCTTTCATATACATACAGTCACCTTTGAATGTGTTTGTTTTTGACTTCAGCTCATCTTGAATTTCTGATTTTTGCAAATTTTGCCATCGTCCCGAAGAAGTCGTTCGTGGATGACGGGGTACGAGGGAAGAGAATTTGCAAGTTTTTATGCATGTGTCTGTTTTTCGTGTACACATTGGTCTCCTTGAATGTATGTGTCTTTAACTTCAGACCAACTTGAATTCTGATTTTTCTGATATTTTGTCATCGTCGCGAAGAAGAGGTTTGTGGATAGCGGGGTGAAAGAAGGAAGGGAATGCGAGCTATTAAGATTGTGTGCGTTTAACGTATACATATTGAATTGCTTGAGTGTATGGGTTTTCACTTTGTCGCAAGCTCAACATCAATTTCTGACTTTTGACAAAATTTCTGACCGAACGGGCTTGTTGGTGGAGGGAGCAAGGGAAAGAGATCTCACAATACTTTGTTTGTATTGGTTATTTCTACATGTATATGAAGCTTTCTATGTATGGGTTTGTGATTTTTGCTCAACTTCAATTTCTGGATTTTTGCAAAATTTGACTTCGACTTCATGAAACTGTTTGTTGATGAAGAGTTGAAGGAAAGGGGGTTTGCATGCATTACTTGTTTTTGTTGCTTTTACTACTTTTCTACTTTTCTTCATTGAAATCAAATATTCTAGAATATTCTAGAATCTTCTGGAAGTTTTAGAATATTATAGAAATCCTCGCCACAATTCAACTTGTCGACAAGGTGCATGCGGGAAGGCAAGGAAATTGCTTGCTGGGCAATATGAGCTAACAGGCGAACAGAAAATCTAGTAGCACGATGTCGATTTGTTTCATTTCTGCAGGCGATGATTGAATTTTGTCAGGGGCAAGAACTTGAAGCAATGCTTGTGGACGGACGGCTCATGAATGTTACGCGTTGAAGGAAGAAGGGCAGGCTAATGTACGTTGTTGTTGCTTCACTTTTCGCGACCAAATTTGCTTCCGATTTTTTGTGATTTTTGTCAACGCAGCGAAGAAGCAACTTTGTTGTAGGGCGCAGGCGTCTATGAATGAAAATCTTATTGTTGTATTTGATTTCAGTTCTGAGCTTTTAGACAAGAGAAGTATTTTGAGGGATGGGGTAATTTGTTTTCACGCAAATAATGTGTGTTTATGTTTTTGCATATGAGTATACGAATATGTATGCATATGTATATACATGTAATTCTTGAGGCAGGTCATATATGTATCTACAAATTGATTTATAAATTAATAAGATTATTAACCAAACATCTAATTAATATAAAAATACAATTCATGCATAAATAACCCTCCTTATAAAACAACACTATTCCAGAATGCCGACGGCAAATCGTCACTTGCTATTGCTATTGGATAATATAAATATATATATATACAATAATGAAGTTTATGATTTCACCCTATTTCATTTCATTATGAAAATTAATTTATTTCATCGAATAAATATGGAAGCAAAATTATTTAAAATAAATAATAATAAATTTAAACTGAATTCGCATCATTTGCCTTCTTGTCATTTTTGTTATCATCGTCGCCGTAAAAATGCCGAGAGAACATAAGAAGACTACCCCTTCGAGGTGAATTTACAATAATTTGCGAAAGAAGGTCCAAAGCGGACTCACTCCGTCTGTGAAACCTGAGCCACTTCAATGAACAGTTCACAGTTCTTTTCCCTTCTTATTAATATACGTTCTTTGCCAGTACATATATAAACGTCACCGCAGCAGTATATTTGTACAAAACACCTTTTTACACATGTCGGTCGCTCTTAAAACCATTTTTTAGTTAAAATCTCTCAGTACTATAGAAGAAAAACATTTTTTTAAAAATAATATGATTGCACAGGCTGAAAATACATTTAAAGGTATTATTTCCTGGATTATTCATTAACTACTAATCACCAACACAACCAGCCATTAAATATTCCGTCAGTTTTTGACAGTTTGACAGCGTTTATGGGTGTAATTGAGAGAAAGAACAATGTATTTAACAATGCCCTGGAAAAGCCGCATTATACTGTGCGACACGGTTTTGTTGCGAAGTTTTCGCCAACCAAACAAGTCGGCGGAAGGAGAGTTTCGCGAATGATCCTTGCGAAAGTGTGCCAGGGCTGGAAAAAAATTGCTCTCGGAAGAGTTGATCATACATATCCTAAAAATATATGCCGTTCCTCGAGGCAACTTATAGTTTTAGAGTTATTTGTTGTTCAATTTGTACCAAACGAAATTTCAGATTAAAAGCAAATAAAAACTCTCAGAACACTTAAATATCGCTAATAATAATGACCAAAAACGTTTACAATGATTTAATTAAATTAATTTTATGAAAATATTCATTCATTTTTAACAGTTAGAATCAGTGAAATCCCTAATACGAAACCTACTCAAATTCATTCAAAAATTGCAAATGAGAGCGTTCCCCCATTTCACATTCTTATGTTGGCAGCAATTTCAGATCCGGGGAACATTCAAAAGCTGAAGTGAAAATCGCACTAGTGCAATTTTGTAAATGAAAAATAAATTATTTTTGTTTCAAAAGAAATTTGTTTCAGCAGAAAATATTAAAGAAATTCTGGTAACTTTAAAGTTGAAACTTAAAAAAATCAGATATTTCATTGTTTCTCAATTGTAATTAAAAATGGTCGTTCTTCGTAATAAAATATCCAAAACTCCTCTAAATATTCAAAGAAGTCAATTTGCTATTACCGTTCAGAAATATGAGAAATGCATATTTTTGAGTAAAGAGTTTAACACGTATGTTATATGTAAAACTAAACAGATTTCTTTTCAGTCAAGTTTCTGTTAAAAAATGATTTCGTTTTTGCACTATTGCCGAAGGTAATCGGTTACGATGAGTACGAAGTTAAATTATCGAGTATTTGTCTAATGATTATCGGCCATCACTAGTGCTGTTATAAATCGTTTGCAAAGTAAGTGTCCAACGAGGCTATTTATATTTGATAAAAAGTGAATGTAGAAAAATAGTGCCGTTATAAAAACTTCGTTTTCATTATTAGATGTGTTTTTACGAATAGTGAAAAATTATTTACATAATTTTCAGAAAAAAATTCACTTAAATTTGCTTGCTTGCTTAACTTGAGACATCTTGTACTCATTGTAGCGAGTAGCAAGGTCTAGAAAATTTTCACTCGATGATTCTGTGCATGCAATTGCTTATTCCTAATATATGTGACGAGTAATCATATACTGGCACCCCACTGATAAATAGCTATAAAAAATACATTGTATAAAAATTTTTGCTTATTATTAACAATATCTTATAAAATTGCAGAATATTTTGAAAATAGTGGTTATTTTGTGTAACTTACTATCCCTGGCCCGACTATAGTGAAAGTGAACGCTAATATCCGGATTGAGAAATTTCGCGACACCACCAATCTCCTTAAAAAGGGCAATATTGTTTAAAAATGCTTATAAAAAACCCAGAAGCCCTTAAAAGTTGGCTTATAGTAGTGTTGGAGCCATTGTAAGTGCTTGAGTAGCTTATAAAAACGTTGATTATCAATTTATATATGATTGCAGATGTGATGCCGATTCTTCCGCTCTTGCTCGCTATGTTTTAGCTTTATTGAAGAAAGATAAACCCGAAAAAGATTTAAGCAAATTAATGATAGAACAACTAGACGTTTTTCTTGGCGATGAGACTAGACCCTTTGTTGAGAAACTTTTCGATGCTATAAATTCTGAGGATTATTTTAATAATACTATGTTGCCTGCAACGGAATCAACTGAAAGCCCTTTTGTTACTGAAGAAATAATTTCGGATATTGTAACTAAGGATATGGCTCAGGAAGATGCAACAACTACAGAGATTTCAGATAAAAAAGACAACCTGCCGAATGCCGTTTGTGCCGATAAAGTCCAAACACCACCATTAGATGACGTGAGATAAATTTAACGTTATTAATCATATTATGCGAATTTATAATTTTTTTATATTGGCAGATCAATGACATGGAACTACTTCGTGGTAACATTTCTGATATAAATGATATCGATGTTCCAGGCCGCACAACTCATTATCCTGCAAATGTTAAAACTGAAGTTGCGACTGTAGCAACCGTAACACAACAGTCTTATCCAATCCCTAATAATCAAATAGTTCGCAGCGCAAGCCCACCACAGAGAGCAAATGCTGATAAAGAGAACCAACCTCGAGAGACCCGGCGGCGTCGCACATCTCTACGATCACGTTCTCGATCTCGATCAAGGTCACGATCCAACGAAAGATCACGACGATCTCGATCGCGTGATCGTCGGATAAACGAACGAGAGAAAATGCAACGGCAATTTAGAAATAAATCTCCACCAACAACAGATTTAAGATATGGGAGCTCACATGAACGGCGGCGAGGCGGTGTTGGTACTGCTTCGGATCGAAGACGTAATGGCAACAATGGGGCAGACGAAAGGTCGCCCAGATATGGTGGAAGTGGTGGAGAGGGGGTTGGCCGTAAAAATCGCCAAAATCGTTCAAATACACGTAGTCGTTCTCCTTCTCCCGATCGTGGAAGTAGAATTAAATGCTCCCCGAATTTGTCACGAATTACTCGCAACTCGCCTGAACGCCATAGCCATCATGTTCAAGGACAACATGAAACGGAAAAACGGCAGCGATGTCGTGACTTTGATGAGAAAGGGTATTGTGTGAGAGGAGAGACATGCCCATGGGATCACGGCATTAACCCAGTGGTATTTGAAGACATCAACAATTCTACGTTAATAGGAATGTCCCTCCCTGAATATAACCCTGACGCTCCCGACTTGTGGATGAGGTCTTCCGGACCGTTAGTTGGCGTTGCATCAAATACTCTTATGGCTAACAGTTCAGGAGTGGGGGGAGGTATTAATGCCCCGGGTATAAATCCATTCACTGGGGTAGCGCGGGGAGGTGGAATAATGCCTGTAGCTGGAGTTACAGGAGCTGTTGGTTTCACTCAACTCGGCTCAGACCCTGATAAACAAAGCAACAATCCAGCGCCAATCGGTGCAGATTTTGGTCGTAATTCCAGCACAACCTCTAATTTTAGAGTGGGTGCTCACATGCTAAACTTTCCTTTCAACGCATCTGCCGTCACTGCGCCTCTTCAACGGGAATTAATTCCAATACCTGTAGTAGACGCAGGTAGTTCTGGTTCGGGGGGTGATATAAGTCAAATATCTCAGAATAAACGTCGTTTCGATTTAGAAGATTCAGTAGCAATTGCCGAAGGGCCAGTGAAACGCAAGCTACCCCTTAACAGCCGTCTTGGACCACGTTTAACAACTATACAAAATAACTGTTCACTTGAATTAAGAAAAATACCCCGAGGATTAAATACCATCGCTCATCTGAATAATCATTTTGCAAAATTTGGAAAAATTGTAAACATACAAATTACATATGATGGTGATCCAGAAGCCGCTATCGTGACGTTTTCCACACATGCGGAAGCAAACGTGGCTTATCGTAGTACAGAGGCGGTTCTCAACAATCGGTTTATAAAAGTTTTTTGGCACAGCCAAGATACGAGTACATTAATCAATGAAATATCACCCATATCAATGAGTAGTTCCAGAAAAAGCAGTCAATATCATTTAAATAACGTAGTACCAGTCATACCAACACCAACCGCCGATTCGGCGAAAACAGCGAATGATACTGTTTCAAATCAATCGGCAAATTCGCTTGCAAATGTGACCAATGCTGCGCCTGCAACGGATCAATCAAACGTAACAAATGTTAATACAGCTATAGTAGCTGCACATGTGCCACCAACTTCTTTGCGTTTGAAAAATAACGTGTCTCGTGGACACAATACAGGTGCTTCAAATGCTAATATACGTAAAAAGCAGGAAGAGCAAGCCAAGGCCGTAGTTCAACTAGCCAACGGTCTCCGCAAAAGAAAACAAGAACTATTACAGAGTTATGTTAAACAAATGAAATCAGCTTTGGAGTTGGTCGAACGTTGCGAAATAAATGATCCCCAGCGTAGCAAGACACTTGAAACAATTAAAGTTTTGCAAGAAACTATTGATAAATTACGTAAAGAAATTGCCGCAGAACAAGAACAAATTCAAGCTCAAATTCAAAATCAGCACCCTCCTCCGCCAAAGAAGACTAAGGAGCAGCAAAAGAAAGAATTACTTGATATCGAATTGGAATTGATTGCTCAACAACAAGAGGGAAACGATACGTCGGCTATACAGAAACGCCTTGAAGAGCTACAGCGTAGCATTGGTGGAGTTCCTGGAAATGGTGTAGTTAATGTTACCCAATCTCATCCACTACAAGCAGGTGGCAAAACTCATCACTTTCCCTCCAGCCGTACAAATCATCGAACTCGTCCATCGTTTCCTGAGGGGTCTACACGCGTCGATCGTCGACCGAAAACTATAATGGTCACTGGATTTACGAGTGATGAGGCTGATTCTGTGCTGGGCCACTTTAAAGTAAGCTAGCCACCATATAATTTCTCTTGTAGTAGATAGATTTACGGCAATGAAGAAGAAGTATATTAGCCAAAATTTGGCATTCTGCTATAGAAAACATTTTATTTAATGGAATTTTAAAAATGGTTATATACATATACATATGTATAAATACTATTTGATGTTTGTCCAATCGCCTTGTTTCTGTTGACGGCTGTTTTAATACTCAATACTTATAAAATTATTCTTTTAGAACTTCGGCGAAATAACTAAACATGATGTGGATAAAGAGATACCTCGACTCATATTGTCATACGCTACTCGTATAAATGCAGAACAAGCCGTATTGCGGGGAAAAGTATTTAAAGATAAACGTTTGCAGGTAAATATAATAAGCTTATGTAACTGTAATTTATATAATCTTTAAATTTTGTGAATGCACAAAAAATATAAATAAATTTAAATAATTAGTATTCAAATCTTTTGGGTCAAAACCAGTTCATTACCGTCGATTACTCCTACCATTGTACAGGGCTGTTACTAATTTTGACCGTGAGGTTAATAAAAACTATTTAACAAATTGAAATGTTTTAAACTGAATTTATCCAAAAAAAAAAAAACTTCTGTTATTATTATAATTTTAAAAATTTTTATAATTAAAATGATTGTTTTGTTTTCTTTTTTAGATAACTTGGGCTCCGGTCGTTCCGGCATCAGTAACAGCGGGAACTGTTATCCCTAATAACGAGTCTAAGGCGGAGGGAGAAAATACAGATCCAACAAAATTGGAAGTATCTCACACTACTAGTGATAAGCAAAGCAATGATTCAGAAATTACTGGAGAAACATTACCTGAACTTCGACTTGAGGACGAAGAGGAGGATGAGGAATCTGAGGATCGCTCATGGCGGCGCTGATCGTGAAATACGACGAATTTCAAAGCACGATGTTTTTAGAGTTTATGTTAGTCAAAACAGTGAAATTTGGCGTTTTCACTTACTAGTAAATAGTAAATTAAGCACAGATAAATTGTTTGCATGAATCATGGTAAAGATTGAAATATTTCTATATTGTAAAGAGCATCTTAGTGCATTGACGAAAAGTATCGAAGTGAAATGAAGTGCCATCAGCGCTATGTCTTTAACTTCAATATTTACAGACTTATGTATTTGGTAGTTTACATATGCTTATGGCTTCATTATGGTATGAAAATGCAGCAATTGGAGCTTTCATTTGGATATATAAAATATAAAGGATATCAGTAAATAATACATATACATAACATGATAGTAGACACCAATAAATCTTATTAGTTTTAATTATATTACTGAAAAACTTGTACTACTACTTACTGAAAGAGTCTGTAGTTGTATATAGAAGTCCGCCAAGCTGTGTTATACAATAGTGGCGAATTGAAAAAGATCTGAAATATTGGTATTTTTTTAAATTAGATTCACAGATACCCATCAATTGTACCAATTAACATTTGTATTGTTACTAAAATTCTTGTATTTTTACTATTTTTCATGCTATTTGTTTTATTTAAGCCTTATGTTGAACTAAAAACTAAAAAAACAATGAAACAAGTTTAAAAAAGGTAACGAAAACCTTTTATACAAATAACTATAAATAAATAATGGTGTAAAAATCGCTATTAGTTTCACAATTTAGTGTTTTTCATTGAGTCACAGAAGGTGCTTGGGTGTCATGTCAGACTAAAGCAGCAGCTTTGTAAAGATAAATTTTGTGGAATGCTATTTAAAGAAAGGAGACTATATTGGTTTGGTGTTATAATTGTGAAATGATAGTTGAGAGCAGCACTCATAGACACTCTTCTAGAGCTTATAGGGGTTATCGTCCTTTACTTATAGAAAATATAATATAACATTTTTGGACCAGGCTCGAAAGTGAAGGCAAATAAGCTATGTTATGAAAAACCTCGTCTTGAAACATGTTGCTACTACTCGGATAGGGTACCTCTACTCCACTATACCTCAAATACCAAATAAATGCATCTTTATGTTGTCACTGCAGTAAATTTCACAAGAACCCATTTTATACCCTCCATACCATGTCTTGAACGACGGTACCCTCACTTTCACCGGTTTTAGCAATCGCTGCTCATTTGCAATTGTCACACCTTCAAATAATTATCTGAACGTATATATTTTGAAATTGTGACGTAAACTTGCAACAACATTAACCTAATTGACGTGATCTGTTCTCTCCCATTCTAGTTTTAATAGCGCTTGTATTCACCGACGTAAATATTCTATACGCGTCAGCTGACCTGATTAGACAAATAGTCTGGTGTTAAAGCAGCAATTTAATAGATTTTATAGTAAAAAGATTATAAACTTTATGAGAGTTATGAACCATGGGAAAAAGCATTTCATGATTGACCGTAGAGAAGTTTCGATATTTGAAGTATTTATAACAAGATCTTAATATTGTAACTTATATGCTTGTTTTAATGCTGTATATTGGAAAGTATTTTTTCTGGCGAAGTCTGAAAGCACCTTAAGTTGTGGAAGATTCAGCGTGAGCATGAAAGCAAAAAAATAAAATAGCGGATCCAAAGTTTGTTTATAAATGAAGTGACTGAATTTTAAATGATAAAATCCATCAAATGTTACAAACCCATTTCAAACCTTAGGCGTTTATATGGTAATGAAAAAATATGTAATATGAAGTATTTAAATGTCGCTGAGAAGAACGATGCTGCAAAAACAATTGCCGGCCTTCTTTCGAATGGTACCGCAGTCAGAGTAAGCAGGAATAAAAAATAAATATTAAGACATATATTTTAGTTATTTCTTATTTAGCGAGAAGGATATTCTGTTTATAACAAAATTTATGAGTTCAGTGCAGAAGTGAATGGGCGAAACAGTAAAATGGTAATGACATCAGTCTCCGGCCATCTACTTCAATTGTCTTTTGTTGGAGCATATCGACGATGGGATGAAGTTGATCCTCAGGCATTGTTCAATGCACCAGTAAAGAAAGTATGTCCAGATGATTACCAACCAATTAAACGTACACTGGAAAGAGAAATACGGAGTTGTGGTGGACTTATCGTATGGACAGATTGCGATAGAGAGGGTGAAAATATTGGTTATGAAATAATAGATGTGTGTCTTAAAGTTAAACCTAACATAAAGGTTTGGCGAGCTATTTTTTCTGAGATCACAAAGTCATCCGTTCGCCGAGCGCTTAATCAATTAAAAGAACCAGACAAGAGATTAAATGATGCAGTAGATGTTCGCACGGAGCTTGACCTTCGAACGGGTGCCGCAATAACAAGATTCCAAACCTTGAGACTGCAGCGTTTATTTCCTGCAAAAATTGCTGACAAGTTGATTTCCTATGGAAGTTGTCAGATACCAACTTTAGGTTTTGTCGCTGAAAGGTACAAAGATATTGAAGCATTTGTGTCGGAGCCATTTTGGAAATTGAAAGGTACCTTCAATTCGAAAACAAAATATGTGATTGTTGTGCCATGCAATATATATTTTTCTTACTTTTCTTAAAGTTTCACACACTATTGACGATCTGACGGTAGACTTCCTTTGGGCGCGTAACAGACTATTTGATAAAGCTGCTTGTGAAGATTATCTTTTGCTTTGCTTAGCAGATCCCAAAGCGAAAGTCCAAGAAGTTACAACAAAAAGTAAGCGTAAATGGCGTCCAACACCTTTAGATACTGTAGAAATGGAAAAACTCGGATCTCGTAAACTTAAAATTTCTGCTAAAGAAGTTATGACTATTGCTGAGAAACTATACTCCAAAGGTATTATAAGTTATCCTCGCACCGAAACTAATCAATTTTCAAAGGATATTGATTTGCAGTAGGTTTTAATAAAAAAAACTCATTTACTTGCTTATGAGTAACATTGATATTTTCTTTATAGTTCCATAATAGAACGGTTTTTGCCACATCCGGATTGGGGATCATTCACACAACGGATACTAGAATGGGGTCCAAATCCAAGAAACGGAAATAAAAGCGATCAGGCCCATCCTCCTATTCATCCTATAAAATTAGTAACAGGTATTTTTTTATTTGAAGTTAGTTTCGAACCTTCGAATACCTTTCTGCGACTGTGGGTGTAGTCTGCAGATTTTAATATGGTTTTCGAATTTTTGAATGATTTACATTATTTTTTTATTATTTATATATAATGCCGTTAGACGGTCGCGGTAGCCGAGTGGTAAGCATTACGTATTGCCATTCGGAAGGCTCGGTCTCAAATCCTGGTGTCGTATTAACATCCAAAAACTTTTAGAAAATTATATTAACCAAGCTGTTAAGAAAAGAATTAGCGCACTTAATAGTTGTTGGTTAATAATAAATTGAATAATACAACAATATTATATGGCTGCTCTTGGCGCAGTGGGAGACCACTCGCCTGTTAGGTCAGGATGAGGAGATGTGGTGATCTCCGAACCAGCTGTCACTACTACCATTTTTCTTTGTTGTATAATATAACAAAAATATTCAATTCATACAAACAACCAGACCTTGTAGTTTACTTAATACTTATATAAAAAAAAATAAGTTTAATTTTCTAATTGCGGTCGCCTCTCAGCGGAATGTCAACCTCTCCGAGTGTTTTTATGACATCAAATAAAAGCTCCTCATTAAAAAAACATCAGCCGTTCGAAGGCGGCTTAGTATAAACTGTAGGTCCCACCATTTGTTGGAAAANTATTTCTGTTATTGTGGTGTTGAAATATATATATTATATAATGTCTCGCGATTTATTGAAATAATTTTTATATATTGTTGGAATCTGGTCCAACATATTTCAAGATTTTGATTTTCCACATTTTTGACATATATCCTTTTTTTGCAGATCTGCAAGGGAATGACGCTCGTGTATATGAATTGATATGTCGTCACTTCCTTGCTTGCGTTAGCAAGGACGCAGTTGGCTCTGAAACTGTAGTTAATATTGATATAGCTGGAGAAAAATTTACAGCTACTGGATTGTGTATTCATGAACGAAACTATTTGGACATTTATATATATGAAAAATGGAATGCAAAACAAATACACAAATACGAGCAAGGTAATTGTATGGTACAAATTGGAAATAGTTGAATCTAACTTTTTAAAAAATAGGACAATTATTTGACCCTACGGAAATTACAATGCAAGAAGGAGCGACTACAGCTCCACCCCTTTTGACAGAGGCTGATTTGATTGCCTTAATGGAAAAACATGGCATTGGGACTGATGCAACCCATGCTGAGCACATAAATACAATCAAAGAAAGAGGTACATATATTTCCAATACTAACATTAGGAAATTACAATAATATCTTCATAACTAAATATGCGATTTTAGGATACATTGGTGTGGTTGACAAAGGTGGCCTAGTACCAGGTATTATAGGAATGGGTCTCTATGAAGGCTATGATGCAATGGATTTGCAATTAGCCAAACCCAAATTGAGGGCAGAGTTCGAGTCAGATTTGAAAGATATTTGCTCCGGGAAAAAAGATCCAAAAGCAGTCTTGAAAGAACAAATTCAAAAGTATTTAGATGCATACAAGCAAATAACGGAAAAGGTTGCCGCTATGGATAATAAGATGGCATTGCGGTAATTTTAAGCAGTGTTTTATAGACGATATTCATACTTGTGATTTTCTATTTTCCTCTCCTTGCAGGATTAATGAAACTCTCATTGTCAACGAGCCCGATCGAAATATTAATACGCAGAATGGGATCATGAATAGTTCTACAGTAACAGAGTTGTTTCTGTGTCCAAAATGTTCCGTAGCCCCGTTAGCTTTACGACAGAAAAAGAATCAAAATCAGTTTTACATAGGATGTATGAACTTTCCCGATTGCAAGAACGCCATTTGGCTATCAGATGAATGCCTAGAGCCAAGTGTTTTATCGGAAACGTGTCAAACTTGCGGTCCTAATATAAAAATGCTGAAATTAAAATTTAACTCAATTCACCTCAAAAATTATTTCAATACTCCATCTGGTTGGTATAAAACCTGTTTACGTTGTGACAAACTGTTTCGAGACTATTTCAATATTAATTTGGATCAAGTGAAAACAGTTGGTGGAATTGTTGAAGTTGATAATGGTAGTATTACATCTGTCGATGTAGGCTCAATTGTCAGTGCTCGAAGTGCTAGTTCTAGCAATGCCAGCAGAAGTTCAGAAAGTTCAAACGCGGGTGCATACAATAGGAGTACATCTGGTACTGGAAATACTTCTAAAACACGAAATGCGACTAAAACAAAAGCAGAACCTAAAACAAATACACTGAGCAAAACAAATAAAGCAAATGGTACAAATCAAACCATTCGCAACTTTTTTACTACCGGTAAAGTTTTGCTTTTGAAATTATTTAAATTGTATAATAGTTTCATCTTTTTTTGTAGCAACAACCGAACAACTAGCTCATACACAAGTCGTAAATTCTGTCATTACTGATGAAGTTTTAGATGATTTTCTCAATGTTGATGATGATTTCGATGCAATTATTTCCACAGTTGATTTGCCAAGAGAAAATTTACAAAATACTAACAGTCTTTCCCAAATGCCAAGCACTTCAACTACTCCGCAGAACAACAGAGACACCTCATTCAACCAAGTAGATAATACGGCTTCGACAGGCAACGAATTTAATTTTGACGATAGTTTTCCTGATTTAGAAGACTTTGTTTGGGGTACTGCCGAGCATAATAAAAGGAAATCACTCAATCCAATTAACCAATATTCCCAAAATAGCAAATTGGAAAGTAGTACACAACTTCAGGGAGCTGGTCAAGGCATCGATATAGAAAATAATCTTGCCATAAGTGTTAAATGCTCTGGCTGTCATCAGCTTGCTAAACGGTAAGTTTGTGTTTAATATATTTAATAAATTTTAATATATATATTTATATATACATATGTTGCAATTTGCTACTAAAAGTATTCATGGAAAAATACTAAAAGGTGATTTCATAAATTGTTTTAGAAAAATAAAAATCACCTTTTTGCATAGCCTTCCAATGGGAAATTTAATTTTTTCCAATTATGTGTTTAGGGCACAAGATTCAAATTGTATAAGATTAGCTTTTCCTGCTACATAAAACTCGCAAAGTTTTCCAAAGCAGCCATTCATTTTTGAAACATTTTCGGCTTTAAAGAAAAACCCATTGAGGAGTTATGTTGTTGTTGTTGTTGTTGTAACCGCAAATTATTCCCCGAATTGGTTTTCGGGGAATGTTGCGGGAGTGACAGTCCTTGGCCGGATAAAAATCCGGGTCGTTCCGGTATAAAGACCCGACTGCCGCGGGAACAATTGGATTTTAGTCGCCTCTTACGACAGGCATGCCGTACCACGGGTAAATTCTTAAGCCCCTAACCCGCAGGGGTTATGTAATTGCCTGTGGTTCCATAGTCAGTCTTCACAAAATCCACACCTATTAGCTCTGTTGAGTGAAAAATGTCAGTAACGGAATTGAGAGAGCAGAGTGTTTTTTTTTGTCCCAAAGAAATCAATGTACTGAGTTTTCACCGAACAGGATTCTGTAAAAATTAGCAAGTAACAGCTGTTCATTTTAGTTGTTACGTTTGAATATGTTCTTTTATACAGTTTATATTTTCTGCTTTTTAAGTGTTTCAATATAATTCAATTGTATTTCGGAAATTATGAGATTTTACACAAACGATAAAGATACAACAGACCTCTAAAATGACATAGATTTATGTAAAACTTGCTTTGTAAAAACTTTTTGCTTAGATTGTGGGGAAAGATGATTAAAATACGAAAATAAATTTGCAATTCTCTTCTGTGTAAACCGACAATATTAAGTGGACATTACTAAAGAGTTCCTACGATTCTGTTTAAATAACCTAAAAGCAACAGCTTTCTTTTTTCTTTAAAACGCGACTAAATTTGCTCATCGTTTGAGAACTTATTTGGTTAGTATTATTATTGTATACCATTCATATTAAAATATTAGTATTATTTTCATTTTAAATCAATTTTGGTTAATTGGAAAAAAATCAATGTTAAAATCACAAATCAGCAGCTTTTCATACTTGCTGGTTTTTACGGTCTGAAATTTTCTAGAAGAATTTACAACTTCTCTCCTTTAATATGTTTTGAAACAAATCCTGGGTTAACCTATGAATTTTAAATACGGTTTATATTATTACATCGCTTTATTGTTTTTTTTTTTTGTAAACACATACAGCTGCACAGTTGTAAAGGAAGGACCAAACAAGGGCAGGCCTTTTTATGTTTGTGCCAAGAAGAAACCGTGTAAATACTTTCAATGGGCTGACGAGACTTCAGTAACGAATTCGAGTCCTGCATCAACAAACATATCACCGATTAGTCACGCTCGTATAAATGGCCAGCAAGCAACGACTTTTAGAAATGATTCGATACCGAGTTTTCATTCGCAAACGGAAGATGTCAAATGCAATTGTGGAATTGCAGCCAGCTCGTAAGTACTATATAACCTGTTAAATGTTTTTTTTTTTTTCGAGAAGGGCATACCATTATATGTGCTGATATAAGGGAAATATGGATCAAAAAATTTTAAAACAATTTTGTCAAATTTTTATGATTTTTTACGATTTCACATACATTAACATTATCTTTTAAAATTAGGTTAATTGTGCGAAAAGAGGGTCCTAACAAGTCTCGTCCATTTTTTACATGCTCAAATCGGGATGCTTCGTGTGGTTTTTTTAAATGGAAAGATGATGATCCAGAAGAGCGTAAGTACACCATTTATACCATTGCTATTTCAACTATATATATTTAACTCAAAACCCATTTAGCTTTGGAAGTAAAATTACGCTAACAACAACATTTACATTTACAATATTTTTGTCTTTTTTAGATGGTGCCGCAACAAGTAGCAATAAAAATGATGGGACTTGGGGAAGCAAGCGTCGTAATGGTAAATATGTAGTAATATATTTCGAAATTATGTTTTCGGTTAATAAACTTTTTAATTTTAGAATCTTCTAATGAAGTTTCGAAAAAGCGTAAATGTAGATTATGCCGACAAGAGGGCCACACTCGCGTGAAATGCCCGAGAAAATCTGAATTCGATCTTTAAGTTATAAAAAATATAGAAACTATTTTGTTACTTCTGTTGTTAATAAACTTTTTTGGTACATAAATATAGATATAAGTGTCTAAATATATTTAGATTAATTTTTATTTCCAATTTGACATTATTTTCTTAACATATGTACTTAGCTCTTAAATTAAAAGCTTTCAAAAGTGGAATATGCAAAGAGATTTTTAAACATTTAAAAGTCAAAAAACACGGTGGTATAAACTGATGTCAACCTCAAGCCTCCCTAAGCCGTTCGATATGAAACAAGCCTTTTTGTTGTTGGCGTCGGCCACAAAAAACGACGACAAATTTGCAATTTTTTTTAAGTTTTGGAATATTTCTTTACTTGACATAATTATATATATTATTATAAAAATATAAGGACGTGGTGGGCTTGCAAATTTTAAATAAAAGAAACTAATAAAATCGGTGCGGAGTGTAAGCAAAATGTGGTGGGTGGTACCGCCGATAACACTTTGCGCACTGGAAAATGCTGGAAACCTTGCTACACTTTAACATACAGATACATTTCATATAGGGTACACAGTTGCGTTCACCAGATTTGCCTCGCGATAAAGAAGATCAACACACAACTTCTGCAAATGTCAGCAAACGAAGACAATTTTGTAACAATGCCGACTGAAAAAAAAAACACAACGACGTCGATTACACCAATCATAGTAGGCAGAAGCCCCTTTTTCGGACTAGATAATGTCTGGGAGTAAACGTGGACAAAACGGAAAAACTTAGAAAAACAGTCGTCGCTTCCGCACTTCACTTTGAACTCGCAGACAACCGCATTAAGAGACTACTACCTGGGTCGTGTCATACAAATAAATGAAAATATTCCAAATATTTGTTGGAGGAAGCAGAAGAGGAAAGCCGAGACTTCACTTGACGTTTCTAATCCTTATTGAGTCGCAAGAAACGACCCTTTTTTTTGTTGCTTAATCGTATCTTTATTTCGCGCTTTGTAGTTAAATTGTAGTTGTCATGCCTACTCGTAATATGGGGACAAGGGTGTGATGTGAAACAGTTGTATGCACTCACGCAAACAGCACAGGATTGAACTTATCCAACCATATTTTTTGGTTTGACTCGAAGAACCGATAATGTGGGGTACCAGGAATATCTTTGGTCTTAAGGCCTGAAGAGGTTTTAAGCTGAAACCAACAATTATACATTCGCAATTGTAACAATCCGATGTGCATATTTTTACGATATGCGCTGATCGTTCACGATTGGGAATAAACATAAAGTAATTAGTCAAGGTTGCTACAATAATATCATTGGTGGTGATGAAGATTTTATTGCTTTACATAAACAATTTTTAAAGTAATTAAATTTTAGTCGGCATAAACGTACATAACATATACTTTTATTTTTCTTCTAGAAATTTTTTTACTCCAGTCGCATTATTTTTTTATTTTATTTATATTCGAATTGCTGGGTGTCTTAGTTCAGCCAGTTTTTATGGCGCATAAGTTTGCAATTTCGAGTACGTAAGTATTAGTCGTAAACAGAGTAATAATTTATACAGATAACGAAAGTAAACACATCTTAATTTTAATTTAGCATTTACTGATAGCCTAAGAAAATAAATCTAAGGGAAATACATAGTTTATTAGTTTTCTAGACAATAATATGCAATCACATTGAAATATGGACTAATATTAATATAACATAAATTAGTCTATATTTCGAGTAAATATCGAAAATTAGTGTTACAATGCAAAATTTATAGCATTTAGATGTAATGATTTACAACATAAAATATAAATATATGTAATTTCCTCAGTTTCATTAGTTGTTAGAAATTTAATCTATTTTAACAGCTCCATATATTTTTCGGATAAAACTATAAGCGGCGAAAAATCCAATTGTCCCGGTTAGGAGCCAAAATGTTAATACCATAATGCCTGAAAGATTACGGGATAATGATGTTTATATATATATGAAATTCTTACTTTGTCGAAATGTACCTGTATAACTCAAATATAAAAGTGTAGGAATAAATTCAGTTATTTCCAATTTCGTAAAAAAATAGAATATACTGTAGAGTAGAACATATGCTGCAGAACCGCCTGAAACTATAAAGCTTCGCCACCACCAGCGATAATCCTAAGGAAACAGTTAATTAAATTTATAGCTTATTATATACATATGAAACTGTTTACCTCTCCACATAGTTGAAAATATGTCATAACAATTGATATTTGGCCGCAACTAACAACTAAAATGCAAAATACAAGAAATAGAAAACCAAACAAGTAATAGAATTGGTTCTGCCATATAGCAGTGAAGACGAAAAACAATTCAATGAAAACCGCTCCGAAAGGCAGAATTCCAGCCATTAAGGTACTGAAAAATAATAGTTACATTGTAATGACTGCGATTAAAACATATATACGATGTCCCAAGTACCTGAGAACAATATTCATGTACCAGTGCTGTGTCGGCACTTGTCTTGGTATCATATTAGTTCGAACGGGATGTTGATATGGTTGCTTGCGATAACCAAAATAATATCCCAAATAAACCAGGGGAACAGATATTCCAAACCACAAGAGAAGTAAGGAAACCATTGTTGTAAATGGAACAGCGCCGCTTGAATGTTTGTCCCATATAAAGAAATTTAATATAAAGCCGGTCCTAAAATTAAAAACTTAGTTATTTAAATAAAGAAATAAAATATTTTTGCATAACACACCCAAAAACAATGCCGGGATACAAAGTAGCTGTTAAAAAAGCAGTACGTTTCCATTCGCGTCCTTTCATAGTTTTATAAAGACGCGCCGCAAAATAACCCGCGATCGTTCCCATGAAAACATACATAAAAATTCCTGAGGTCATTAAAGCTCCTCGTGAAGACGGTGACAGCATTCCAAGCATAGCAAAAACTACAAAAATTAAAAAAAAATGAAGTAATACGGTTAAGAGTTATACTTCATGTATAAAGGTATAGATACATGTGAGATAAGACCTAATTCGGGTTGAATTATTTCATTAATTAAGTTTTTTATTCGCTGCGCTTTAAAACAAAATCTTTTGATTTTAGTTGCGTTGGATTGTTAAATGCTTGGAAAACATTTAATTCGTTATATAGTATAAATTTTGCTTTTTAGTTCGGCTTTTTGTAATATTGCAATGCGGAAAACAAATTGACATGTTAAAAAAAAAAAATAAAATAAAAAAATAACTTACATATTGTTATTAAAGCCATAAAAAATATCTGTATGCCACTGCCAATAACTGCCGAAAACAGACGTGTGTTTTTAGGTGGACGAAAAACGTCACCATGTACTAGCTTCCATCCAGTTTCCTCAAGTGTGTCTTCGATATTGTCATCTGTATTATATCGTGCGATATCTCGGCGCAGTGTACGAATCATTATCATAGTCAAAATTCCTATGATAAAATTACGTAAGAGAGTTATTACATAAACAATTTCAGCAATTATTACTTACCCGAAAGGAAGAATACGACAACAAGAGAATTTATTATACTAAACCAATGAATTTGCACATCCCTCATACCAAGATATATATCCCATCGTGAAGCCCAGCTTACTTTTGATTCCTTCCATTCAACCGAATAAGTAAAATACAGTTTCGTATTCGAGTTTGAGTTTACCTTAAATATTTTTGAATATATGGATAAGTTTTAAAATTACTATTTTTTACGTGAAATTATATAGTTACCAATTGTGGTCGGGCATTGTCGGGGAAATTACAAGAGTCACCCTCGAATTTTATATCTTTATAGTTCACTGAAGCGGTTTCTACTTCAAAACCAACTACACGATATTTGTTTCTAAATTAAACTATAACTAAAAAAACACTCTTGATATTTTTAATGTATTAACTCACTTTGTATGCATATGATAGGAAAGAATAAATTTTAGATGGTTGTTTATGTATATGTTGTCACCATCAACTTGTCCCAAGCGATAACCATGTTCATAGGTAATTTCGTTGGGAAAATTTGCATTCATTATTCTAGTCGCTACCGGTAAATTATCCACAAGCCTAAAAATAGTATGTGTTAAATGCATGTGACAGACGTACATAACGTAATTTTGAAAAGCTTACAAATGTACGAAATATTCATGACTTATTCGCTCCGCAACTGTGGCTGATTGATCTTTGTTCCAATTCATTGGCTGATCCTTTTTATGACATAGTAATTTGCAGTTTATATTTTTAGCCATTCGCACTTCATAAGGTGTATTTACAATTCGATCGCCACGTAAAACTTCACCCAAATTTTCTGATTTATAAATCAATGTACCATTTTTGGGTAAACAAAATTGTAGAGAATAATACTGGTATGGCAATTGCGTCCTACTACTCGTCATTTTAACAGCTTTAACATCGATTTTTTGACCTATTGAGAATTCAACGGGCGCAACACCCGGTACGTAGAAGCATTCCACCAGTGATAACACTACTAGCGTCAACAGGAAACATACCGCCAGGAACCGACACTGTAACAATAAATATGTATACAATAACGTTCATGTAAAAATTTAACTAATGAAATATATAACTTGTACACCGATATTTTAAATTGACGTGACCAACGATATCATTTCTAGATATAATTTTTAAATTTATGTATAAGTGAATACCCTCATGGTTTCTCCGAATATATCCTGAATAATTTTATTTCCTAAACCAAACACAAAAATATATTTTTGTATCTAATATCAATGAACAAAAATCCTGTACATTTCTTTCTCTTCAATTTGCAAACATTCACAATAGTTGTAAACGTGACAAGTACTGTTCGTTTCATTTTAGGGCAAGTTTCGCATTAACTAACAATACACTAAACATTCTCAACCGTAAACAGACATTCCGTAACGATTCTCACCATAAAACTTATGGAGGTACCACGTCGAAAAAATTCCCCACTGTGCTAGTGTTACCAAAGAACGTATATGAATAAGAAGGGAAAAGAACTGTGAACCAATTTGAAAAATTTTGCTGAGGTGAATAGTGAGGTGCCACAGCGAGATTACACCTTCCTTCAAATTTCTCGCGATTTTCGTAGCACAGCGGGGCAATTATGACGGCGAAACGAAATTTCGTACCAAAACAAAAATGAGCCGATTGAGTTGGCAAAAATTGTTTGAATATGCGCGCGAAACGATAGACATGCATAAAAATATGAAAACAAACATACATATATACACTAGACAGAATGGAAATCCTGAAGGGATCCGTCTTTTTTTCTTTGTGTCCCCGAGCACGCCTCTACTTTCCTCTTTGGCCATAGCTTGGGACTCGCACTTCATCCCTAAAATCTAGAATCTTTGCATTTTGCCCAGCTGACTGCTTAAATTTACTTGCTTCCCAATATGAGCTAATAGGCAAACAGCAAATTTAACAGCACGATGCCGACTTGCTACAATTCGGCGGACATAGTCTGAATTTTTGTCAAACTCGCAAGAATTTGAAGCAATGCTAGTGTATGCTACATACCAATGTACAATATATTGTTGTTGCTTCACATTTCGGGAAGATGTACGATTTGCTAATTTTTGTTACGGGACTTTTTATACCCGGCTGTACTATGTGAACAGAGTGCATTTGATTTGTTCTGCTAACGGTTTTAAAATAATCAAAGTAAGAATATATCAACTATGTAAAAAACTTCATGGAATGGTGAGGTNGCATATATACATGTAATTCTTGAGGCAGGTCATTATTTTGTATTGTGTGTACATACATACGTACGTATATATGTATCTACAAATTGATTTATAAGTTAATAAGATTATTAAACATCTAATTAATTTATAAAAATACAATTCATGCATAAATAACCCTCTTTATAAAACAACGCTATTCCGGAATGCCGATGGCAAATCGTCACTTGCTATTGCTATTGGATTATATAAATATATATAAATACAATAATGAAGTTTATGATTTCACCTTATTTCATTTCATTATGAAAATTAATTTATTTCATCAAATAAATATGGAAGCAAAATTATTTAAAATAAATAATAATAAATTTAAACTGAATTCGCATCATTTGCCTTCTTGTCATTTTTGTTATCATCGTCGCCGTAAAAATGCCGAGAGAACATAAGAAGACTACCCCTTCGAGGTGAATTTACAATAATTTGCGAAAGAAGGTCCAAAGCGGACTCACTCCGTCTGTGAAACCTGAGCCACTTCAATGAACAGTTCACAGTTCTTTTCCCTTCTTATTAATATACGTTCTTTGGTGTTACGGTGGCGTTTGATGCTACTATGGTGATCTGTGTGTAAAATAACATGATTTCACCAGGCGAATGGGAAGTTTTTGTGGATTTTCTACCAAAAAGAAAAAAGAAAATGATATATAAAAATTTCGTCATTCCAGCAAAACTATCGATGTTAACAGTTAGTAATATTCTTGCAGACGTTAAACTAACAAACAAAAACGGCAGCTGAGATTTTTTACACCACCAACTTCTATATCCAGTATTTCCATACTTTGATAAATTGATCTTTTAACAGCTTCTTTCAGCCCAATGATGGAGGTTTTGATGGTGGCGCTCATAAACCATGATTAAGAACGAGGGGTAGGAGGTAAGTTCAAAGTGCTGTAGTTTTCTTCAAATGAAAATTTGGTTAAGTATCAGTCGTTTTGACACTTCTTTCGCGCTCTAAATAATTCTGCGTATAATGGTGCGTTTGTTTTTAACTGTTTTCAGATGCCGCTCGTCGTACCGCCGTAGTATACGTGTTCGATGCTTAAGGCTGCAACTACCCAACTCACTCTCCAGCCGTCCATAACTGACGACGTTAGTAGTGAAATACATACACGAGCTATCGACGCCGCTGAGAGCGGCGAAATGTTGCCAGCTGCCTGTGTGTTTGCACACTTTTGAACAAATTCATAATTTTCGTCAACGAATTTCATAATTTATTTGCTTTAACATAAACACAAGGCAAATATACATGATCTATATAGTAACAAATAATTAGTTACGCATTTAGTTTTCATTTCTTTTGAACAAAACTACGCATTATCTTCGATTATTTAATGTTACTTTAAGAAAGGCTATACTGGCAACCTTGTATAGCAACGAAAAATGAGCCGAGCCGGTTTTACGGAAAAATCAAAACTTCGTTGGTTTCTGCGACACAAACGTCAGCAACGCTATGGTAAATCGGTGACAACTTTGTGTTTACATGGCGCTCTCATAAGATAGGTTACTATGGACGGCTGGTACGCTCGTTGGGTAGTTGCAGCCTAACACCGATTACTGCAACGTAGTGGCAGCACAGCTGTCAATATTAGGAGAAAAGAATAGAAAGCGAGAAATGAAAAATAATTGTTCATGGTTTTGTTTTTTGCAGTAAGTTTTCCTTTAAAAATTAATTGTGTTTCCTCAAATATTACAACCTGGGAAAAGCTAAAAAAAAAAAATAAATGTGAATCATCTTATGAAAAATTCTATCTAGAGTTGTGTTTCTGTATTGGACGTCAATAGACATAAATTGGATCGAATGAAGGAAGGAAGGTATTGTACTATATATGTATGTGCTATGTATCTACTTATGTATATATTAGCTTATTTTTTTCTTACTCATTTTAAAACTCATCTTTTCTAAATTCCCAAGGTAGTTCGAATTATATTTAAGGATATAAAACCGAGTTGGAAAAATGGCTGCAATTGACAACGACAGCGATAATGATGTGGTTACAGATTTTCTAAACTCTAACATTAACTCTTTTACTGTAATTGAAGGCAAAGGGCAAAAAAATTTACAAGATACTGAAACTTTCCAGCCGACAAAACAGCAAGTCCCATTTTGTGAAACCCAAAATGATTGCATTCCAATTATAAATACTTCCCCAGTTCTAATAGCTAATAATACTAGCAATAACAATATGATTCCAACAATAAATGTAACGCCACATAGCCCGGCTTTAATAACAAAATATAACAATATTTTCGAAGATACGCTTAGTCAGCTGCAGAACATAAGAGAAACTGTGGTTCAAATGAAAAATTGTAGCGCTCATTTAAACGACGGGTGCACTAGTTTATGGCCAGTTCATGCAGCAATTCTGAGCGCTTCATTACCGGATCTAAGTTCTGTAAATCCTAGTACTAGAACACATAGTTCTGGAAATTATATTAGATGGATACCACATCAGCAGAATTATGTTCCTATTAATGAGCGTCGTAGATCTTGGACCACTATTGATGATTTGAATGTTACAAATAAGAGTATCAGCCTGTCGAGCTTGGATAGTGAAGAACCTGAAACAATTTGTACAACAGATCAAAGGCGGCGGTCAGCCAGGAACAGTACTGGAGGTAAAATTTTAAATTAATTACTTAAAAATGTAAAAAAAAAAACGTCTATGTATATTTGACTATTTGTAAGCATACATTAAAACTAAAAATAAGAATATAATCATTAGCCATTTGGATGGTAACATACGAGAGTGTTTCGCACGTTATATATAAATGGCGCTTTGTAACCGCTGAAGCAGTTTTCGGCCGAGCTCCTCCTCCAATTTGTGGTTTTGCATTTTGATGTTTTTCCAAACGGCTGATGGTTTTTTATGAAGAGGCTACTTCATGTAAGAAACACACTCGGAGGGGTTGACATTCTCTGGCGAGGAGAGACCGCAATTAGAAAATTTAACTTAATTTTTTATATAAATTAATTTTCTATAACTTTTTGGATGCTAGTACGAGCCGAATGACAGTACGCAATGTTTACCACTCGGCTACCGTGGCCGCACGTTATACATTAAATAACAATCATTAATGATGATGGGATGGTATTTTTAACGTTACAGACCTATATAATCCTACTTCAACTTATATATTGAAATTCATGTTCGAAAGTTTTTAAATAAAGCTTTTATTAAAGCTAAGACAGTTGAAGTTACAAAATATTAGAATCTAGTTATCTCAGTATAGGCGTACTAGTTACTTTTTCACGCAGATTTTAAATTTCTTTGCTTATTAAGGTTTTTGCAGTAATCTTAACATTACATATAAAGGTTGTTATGAATTTCTTTGAAATAATAAAAATTTATATTTTATCCATTTTAGGAATATCAACGCACTCGCTAAACGAAGCAGAATTGGCTCGAGATTTTCAGCGTATAGCGGCCAAACGTAATCTAGTTACAGAGATTCGAATACCACTTCAGAAAAGTATATCTACTTCTTCAATTGTTGCTAAGGAGGAAATTAAATCTCGACACCTCTATGACAGTGAAGATGAAAATCAAAGTCTTTTGAGGGCAAATGTAAAAATTGAAGCTTACGATAATGTAGAAAAACGTCGAAAGCGCGGTTCCCTTTTTTTTCGAAAGAAAAAGGACAAGAGTAAAATGAAATCGGGTGGTCAAACTAGTATATGTGAAACGTGTGGTACCAGCATATCAATATTAAATATTAAAGAACATCACATGGAGTGTAAAGGAAAGAAGCCAAATATAGGTACTGGGCAAAAAATATTGTTGGCAGCATCAAGGAAGGGTGCTGAAAAAACTGAACCTGGTCAAGATTATTATGATGGAGGTGATCAAGCAGGGAGCGTTAATGATGATTCGCCATTAATACGATCGGAATTCCTTAATGATCCACCCATCGAGGCACAAGATCTCGGAGCGGATCCTATTTTGGGTATCGTCGCTGAAGAGCATGATTCATGGTCGCCCAGTGTACCAAAAGATGTTTTAAAGTCCCTTAAAGAAAAACAGATTAAAAGACAAGAACATATATATGAATTTATCATGACCGAGAAACATCATTGTCAGACACTACTTGTAATGCAAAAAGTTTTTGTAGAAAGTTTGGAACGCCATTTTCCCTCTTTGAATATTAATAATATGTTTCCCCGTTTATCGGAATTAACTGAATTGCATATAAGTTTTTTGAAAAAGCTTCGACAAAAGCAACGTGAGCAGTACATTGTTGACAGCATAGCCGACGTATTGCTAGATTTCTTTTCACTGGAAAAAGCACAACATCTAAGATTGGCATATGGTGAATTTTGCGCCAATCATCGTACAGCACTGGAACATTTCAAAGCATGTATGACAAGTCGTGACCAAACATTTGCAGAATGGTACAAACATTGTTTAACAAATCCATTACTAAAAAAGAAAGGTATTCCCGAGTGCATACTTTTTGTTACACAGCGCCTTACTAAATATCCTTTGCTGATTGAACCACTCCTCAAAAGCGCTCGAGAGGATAAAATGGAAACCGATAAATTGCAACACGCCCTCAATTTAGTAAAAGCGCTGCTTATAGATGTTGACGCTTGTGTTGCAGAGAAAGAACTACGAGAGAGACAGCTAGATATTTTTAATCGAGTTGATCCGAAATCTTTCGCTATCTACAAAAATAAGCCTTTTCGTAAATCGGATATTGGTGTTGATTCGCGTCGTCGTTTAAAATTCGAGGGTCTTGCTACTTTAATGCAAGGTCGTTCCAAGATGCAATTAGTTTTAGTTGTTGTACTTACCGACTGCTTATGCTTTCTTTCGGAAAACTCTGCTCATAACAAGTACACATTCTTTACACCAGAACACAAAGCGGGCGTAGTGCCATTACAAAAACTACTCATACGTGAAAAGGCTGGAACTGAAGCACGTGGTATATATATAATATCTTCCAATCCATCTTTTCCAGAAATGTACGAATTGAAAGTACAACAGCCTAAAGACAAGAATACCTGGATTCAATCAATTCGGCAAGCTGTCCTAGAGTGTCCATCTTCTGATGTTATCGAAACTGAAGATCTAACTGCTGAGGAAAAACTACGAATCGGCGTCAGTAAGCGGGATCTTATTGATAAGATAAGGCAAAAAGACATAGATCATGCTATTTTATTGGAAGACAAGATTGTGCTACAATTGAATTTATTGAAAGAAGTTGTTGCTATATCTGGAACAAACAGTGCTGCAACCAGCAACAATAATAGCGCTTACGTTCCCGGAGGTGTGGTGAATGCATCAAATTTTCTCGCTACTTTCGGTTCATATAAAGATTTGGTGGGTATTGATTGTAATGTTGCAGATTTGTGGAAACATGTATTGAACATGGTACAAAGTATTAGTCAATTGGCTGCAATGGTATATACGGCATCTACCGGCTTGCCGGTCTCACGTTCAGTGAGTTCGGTAGGAGAAAAGCAGAGCGATAATTATGCTTCACCCACTCTGCCAAAACGGGCCGAAACATTTGCTGGTTTTGATGAAAAACGCGTGAAGAACAATTTCCCATGTCGCGATGTGTCAAAATATCCAGCTTTGCAAGCGTTAACACCCCGACTCCAAGAATTGGAGGAAAAACGTGATACTAAATCGGGTTCTTCGTTAGTCACATTGAAGTTACAATCCACAACGAGTGAGACGCAATCCACATCCGGTTGTAATACGTCAGCTGGAATCGAAGAGGTTTCTATGAAGGATCACAATTACGCAGCTTTGCAAATATCGCACCATCTCCATACTTTATTATGTATAATTTCCCAACAAATGACTGTAATAAATAGTTTGCAGCTACAATTGGCATTGTATCGGGAAGGCCCGCGTGTCGCTTACACACATAATGATCAATTAGAGGAACTTCGTAATTTGCAAGATAAATTACAAGAAGAAAAGACAGCTTGGCTCCGCCAAAAAGAACAACAAGAACAAGAATTGGAAGATAAACGAACACAGTATATTAAATTTCAAGAACAACTTAGAGCCGAACAAGAAGATATCAAACAACAGCGCGAACAACTTTATCGCAAAATGGAATTACTTTCAAATCAGGGGTTGCTTTTATCACCTAACACGCCGTTGTTGATAAATAGCCCATCAATGGCTATTTCAGCGTCTCCGAGTGACGATGCGCACGATAGTCATGAGGGTGCGCACTTGCAAAGTGATGTAACCACACCAACGGCTGTAACTCAGAATACCGTTGATCGGCGAAAAGACAAATGGCGCACATCATCAACAATTTCAAAAACTCCGCCAGTAAATTTACTAAGCGCTACTAATGCACCAAAAATAAATCAAACTTGCATAAAACAAAAATTTCCAATGAAGTTGTCGTCCCTCTCGTCGAATACTTCTGGTAGTAGCAAAATCGACAAATCTGCTAGCTTTAATGCAACTGGATTACAACAAAACAGTTGTGCTCAAATGCTTCCACTCAAGCTTGCAGACAAACGCTTCTCAACTTCTAACTTTAATTCCACACAACTAACAACACAAAGTATTCCACAGCATTCGCGTACTGGTAGTTCACCAGCGATCATTCAACATCCCAAAACAAGAACAGCTACATCTCCTCCTCCTATTATAACAAGTGTGTGCCGCACTGATTCTTCCTCGACGTACACTTTTGGTCAACGACAAACCAATGTCGGCACAACTCCAACTACATTCGGTACTACACAAACATTGCATGCAGCAGATAACAGTGGTACTGCGTCAATTAATTCCAATCAATTTAATCGACGTAATAAAAGTAGCAGTGGAAAACCGGATGAGGAAGAGATTTACTTTTGACGCTCATTCTCGCCAGAAGTTGGAATTTAAGTTCAACGACAACATATCTTAGTTTCTTTATTTAAATTTTAACTAATTATGCAAAATAAAAAACATTCCAATATCCCAGCTCAAAAACAAAAAAAATAAGACTCATAATAGCATTTAAGATTAAAATATCTATTACATATATGTAGTTAAAATATATTCTATACATAAATACATGTATATATTATATAATATTATATGTATGTGCATGTACTTACAAAAATTTTTTTGTCATTATTACGAACTTAATATGTATGTGTAATATAAATTTTATATGATTACATTAAAAAGTAACTTTCGTTTATAGTAGAACACTGTTAGTAAGAGTGAAAAATATATATAAACAAATTAATTAAGCCTGAATCCTAAAAATATCAAATTGTTTAACTATTAATTATTCAGCAATATTTTTATTTACTGACTTGAATTTTATTACTATAATTAATACATATTTTAAGTATATATGTATGTATATGTTGTTACCATTTGCATATGTCTGAAATAAAACATTAATTCACTAAAAGCAATAGTTTAATTAACGGAATTACGAATTTGAAAAAAAAAAATTGTTTTATAATCAGCAGCATTAAATTTATAAACACGGGATCACCATGCCCGAAACCCCGATTGGTACCGAACGGCTTGGAGAGGTTGTTCCCAATTCTAACAGTAGGTGGGAAGCTACACTGAACAAATCGTATTATTGTAGTATTTTGAAAGGTCCGCCTTAATATTTTACACAATACGCTCGATAAAGCCTCATATGCATATATATGTATGTATGTGCAATATTCAGACAGCAATTGACGCAGACTGTGGGCTGACCTTTTGAGAATTCGCTAAAGCACATTTACATTCCAATCGTCAGGCATGCCCCCTCCGACCGAATTCGCATGCATCAGTACTTTGTCAGCCCTTTGCAAACTGCTTAAATATCTCAGTTGGTAAACCGTCGGCTTCCATCATCTTGTTTTTCTTCAGGCGAGCAATTAATATTGGTCAAGTAAAAAGTTCGTTCGGTTTTTTTTTTGATTTTTCAAAAAATGATAACTTTTTGTATTTGTCCGATTTAAGTCAAATATGCGCCGTTTTGTTCGTAAGCTTGTTGCCAACTTCATCCACACTCATTACTCCCCTGCCGTAGAAAGCTTCGTCCCTATTGGCAAAAAACTCGGAGAACCAATTTTCACCGGCCTTTCTTGAGGCAAAATTCTCATCATTAAGCGCGCTCGGCATGGAAAGGAAAATATGGTAATCACTTGGTGCTAGGTCCGGACTATAAGGCGGGTTCATTAGGACCTTCCATCCGAGCAGATGGAAAATCAGTGTTTTTTTTTGCGTTAGTTCGTGTGGAACCCAAACATCGAGCTTCTTTTTGAATCCAAGGTTATGCAAATGGTTCCAAACGGTCTTTTGGCTTATCTTTAGTTCCTCAGCAATTAAATAAGTGCTAACGGGACGGTCTCCTTCCACTATTTCCTTGATTTTAGCGCATTTTTCGACGGTAGGCCTCTCGATGCGTGGCGCATCTTTGACATCGAAATTACCGGAACGGAACCTAGCAAACCACTTTTGTGCTACACGTTTGTTTACTGTCAAAGACAAACTTTTAGCGCGAATAAACACGTGCGACACGTAACACTAGTACCATGGACAATAACGCCATCTCTTAGATAAAAACCGAACCAACTTCTTACTTGACCTAATATTTGAAATAGATTTTTCTATTGACAGCCATTCAGCAGGTGTTCCCTCCTTAAAATCTTCTTCTCTTTGGATTCTATATAAGTCTGCTCCGGCCTTGAATCCTTATACAATTAGCCGAATTTTACCATAGAAGTTTCGAGCATTACTCTCACGACCAACTCTTCACGTTCCGGACTCTCTCTTTTTGTATCTGCCGCTCTGCAAGTCTCAGTATCTTTCCCACGCAGTGTTCGTTACGACCTGTAACAACTTTGTGGCAAAATTCATTGAACCTGATCTTCATTCGGCTTTGTTGAAAACCAATTGTTTCGGTTGATGGCTGTATGTAGGGAGCTTCAAACGCTCTCATACCACATTTCCTTCATACGGAGTTGTGAGGAGGACAAGTGTAAATTTAGCTAGAAAACGTTTGGTTGTCTGTTGTGTTTGTACCTTCTCATGGTGTGTTTGTTGACGGGCGCTCTTAACTGCATCTAGGCTATCTACTGGTGTCTATCACCACATAATGAATTTGGTTACGAGTTCTTCGACTAGGAGATAGCCATGTAAATTGATGAATAATCTTACCGTACGGCCGATGGATTTTTATAAAATATTATTATTTCAGGGCTCGAAGCCTGACCTTAGGAATGGTTCTACGCATTAATTACCACTTGGTTATAATACTTTGTAAGGCAGTTTTCTCCTACCATATATCCACCACCAAGTTTGCGCTCTTTTATATGGCCGCTGTGGTATGTCACAAATACCTCCTTCCATGCATCCTTACCTAGTCCATCGCGTCTATTTGACGGCGGTGTTGATAGCCTTAATTTTAACGAAATCTTCAACCAGCTGGCCCACCCTCCCTATTAGGGTGCTATCCTTCCAGGTATTTACCCTTAAATAATAATCGTTCGCACATTTGTTGTGGTCGTTATTAAAATTAGAAGTTCTCACCATAAACATTGGCATTGTGCTGCCATTCTTAAATAGAACATCGAAACACCTATAAAAAACTTAGTTCGACCATGAAAAACTGGCCATATAATTTGCATTCAAACAGATACATATATGGATGGAACCCTTTGCACCCTCTCGCCCATATGTATGTAAAGGTAAGTACGTTTTTGGAAAAATGAAAAATACTAAATTTAGCTTCATATTATATTTTAGTGTTTTAGATTAACATTTATTAGTTTCATTATTGTAAAAAATACGATATAATTCGCGTTTTGGGAATAATTTCATTATATTATATACATACATATATTGAATTAAATAATAATTAATTATATTAATGGAAGTAGTGAAGTATACGTCATATAAACTAATTTCTTACTTATTATATTATTGTACAATATGTAAAAAAGCAGAAATAATTGAACATTAAATATTGTGGCTGTCAACGCCGCCGCTGTAAATGCTCCAAATCTCTTTTCAGTTAAGAAACATTTTTATCAAAAATAATTTTCGAATTCGGAACGTAAAATAAGTTTTGAAATGAGCTCTTATCAAGTTTGCATCTCTTGCATAGCGGCAGTAATACATACTATACATACGTACCTATGTGCATACTATGTACATACTCGTATATATATAAATTGTATACAAATTCTTAATTGTAACTTAAAAATATGTGATGTCAGAGCAAAAAAACACATTTTTTCAAAAATGTAACACTGTCTAAACATTGTGCAACAAAAATATACAATAAATATGTATTTGTGTTTAATGACTCTGTAAAAATTATTATTTTTTTGCGCAATTCTTTATTTATTATCTTATTTTACCAAAAAAATAACAAAACATAATAACCACGATTTTCTTTAATTATTGTCGAAATTAAAACTGTAGGAAAGTTTTGATATACAAATGTATGTATGAGCCATATGTGTGTATACCACATATGTTACAAGAGTAACCATATATTGGAAGAGCAACACATTATATCTCTTATCTACGTTAGACGTCATTCGTATTTAGTTAAAATATGCCTTTATAAATTTTTATAATTTGTAGCTTACTGATCCCACGAAAAGTGTCTAGTTTCTGAAGCTAAGTTAAGGAATCGGTTTATTTACAATAAATAGAATGTAGATAGGCTTACTGCGAAACAAACTTATTAATAACGGTCACTTTTAGTGCAGAAGTTTTAAGTACTTATTAATAAAATTAAAATTAATGGAAAAAATAACAATATTTGTAGTTGTAATTTGTTTTTACTGAAAGCAAATTTAAATATGTATATACGTGTATATGTATGTATATGAAAAGAACTTGTGCGTAAGCAGAAAAGTACTAAAGGTGTAATTTTTGTGACTTGGACTTGTCTATGTTTGAATTTTGAATTTAAGTAGATAAAGCTCTCTGTGGATGTATAACAGAAAGGCAGAGTATTGGATATGAAACTATTTTGTAAAGGTACAACTATGAAAAGTTGCAATTGAAAGTTGTTCTACTTCCTTGGTAAGATTTCACATCAGTCAACAATAATTAGTATACATTACCGCCACTTTCTGGAAACAACAATATTTTTGCCTCCTCGAAAATGTCTTTTGGTTGTAGGTCAAATAAATTTTAGCGGGAAATTCGATTTAATTGGAATAAAAGTGCAGTTGAAGCTCATCGAGTGCTTGTGAAAGTGTACCTAAATTTTTGTCAGGCAGAAAGTCGTTTTGACGCTTCAAAAGTGGTTAGCGTCGCAGACAAATAGCGTCCTGGCCAACCCAAAAAGTTGGAAGATGAGGATGAACTTATTGATGTCAAAGCTTTAACGACTACAACTAATGCGTCTGAGACGTACACTGCATGAAAAATGATCAGAAACGACTTAAAAAAAAAACCTCGCATGACAAGATGAGTTTCCATCATGAAAACGCTCAGCCTATAACGGTCAAAAACTATTTGTAAACGCTGAAATGCGAGGCCTTCCCCACCCGTCCCATTCCCCACACGTTGCTTTTTTTGACTTCGGCCTTTATATTTGCAAAACGATTTGGGTGGTCATCGGGTCGAGTTTTTTGAAGTAATCGTAGAATGACGCAATGATTATATCTAAGACAGAGAGAACTCATTTTTTAGAGATGGTATTCGAAAATTAACAAAGAGATGGGAAAAAGTAGTCGCTTCTGGACGTCAATATATTGTATAATGTTTTTTCTCTAAACCATTCCTACACAAAAAAAAAACCCACCGAATCAATTTGTACAACCAATATTATTACGTTGGGAGAAAATTCTCAGAAGTATGGGGATGAAAGGCGCGAGCTTAGGTTGTTCAAAATTTTGCATGTCATTATGTCACTCGGCACACTTCTGAAAGCTTTATATAAATATTTATTGTTCAAGCCAAAATGAAACTACTTGCAAATCGTCAGTAAGCAATTTTTATATTAGTTTTGATTTGAGGTTGTAAAAAAAAAAATATTTTAACGCCCCTTTAGTGTAATCTTGATTTACAATGATACTCAATATAAATATTACATTGTATTGTATTGATCACAATCGGAGGAAAATCGCTTCAGCGGTTACAAAGCGCCAATTATATATATTGTCCACAAAACTGCACTTGACACGGCCGAACAAATATCATATTAAATGTAACAGAGGCATGAATTTAATAAAACTAGGCAGGCAATTAAGTCAATAATATAATACTAAGCTAAATATATCATTTACAAATATTAATTTGAACAGAATTAAATATACATACAAACATAATAATTATTGTTTATTTTCATATGTATTGTAACTACTGGAAGAAAATTAGTATTAGCAACAAGATGCTTCGTATAATTTTTTGCATAGAAATCACAGTCTTATAGAGAATTAGCTACAATTTTGCAAAACAAGAAAACTTATACCAAAAATAAGAAATTTTAAATAAATCTGGTTTTATTAAACACAATGTATAAACTTCCTATAAATCAGATACATACATATTTACATATGTATGTATTTACATAACTTGAACGCATTGACGCATAGCACCTTTAATTACAAGCTAACGTTGTTTTTGTTTTATAATTTTTAGAGTTAAATTAGAATTGCTATTATATTTGAAGAATGCACTGATTTCAATAAATTTATATTTTAGTACATATTTTAGTATTGTATAATAGTTATTTAGGATAAAATTGGCAAGTTCAATTTTAATTTCGCGGACAATCCGCTATACGTGTACATGTATTTATGCATTGATTTAGATTCTATGGAATGTTTAGTTACAATATTATATATGTATGTTAATTTTTTCTGCTTCCTGCGTTTTTGCGATGACTTTGTATTAATCGGTTTACCTCTGCAGGTTCCGATTCTTTAAACGTTAGCGATTTCGCTTAGTTTTTCTATTGACATTCCCTTCGATTATGATCTGGAAGTAAAAATATATATATATATAGTTTTTAGAATTTTCGATGAATCGTATGTAAATATTTTAAATAATTAAATACTTTATCATTGGATTTCTAAATCGAAACACTTCCAAATGGCGCCATCTCTGACTTGCTTATTCTTGATACTTTTGTTTTTGTTTGCCAATTCAATATCACCTTCAGTTTCTTTCGGGCATTCAAATATCTAATTAAAATATATTATTTACCGTTATACATAAGTAAAAAGGCTTTCGTAGATATTTGGAAGTTTGTGTCTACTACAACTACGTTTAACAAAGAAAACCAATGTTATTAGGGAGGGGGGGCTAGATACGAGTAGATCTAAACAATAAATATCCGACTACTTCCGCTGTACGGAACCTTTTCAACTTTAGCAGCATTGGAATTGTTAATAGCACTGCTCGGTGATAATTTCATTAAGAATTCTTCATCTCCTTCAATTGCGTGGGCAGCACTTACGCGATTAAAGTCGAATCGACAGTAGTGCACCATTCGTTTTTGTTGTTGTTGTTGAAAAAATATTCCACAAAGCAGTTTTTGGGGTATGTTGCGGGTGTGACAGCACTTGGGCGGTTAAAAATCCAGGTCGTTCTGGTATAAACATCCGACTGCTGCGGGAACTTCAGGATTTTAGTCGCCTCTTACAACAGGCCTGCCTTATCGACAAGAAAATTCCTGAATTCCTACTCCGCAGAGGCCATTTGTTCCTTCTCCTGGCTGTTTGGTGCCAGTTGGAAATACTAAGCGAAACCAGGTCGCTCTCAACCTGATCCGGACTTTCATCTCTGCCCCACCGGCGGTTACTGCATCGAATACTTTAAAAGCTGGAGCACTTTCATTCATGCGGACGACAAATCGTAGCCAGCGTAGCCGTTGTCTATTCATTCGCTAAACTATATCAATGTCACCGTATAATTCCTACAGCTCATCGTCCCATCGTATACGTTATTCGCCGTAGTCAATGCTCAAACGAACATAAATCGTTCGCAAAACTTTTCTCTCGAAGACACTCAGCGCAGACTCATCGGATGTCGACAGCGTCCAGGCTTCTGCATTATATAGTAGGATGGGATTGATGAGTGACTTGTAGAAATTGGATTTGGTTCGTGGAGAAAGGGCTTTATTTTTCAATTCTCAACTCAGTTCAAATACAAGAATTAGCCCGTAGTGCAGATATTACTGGGCTTTTGTTTCAGTTAATGTGGTTCAGTAAAAATTGGTAACAGTTCATTAAATTATTTTTTTTTTAATTTCAAATCTAATTTCAACTGCTCTAACCCAAATTTTTGTATATTTCAGACTTGTGTCGGGAGTTCGAGAGATAGGCATGGAACCTACAATATATACCAAATTTGGTGACTGTAGCCTAATATAATTCCGGAATGTGGGCGTAGACATGATCCGATCTCGTTCACTCCTTCATAAATCATTTAATATTATGTTTTGTTAATTTATTGAAATATGGGATGATCATGATTTGTCTAACTTTTGGACATATCATTATTTCCTCTATTGTTTTTTGTGAACGATTACTTTATTTCTACTGAAATGTATGTTTGCATGTAACATATGTATGTATATAATGCATAAGCTACGCCAGATCAAATAAAAAAAAAATGAAATAATTTATTTTATATTTCATTCAAGGCGAATTCATAGAGATGAGAGCAAGAGAACAAATACAATAATTACAGAAACTGACAATTACCACACTCAATGAATACAAAAATTTAAATCGCTGCCGTGATAACTTCACCTTATTAATTTCGCCTTGATTTTACGCATAGAAAATTTCTAATAAAAAATTATTGGAGGGCTATTTTTGCATTTTTTTTTCTTACTTTGAAACATTTTTCAATTTAAGATAGAAATTTTTTGTATATAAATGTGAAAGTAAATACCTGCAGTATTTGACTGGCCTCGAAGGATGTACCGGGTAATAAAATCACTGGCGACGATACATGGCCTGACTCAACGCATAGCATATTAGGAAACTCGTCATCGCCGAAGTCGCTCATTTCTCGTGCTTGATCAATCCAGGGATTCCAGATCACTGTAAGAATACAAAAAATTTACATTTTTTTTTAAAAAGCAAGGCAAAACGACTTTTACACTAACTAATAATAACTTCAAAACTTATCCGGATGTGTAAACTGACATTAAAACGCACTAAAAGTTTTTTCAGGATCGGGAAGGATCTCTCCGAGCCGTTCGATACCAAACAAGGTTTCAGAATATGAGCTGCAGAGCTGAACAGAGAAGGTACAGCTGCTGGCGTACGCCGATGATATCGACAACCGTGCCGTTGACTCTGCTTTTTCCAAGACTCGGTAAAGAAGCGAAGCAAATGGGTTTGGTAGTGAATGAGGAACAGACGAAATATCAAACAAATGTTAATCGCATTCGCGCCTCGGCTTCCACTTCACTGTTGATAGTCATAACATTGAAGTCACAGATAACTTCGTCTATTTAGGAACCAGTATTAACACCAACAACAATGTCAGCCTGGAAATCCAACGCAGAATCACTCTTGCCAACAGGTGCTACTTTGGACTGATGAGGCAATTGAAAAGTAAGTCCTCTCTCGGCGAACGTAAACCAAACTCTACAAGTCGCTCATCATACCCGCCCTACTATATGATGCAGAAGCGTGGACGATGTCAACTTCCGATGAGTCGGCTTTAGGAGTCTTTGAGTTTTTGAGTCGCATTGGCTACGGCGAAAACCGTAAACGCAACGATGAGCTGTACGAGCTATACGATGATATTGACATAGTTCAGCGAATGAAGAGACAGTGGCTAAAAGCACTCCAGCTTTGAAGGTATTCGACGGAGTACCCGCTGGTGTAAGCACAGGAAGAGGAAGACCTACACTCCGTTGAAAGTATCAGTTGGAGAGTGACCTGACTTCACTTGTGGTTTACAACTAGCGCCAGACAGCGAAAAGAAGAGAGGAAAGGCGCGTTAATATTGGTTCGGCTATGATCGCGTGAGTGGTGTCAACGCCAATAAAGAAGAAGAATAATAACTTCAAGGAGTGATTCTAAGCATGCAGTTACAGTTGCAAGGTATACCCTATTTTAAATTCTACGTTCTCAGAGCACACCCTGGAAACACGAGCAACATCTGTGCGAGGAGCCACTCCGACATATTCAGTTCAAAGATACGAGAGAGTCGAAGTGCAGCGTCTCTTCATCCGAGGTGCGGCTGCAAGCGAACGTCAGTTTTCAATAAAACCGTTTTCTTTGGCATATAAATTACATCTGTCCGTATTTTGTGTTCAAAAAAGTGTTGTTTATTATTATGTAATAGAACTCCATTCAAACTATTGTTCATCCGAAGCGACTAATCTCTACCACTAAAAATAAGTGCTCCCTGACCTGATTAAATTATTGAGCCACTCTTCGATTTCTTCAAAAGACCCGAATAGGTGACACATAAAATCGTTTTGCAACCGTTAGAAAGAAGGTCTCGAGAGTACGGAGGTTGGGGTAAGACCTTGCATTACAGGCAGTTTCTGACCGTTGCAACCACGTGAGGCCGTGTGTTGACATGTTACAAAATCACCTTGCCATGCCTTTCGGTCTTTTCGGGTCGCTTTTCATGCAGTTCATGGCTCAAACGCAGTTGATAACGTTTTGCAACAATGGATTCGCCTGGGTTTAACAGCGCTCCTCATCTTAAAACTTTTTGGGTTGTCTTCAACCCTAAAAGCACCACTCGAAGCATGACTTATCTATCGGCACAGATTCATCATAAACATCCACAAGCATTCGAAAGACTTCAACTGCACTTTTCTTCCAATTCAAATCGAAAATCAAAATTCCCCGCTAACGCTGTTTATTTAACACAAATCCGGACATTTTCGGAGAGGTAAAAAATATTGTTGTCCACGTAAACAGACGCAGATGCGGTCCGAACAATTTTTTTTTTTATTATTATCTACTAGCACAAACTAGCTGCGCTGGTTCTGGGATACGGTATGTGGAATTCAGCTACAAAGGATTATGGTTTGAGGGCATCCATCGGGAATGTCCAGTTAGTAAATTTGTTGCGCCGCTCCTAGCTGGTTGATGTTCTTAGTATTATTAAAGCTGACATCACCGCCGTCCAAGAGACTGGATGGATAGGGCTTGCGCCATATACTACAGCGGCTATATAAGGCAGCGCAAATTTGGTGTTGAATTTGTGGTAGGAGAGAAATTACGCCGGAGAACACTATCGTTTACTAAGCGTTTTGCCATATTCCGCATTATCATATTCAGGCAAAGGTGACACATTTCCGTGCGACACTGCCCTTGGTTTTAATTGATAGCTGATTGTTGTTGACGTGTTTGGCATAATAATAAAACGATTTTCGTTATCTCATAAAACATTTTTTTAGAGCCAAAACGGCGAAGGAAACAAAAGTAAAGTTGGATAATAATTATGGGGGTAATGCTCCGTCATATTACACCGTCAAATATTGATTTCGAGAGTTTTGTGGTGGCCGCAACTCCTCTACCGATCAAGTCCGCAGTGACAGGCTCTCCGAAACGGTCACAGAGGACAATGTCAAAAAAATATATGAAATGGCGTTGACTAACCATATAGTGAAGGTGCGGGAGCTAGCAGATGCTACAAAGATTAGTACTTAGAAAAAGTTATCCTGCCGCTGGGTGCCGCGCCGTTCACTCTGGACCAAGAACACGAACGCGCGAGCACTTCGAAAGAAAAGATCAAGAAGTTGGAAAATCGCTGGAATAAGTGTATCGAGATGAAAGCGGATAACATTGAAGTAAATAAAAAAATAAAATTTTTCTTTATTCCCAAGGAGGTTACTCTTCACCCCACCTAGTATCGCTAACGGAATAGAAAGACGAATTGTATATCAGAGCTGTGGAATTTCATTCTCACTATGTTAAAGATGAGATTCCCAGAATATACCGAGTTTATGGAGGAAACGCTGCTGAACGACAGTGAAAGTGAAACATTTGGATCTAATATTTTGACAAATATCACCTCTACGTTGGTTTCAAAGCAACCTTCGACAGCACGAAAAGTAGCTACCTGGACGCCGGGGTATCTGAGTTTGCTCTAAACGATGCACGTTTTTCAATGGAAACCAGGAGAAAATAACACGAGCTGCAAAGCCAAGCAGAGAATGTACAACTTTGTATATGAGCGTACAACTGCTGGGTATTATTGGCCTTAACAACCGCATCGTTAGTTCCGATTTATCCAGACTGGATAAGTAAACAAGGTGAATGAGTCTGGTAGTGAACGAGGACAAGACGAAATATCTCTTGTCAAATAAGACGTAAGCAGACTTGAGTATTGGCTCCCACGTCACTGTTAAAAATTATCACTTTAAAGTTGCAGATAATTTCCTCCTCCTAGAGACTAACATTAACATCAGCAACAAAGCCAGCATTGATATCCGAAGCAAAATCACTCTTGCCAACAGGTGATACCTTGGACTGAATAGGCAATTGAAAAGTAAAATCCTCTCAAGAGGAACTAAAACCAAACCCTATAAGTCACTCATTATTTCAGACCTGCTATATGCTGCGAAATTACGAACTATGACAACATCTAATGCGTCGGAGTTTGGAGTTTTTGGGAAAAAGGTTTTGCGTAAAAGTTATGATCCTTCGTGGAGTTGGGAATGGCGAATGGTACGATGAGCTGTATGAGATATACCGCAATAATTGAAAAAATTAGGAAATAAAGAGACAGGAGTCCGGAGAAAATATTCGTTATTTTCAAATTTCGTGAGTTACGTATGTTCGATTTTCGCTTTTTTCTGTTATGTTAGTACACATGTCTGTTATGTATGTTGGCAATATCAACCATTTTGGATTGGCAGTTTGTTTCTGACAGATAAAAAGGTTAGTCGTGTTTTGGTGTGCTCTTGGATTTTTTCTATTCGAAAAAATGGATCAAAGAAGCTGAAAAAGTTTTGTGTAAAAAATTAAATTAAATGCGAAAGGACATTGGAAATATTGACTGTGGCGTTTGGCGAGTCTACTAGGAGCAGAACACAAGTACAAATGTGGTATAATCGGTTTAAGGAAGGCCAAGAAGATGTCACTAACAATGCTCATCCTGGCCGGCCGAGCAAGAGAAAACATCAAAGCAGTGAAGAAAATGGTTTTGGATAATCGTCGAATCACTATCAGTGAGTCAGTGAGGTTGCTGATGATGTTGGCATGTCGTTCGGCTCAATCAATTTTTACGGCTGTTTTAGGAATGAAACGTTCGGCAGCGAAGATTGTTCCGTGCTTGTGCTTGTGCGTAAGTTTTCGGCAAAAAAAAAAACTGAAGACACCGATGAAAGGAAAGCGTTTTGCTACCATTGAGGAGATTAAAGAAAAATCGAGTTTCTTTTGGCGATACCAAAAAATGCGTTAAAGAAGTATTTTGAGGATTAAAAAAAAAACGTTGACATAAGTGAATTATATCTAAGGGGGTTTCCTTTGCAGGGAACAAGAAAATAACGGTAATTTTCAGATCACACTTCGTATATATTTAATACATAATATGATAAGATTATATTTAAACATCGCAGTTATTTATTTGCTATAAATTAAGGTTTTAAACACATACAGACGAAGTTAACAAAAAAAAAATTTTTTTATATATATCCAAACTGAATTTTTACTTACCTGTATCTGGAAAATTGTATTTATGAAGTCGCATTTTCCGCCCAGACACAACGTTTGTAATGACATGTTCTTGTGGAGTGTGCTGGTAAATTCGATCGGTCCATTCCCCAATAGTCACTATTTCCCGCCCCTCTTGGTAGATCGCGCCTTCACGAGTCTGAAATTGCATTCCATATGATGAAGATGAATTATGGGAATGTAAAAATTATTATAATATAATTAATATTTAAATTGTGGGATATTGAAAGAATATACACGAAATCAATATGATTTTAATTTTATTTATTTTCTTTTTAATTCGTTATATTTTCCCCCACTATGTTAAGAAAAACTTTTCATCCCTTTTCCTCGAAGAAAAAGCTGGTTAGCCACACTGTAAATGACATTGTATTTAGTAGATATTTGCCTTACAACCCTAATCTCTATGATTTTATCGTTGAAGCGATTTATGGCCGGCTCCCTCAATTAGTGGTGTGTGTCTTAATCCCTTATCGTTCCCCGCTTGCTATATGGTGCGGGAGCATGGACGATGACAACATCTGATGAGTCGGCGTTAGAAGTTTTTGAGCGAGAGGTTTTGTGTAAGATTTATGATACTTTGCGCATTGGTAACGGCGAATATCGCAGAAGATGAGCTGTACGAGTTATACGGCGACATTGACGGGAATACTCCAGTTTTGAAAGTTTTCGATGCAGTACCCGACGGTGGAAGCAGGGGAAGGGGAAGACCTCCATTCTGTTGGAAATACCAGGTAGAGAAGGAGCTGGTTGTACGACAAGCCATGAACGCCAATAGAACGATCTATAGCTTACGAAGAGTTTACGCTGCACGGTGAGACTCGAGTAATTAAGATCTGTGCATTGCAGCAAACTAAACTTCCATCTATCCAGACTCGACCCCGCTATAACGTAACGTACAATTAGACCCCGCAAGACACCAAAACTATATATGTGCTTGCTTAAAGGGACAACGACTCAACCACCACCCAACTCGCCATTCGAACTAGCTTAGCCTGATCAAGTAACCTTGATCCACAATACCACTAATAACACCTTATGAACTTATATTTCATATACATATGAATTATAGTTTTCACTCAACAATTTTCAGCAATGTAACTAATCGAGATATCTCACCTTATCAATAAATGTACAACCACGTAGACCGGTTATTTGACAACGGCGTACATCAGGAACTTTCAAATATGTATGCAAAAGCATATTAAATGTAAAGGATAAATCTTTGCTCGGATTATATACACCAATGTGAAAATGCAATTCCTTCTCTCTTAAAATGAGACGATAGGTGATTCGAAATCTGCATGGAAAATACAAAAATATACACGTACGTACATGAGATAAAGAATATCGGTAATAATAACAACATGAAATCGAAAATAAGGTAGAGGAGCTCAAGTTTGAGCAGAATAAAATTAAGAAGAAACAAAATGACAGAATGAATTGGATTCAGATTCAATGCTCACTGGTAATTCCACATAGAACGTGTAAATTCGTTGTCCATTAAGGAGAAAATTGCTTCAACATCACCATTGTGCATACGTTCTGGCGGCTTTTCCAAGCTCCAACGTGTAACTCGTGCAAATCCGTGCTGTGGACCAAATGACCATGGTCCGAATTGAGCTGAAATGGAGGAATGATGTATGTATTATATATTAAACAATTTTCAGTAGATTACTTTAAATACACAGGATTAATAGTATGTTACGATATTGGAAAGAAGTGAGCTCCTTGTCATTAAATAGGCGCAGAAGGGAAGTTTTAAACGGACGAGTACTTATGTAGTAGTGGAACAAATCTTGTGTCGGAATGGAAGGTCTAGTTGATCATAGATGTATTGACTTCAAGATAACTATCGAGGACAATCAGTTACCAATATATGGTGATGAGACCATAACAAGCTGGGATAAACTCGTATGGATCGGTCAATAATAGCACAAGGAGTTAAGCGCTATATCAAAGGTTGATTAAGTAGTTGAGAAAAGTACAGAAAGTTTAATTGATGCCTTTGAAGAAGACTTTTCTCTACCCAAGGCCGATCGACACAAAGCCAGCCGTGGATGACGATGGCGCTCAAAAACATAATGTAAAAGTAATGTAAAGGGTCTATCAATAAACCTAACGGTTTAATATCGATAAATGCTGGCATGACTGCCATACCTCATTTTGGAAGTATACATAGCATCGTGTATTAATTGGTCTAGGGTTCTTGACTTGTTGATAGAAACTTCAAGTAACATCGGAGAAAGAAACTGGCAGTGTCAAATCTGATGAACGCGGTCGCCAATCCAAACCACCGTTTTCTGATACATAAGTACAAATCCCATCCACTTTTTTTGAGTTTAACATACAGATATACATATACGGAGGCGGAATTTTTCACGGATAAAACCATTTTATATAATAGTAACTTACGAAATACGAATGGTATGCCACCACGAATCGCCTTTTTCCCATCGAATGAAGCAAGTTTACTGAAAAGAAACAAAGAGGTTTGTATAAATTAGTCACAAAACTGAGCGTACACATTCTCTTTTATGAAGGTTGTCACATCTTGTCGACGTAAATGCCCTATAAATGCAGATTTATCATTACATGTATTATTCCAGGAGTGGCCGCAATAGTCGAGTGGTTTGCCTGGCCTATTATCAAAATGTCTGTTATAACCTCTAAAGCCAGGCTTTTTCTCAAATTGGCGATGTGCGTATTGGTGAAAAACTCCTAGTGCCAGTGCTTGTAACCAAACTACTATGAAACCAAACGAGGAACCGACTAATACAAGAGAATTTTATTTATGATTCACTTCAATTGAAATTAGTAGCTTATCGTACAGATTAACTTGTAGAAAATGGTTCATAAAAATGGTATTTATGGTTCAAATTTCTTGGAGTGGACCTGATAACGGAACCATTTCGTTTTGTTAATATGAAAATGGCAACATTTCGTTTCGGATAAGAGCGAAATAAAGTTTATTGAATTGATTGAAATAAATTTTTTGATTTTATTTTATTTATGGTTCGATTTACTTGAAATTTCATAAATATGTAGTTCTTTGCTTTGATTAGCGCTCTTTTTTTATTGAAAAGTAGGGCTGGAAATGAAATATTCGAAAAAATGTTTCTTTCGATTTCGTCTTCTATGCGATGTATACTTGGAATATTGCTTACTTTCGAAAAAACGTTTAAAGGCAATTTTCGGCATACTTAGCATATTCATCCATATTTTGACTTTATTTGCTCTACTGTTGGTATTCAATTAATTTTTTGGTTAGAGATTTTTAGAAATATATTTTTTGATGTTTAGAAATAAGTTTTTATTTGCGATTAGCATCGCAACTGCTGCTATATTTTTAACGAATTTTTTGTTGTAAATGTGAATATATATATATATTGAAAAATTTTACGTTCGTTGTAAATATCCCCATTCCTTGAAAAGTTAACGACCGATTGATTTGAAAATATGTCAGATTGTCTCTACGGTTTATGAAAATGTTCCAAAATGTAAGTAAGTAATGCTTAAATTCGCAGAGGGAATACTCTGCTCTCCGAGATCTGGACTACTTATACGATAACTTAGTATTTTTGGTTCAATTTATTCTCACCGGTAAGTGGACCTATTCGAAAAAGTCGTATTTATGGTACGATTTATTTGTAATCGTTTTTTTACGTCAAGTGGATCGATCTATTTTATCGGTTTAGATAAATTTTTGGTTCGGTTCGGTTTAGTTATATTTTTGGATGAGATGCCTAAAGGGGATATATTTTTTTCCTGGAAGTGGGGACCTGGAACTAAGTTCGATTTGTTCGAAATATTAAGTGTAGTAAAAAGAAATCCATTATTTTTGCATACAATGGAATTGTTTAAATTTTTCTTTTCGTATCCAGCCTTACTCAAATAGTTCCAAACGACTTTTTATGCAATCTTTGGCTCTTGGGCAATCGAAACAGTGTTTGTATGACGGTCGGACGGACGGACTAATCACAAAACTGTCAGAAATTTTTTTTTTTTGGTATGAAATGTCATCTTTATAGAGCCATCTAGCGGAGCCCGATCGGACTTATACAACGCGAGATGGTTTTTTTTTAACTACACCTGATATAAGTTGCAAATATTTACCGTAAACAAGACGGACAAATCAGAAAGCCAAACTCTTTAATATGAACTTTATTGTCAAGAGGGAGGGTTTTTTTTCCAAAGAGTATTTGTATTTGTATAACATTTTGAAGGCGCAGCAGTCGTATAGTTGCAGCCTGGTTACACCAACATCCAAAATTTCGATAGCCACTCAGCAGTGATATGAGAAAGAGGCTCATAATGAAAAACAATATGCTGTTTTGAGGTGGTTTCAAAACTTTTAAGTCTCTCCAGTCGAAAAAAAACGTTACAAATCGAATGAGGACGAAAACAGCTTCAGTGAACCTTGGTTGGGTCGAGCATGTCTTACCGCTACTCTCTCGCTACTACTCGACTCTATCCTCAGCAGTATCATTGGAGAAGTATGTATATCCATATGTACTTATCTAGACAAAGTACATACTTCTAGGCGATTGGTACTATTGAATCACTAAAATCCTGCATTCCTGGTAAGCTCTAAAACTGTATAGGATTGACTAAGTGGAGTTTCATAGATTTAAATCCTACCAGACTTACAACCAAATATTGCTCGTCCCCAGCAGATAATGTCAACCTCTACAATTGTATTTTTACCATGAATTAAAAAGCTCATAAAAATCCATTAGTTACTCGAGGACGGTTAAGAAAAACATTTATTTAATTTTTTGGAAAACATTAAGTATGGCGGAATAGATTAGAGCGGAATCGAAGGCGAATAAGCTACCGTGTTTGAGTATCGCCGCTCCTTCACTGTCAGAAAGGACTTAGACATGTTCTTTTTTTCCATTCTAAGATCAAAATTCTGGATATTGCCCACGTTAGCATTTACGCATTGAGGCCGAAACAACCTAGAGAAATTGTCTTGAACACGAGTTGGAATCTCCCATACAATTTTTTCTGAAAGCTGCGTTTGTTAAGCAGATACTCAAAATTCTCAGCGCCTTTTCGGATTTTTCGATATGCACTAAAATATACAAATCGTCTAAAAAAGTATGTTGACATATTATTAATGGGAATTTATTAAATTTAAGTAATGTAAACAATTTTTTTATTTGATCATATCACAATTTGAAAAATTCCAATGCAAAGTCGAACCAGTGCGTAAGTTCTGTTCTTAACATTTGTTTGCATTTTTTGTTTGGGTTAATTATATTGATGAGAGACATTTTGCATTGACATAATATGTCTTTTTAAATCTGGTTTTATATTTATAATAATAAGCTCAACAAATACCCTCAATCCGCATAACGTACGGAATATGCATAGTCATGATTGGGAGGCGTTCGATAAGCGTCGAGATTTATAACTGTTTAATTACAGAAAAAATAATTTTTCAACAGCTGAAATTTAGTAATTGTGGAATTTTAACAGGCCTATTCTGTCGAGGTAACAAAATTTACCTAGGTATTAAAATTTATCATTCAGTAAATTTTGTTACCATTTCGTATTCTGAGTTCACTGTCACCCTGTAAATTTTGTTACCAGCGAAATAGGAGGTAACAAAAATATCTGCTGTTTGATTTTGTGTTGTAAGTTTGAGAAAATATAAAAAACCGAAATGGGTAGATATATTTTAGGCCTGGAATTCATTGAAGATGAAGAAAAAAGTGCAAAAAGCCGTATTTTAAGAAGTTTTCGAGACTAAAAAATAGCCCTTTAATTGTTAAGATAACGTTTTCATTCAGCTTTTTTTGTTGTCCAGGCATATTTTCCATAATTAGGTTTAAATATTTGAGATTTAATAAGCAAATTAATACAACTTTTTAATTTTTTTGTGCACCGTCTTCCATTTCGATGTGAATATTTTTCTTTTTACTTTATCAACTGGCAAATGTAATGGACGAAAGAAGCAGTGCTGCCAAATTTTTTTCAAACATTGTAACCAGCTCGCCAGAATACCAAATTCAATTTCGGGTGTTAAAGAAAAGTAACAAAATTTACTTTACCGGTAACAGCGAGAATAGGCCTGTAAGAGTTCGAAGGTGCTAGATTGAAAATAAAAGTTGCTTCATAATTTGTTTAATTGAAGTTTCGAGAGTAGTTAGGTAGTTATAAGATTTTTGAATGTAGATGAGCAAAAACTGTGGCGAGAAAAAGGTAAATAAGGAACTTTAGCCGTGGAAAAATAGATAACCACATAGCTCTGGTAAATACAATTTCAAGCTTTCAAACAATTTCACCTATATTAAAAATCCTATTTTCTTTTTTTTTTTTGTAAAAACAGAATTTTTCTAAAGCCTTCCCAGCTCATCCTTCAAATTACTTATGCCTAGTTATGGGTTGTTGAACCAAAACGAAATACAAAGTGTTCATTTTCAGCTATCGCCTACCTATTGTTACCTATTTTGACTTGCGTAGCTTAGTTGACGGATGCTGCTCAAGTCATTTGCAGTCAAAGTGATGAACTTCTTAATCGAAATTAAAAAATTTATTGGCGTTTTTCAAAGATTTTTATATTTTCTGATGAAAGCTGCAATCAATTTAAAGATAAGCTTATTTTGACAATTTTGAATGATATTAGGTCAAGTAAAAAGTTCGTTCAGTTTTTATCTAAGCGATGGCGTTATTGTCCATAGTACTAGTGTTACGTGTCGCATCATGTCATACTATACGGTGCTGAAAACGTGCTTATTTGCGAAACGGCTTTTGACAGTTTTTCGATTGATTGACTCAGTACGTTGTGAGCGCACGCCAAAGATGGACACCAGCAAAGAGAAAATTCGCTATATTTTACAATTTTTCGATCAAGGCGAAAAAGCAGCCAAAGCGGCTGAAAAAATAATTTAGTTCATAGGCCCGATACTTTAAACGAACGTGTAGCACAAAATTGGTTTGCTAGGTTCCGTTCCGGTAATTTCGATGTCAAAGATGTACCACGCATCGGGAGGCCTGCCATGGAAATAGTGGAAGCAGGCCGTCACGTTAGCACTTATTTAATTGCTGAGGAACTAAAGATAAGCCAAAAGACCGTTTGGAACCATTTACATAACCTTGGATTCAAAAAGAAACTCGATGTTTGGATGCCACGCGAACTAACGCAAAAAACATGATGGACCGAATTTGCATCCGCGAATCGCTGCTGACTTGTAATAAAATCGACTTGTTTCTTAAGCGGATTGTGACTGGCGATGAAAAATGGGTCACTTACGACATCGAGCGCAAACGGTCGTGATTAAAGATCGGGGAAGCGGCCCAGACGGTGGCCAAGACCGGATTGACGGCCAGGAAGGTTTTGCTATATGTTTGATGGGATTAGCAAGGAATCATCTACTACGAGCTTCTCTCCTACGGCCAAACGCTCAATTCGGCCACTTACTGTCAAAAAAATGGACAGCTTGAAGGCAGCACTCATCCAAAAGAGGCCGCGTTGTGTTCCACCAGGACAACGTCAGGCCATACACGTCTTTGGTGTAGCGCCAGAAACTCCAAGAGCTCGGATGGGAGGTCCTAATGCACCCACCTTATAATCCGGACCTGGCACCAAGTGATTACTTTATTTTCCTGTCCATGGTGAACGCGCTTAATGGTGAGAAGTTGGCCTCAATAAAGGCCTGTGAGAATTGGTTCTCCGAGTTGTTTGCCGATAGGGACGTGGAGGGGTATAATAAAGTTGGCATCTCGTTGGCAACAAGTTTACGAACGAACGAACGAATGCTTACGATTGAACATTCGACATTGGAGAAATGTTTAAAACTTTTCCTCATTTGAGATCACTCACCAATAATTGTCGTAATTTATTTTCTTATTTGCAAGATTAATCTCACTTTAAGTTCGAGGAGTATGTGTAGAAAGATCCAACAAGATGTCTATATTTCTGCTGATACCATCCCTTGCTTGGTGGGATGGCCGTACAAGTTAGGGAAAAACTGCATATTGAATTGTATTTGGTATTAATTTTTTTATAATTGGAACTTTGCCACCGCTAAAGCAATCTTCATCCGAGCTCTACCTTTGATTGGTGGTGTGCGTTTTGATGTTTTTTCAACTAATGGAGGCACCTACAGTTTAATCGAATTCGTTTCCGAACGCTCAATGGACTACTATGAGGAGCTTTTATTTCATGCCAAAAAATACACCCGGAGGGATTGACATTCCCAGCGGAAGGGAGACCGCAATTAGAGCAAGAAAGAAGAACTATCTTCGGCAATGTTGAACCTTTTGCACCTTTCTTTTAGGATTGAATATTAATTTTTATATCTGAAAAATTGAATTGAATAGACGATATGATGAAGTTTTCCGATTTCGAGGATTCCGGTGTCTATGGAATGTGGAAAACTGAATTTCTTACTATTACAGGCAGAATTTGAAATCACCATATTTTCAGGCGTTTTGAATTCGATCAGCTACAATCACACGAACTGGACATTTATTAGAGAAAAATTTTGGAAATTGCAGGTACTTAATTTATGTTTGGTTAAAATGTATTAAGTAAACGCTTACTTTTAGGGGTAAGTTAAAACACCGCTACACCGCAAATTCATATGCCCTTACACTGCTTCTGGAATATCTAAAAAATTGGATATCTTAAATGATATCTTAAAATGTGTCAGGTAACTTTCTTTTGTTTTTCCCGATTGTTTCGGTATTGTGAATACGCGGTAGCAGTTAAAACGTCTTTGTTCTCAAAAATATTTTACAAGAATATTACGAAACGTCAGTTATTTGGTTATCATATGTGTATGTTCAAATCGAGTGAATTTTTCATAATAACTCAAATCAATTCGTGTGATTTCCGTTTTCGATATCAAATTGAAATCGCACCATTTCCAGCACATGTCGGTTAGATGCTTCTTTGACGGAGTTTTGACCAAAGCGTCATATCAGAAAAATTGGTGTGCTAGAAGTTATAGTCGAGCGATTCCAATAATTTTTCAGCTCTTATATGCGTTTTTGACGAATTTATGACTCTAAACCTCAAATCTGAAAAATCGGTCGTATATATGATATAGTAGTCCGAATCATTTAAATTCACAAGTGCTCTGTGTATCACGTTTGGTTGAAAAATTTTAAAAACTAAACTAAAGTAATTCGCGCACAAACAGAAGGACGCAGACCGTCCATCTGTTCTGATCGGTATCAATTGCATATTGGGACTTAAGTTAATGCATCATTTCATGTACATGAAAGGTATACAATTAATTAAATTTTTGTATTTAAATTAATTTTCTATAATTTTGGATGTTGACCGAGACAGGACTCTAACCATGATCTTTCGCATGGTAGTACGCACTGCTATTGTGTATTTGCTAATGTGATTACCGTTGAAATCTTTTGTGGCAGTGCTCGCTAATAGAAGCAAAAGCCGAGCAAGACTTCCAGAAAATATTAAACAGAAGAACATAATAATATTGCGTTCTCTTCAATTGCCGCAAAATCAGCACTGAAAAAATACAGCTTTAAAAATTGAGTAAAATAAATACCTCACAAAGAGCTGCTCCTGATTATTAACCCGCCAGGAAACAACAGTAGCACCTAAAATGAATTGTAAACAAATATTTGGCTTTAAAAATATCAGTGAAGTAAATACATATATTTCCTACGATTTCCATAATATTAGAACAAAAGACTTGATAATATCATATTAGTATAAATATGCATGAATATGAATATTGTTCTTCAAATTTAGGATCTGCTTTCTACTGAACAGAATAAAGATATGACTTAGCTCAAAACGGAATACGAATACCGAAGATCATGAAGAAAGGTTCCATTTGAGCGACTTCTTAACAGCTTCGTTGAAGTGTGAAAATATAGCTCAAAGTAGATCTATACATGAAGACATCGAACTTCTCTCTGTTAGAAAGTTAGGACTAAATTTTCAACTAAAAAATGTGAAGCTTCAAGGTTTAAATATCGCTCAATTGTTTCGTAATACTGTAGCAATTAAAGTGAGATTTTTTAAGAGCGACTTTGACTTCATATGAAGCCAAAGGCTTCTCAAAAAAGTGAAAATCTAGCCAGGAATGGCATGGGGAGCGTTAGATGATTCAATGAATTATTTGCAGACCGATTGCATTGGTGGTAGCACTGAGGGCCTTAATGAACCCCATCCGTTGGTAAAACTAATGCGAAAGTTCGCAGTTGCAGCCGCTATTTCGCTCAAGTCTCTAAAGTTTGCTGCTCCTAGACTCTTGAATTTACTTCTCTAAAGTACGGGGCATTCGCAAGGGAAACCTTTTAAGGTTTCAGTTGACTAACTTTTCTGAGTGTCTACCCAATCAGAAAATACCAACAGTGCAAGAGGTTTCCTGTCACGGTCCTAAGGACATGCATGTAACTTCCACATCTGCGTCTCACTAGTCCCCGGCGAACAACCCGGAGCAGCGAAATTTACGACCGCCTGCCAGTTGCTGGGTAGAGCCAGATGGGGTGATGGATGTCGACGGAGGTAGAGGGAAAGTTGGGGATTATGCTGCGAGGTGGTTACCCAAATTGGGGAGCGGTGCAGTAAACAAAGCCGTGACCCCAACCATTGTACCGGTTTCATCTAACTGAGATCGAAAAGTGGTGGAGTCGTCTATGGCACATACAGCAGAAACTGTTCAATGCCTGATGAAAAGGATTTGAAGCAACCCTTATGCACTTAGCGTAGAACTGCTTGATGACCCAAAAGGTGTTAGTTGGCCGAAAGGCTGACAAACCTGCTGGAGCTGCCCGAATTTTATCCGGCAAAAGGTTGCTCATTTTATGAGGCCTAACCTCGTTTAGGTCAAAAGGTAACACCTCTACCAATTGGTGCGAACCCGTCGACACAGCTCGTTTCAAAGGCCTCGCGTTAGATGACGTCGACGATATAGACTAATTTCGTCTGCTAATATTCGGCGATCTACACTTGATGCAGAGTCGTAACACGGGTCACATATACGGTATTGGCCAAATTTAAATCACACCCCTCAAGGGGAATCAAACAATGCCAAATTACTCAAAGAAACATTTATCATACTGCATAAAGGTCAAAAAAAAAATATCAACATTTATTTTAAATTTTTGTATTGTTTGCCAAATAGATACTCCTTATATATATATTTTGCTGGAAATATTGTATTCAAGTACTCACCATGAAGATTTATGGTACAGGTGGTATTGTTGCCACGATCCAGCACCACAACACTTGTTGCTTGAGTTGCCGCTGAAGAAGCTGGAGCTGAATTCGCCATCCTCTGTATATTTTAATTTAAAAACACTATTTTAGTATATTTAACGTTGAGCGTTTTTTATTTAATTTTTATTTATTATCCTCAGTCCCAATTTTGTATTAATTTTTTTAATTGCACTCTGAAAACAGAAAAAATAATAATAATACTTGGATTTAGTAAATGGTAAAAATATACAAAGCAGTACATAAAAACTGATCATTTTAAAACTACTCGCATACTAATTAATTCAATATCTAAAAAATTTCCCTTTTTAATTTATAAAAGGTGAATTCATATTAAGATATTTTGTTTTTAGCAACTCTTTCTCAAAATCATAGCAGATTTAGTTAATTCGCATTTGACAAAATAATTGACATTTATGTACCATGAACACATATGTATTTACAATAAAGAAATTGAACTGATTTGCGTGATAGCAACAGCTTTTAAACACATATTAATGATCCATATCTGAGGACTTATGTAAAAAATATATACGTGTTGTTGTAACTGTAAATCATTTCCGAAATTAGTCGCGCCGGAATTAAGGTACGACAGCAATGATAACTATCATATTATGGGCGACCCTGCGGGTTAGGGACTCAAGAATTTACCCGTGGTAAGGCATGCCTGTCGTAAGAGGCGACTAAAATCCAATAGTTCCCGCGACAGTCGGGTCGGCCAAGGACTGTCACTTCCGCAATATTCCCCGAAAACCAATTCGGGGAATAATTTGCGGTTACAACAACAAACACATCGCATTATCGGCACTTTTAAAAAATAGCATCTATGAGTGGGAGAATTTTTGAATAAAGTTGATGCTGGTACATTAAAAGGAAAGAACGCGTTAACAAAGATATAGGGCCCTATGTTTTTTTAGTTGAAATTTTCTGGATTGGTATATACTTTACAAGTGGGATAAGGAGAAACAGTCGGAAGATTCACTCTTTTTATTAACTCTTTGCCGATGAAATATAAATTTTATTTACAAACCAATGTGGATTTCTGGTTTAAAGGAACAATGTGTACTTAAATGCGTACGTATGTATGTACTTGTCATAACCAAGTTGTTATACACAAGTATGTACTTATACACAACATTAAACATTATCTTTGGGTTAATTAAATCCACTTCATGCCATGAACGAGACATCATGTTAGTTCGTGACTTCATATTTGACCTTACTTTAGATTTGATCTCATTTTTATCAATTTATTTATGTCTATTTGTATGCAAAAATTTAAAAAATATATTATTCTATATTTAAAATTGTTATTTTAATTTCAACAAGTACCTAAAATATATATTTAATATTTTGTTGCAGTGATTTCTATTGAAAGGTTTTTAAAACTATTTACTTTATATACAAATTTCTGTATATTCTTGAAAAACGAATTGATATCCGACACGTATTAATCGATTTGATTTTCTGCGTTTCTAAGTCACTTTTAAATTTTTTTGTAAAATTTTTCTCCTCTTCGGTCTTTTCTTCATAATAAAAAAGTGTTCAAAATAAAAGGGACAATAACTTTTAAGAAACGATTCACTATACAACTTTCTCGTTGCGAGGCAGAAGTAAGTTTAAGTTCTATGAACTGTGATACAAATGCTGCCATCCTGTCTTTTTTAAGACCGAATTACCAAAAATTATTACACTATTAAATTTTTTTATTTTTTATTTTTGTAATACATATACTATTCTGTAAATACACCGATTTTAATGTTCTTGTGTTCTTTAGTATGCTCACATCAGGTAAAGATATCGAGTCTTGTAATTACCGTACATACATAATTATAAATCTGTCATCTGAAACCCGAAAGACACTATAAAAGCGAATATCGAAAATTAAGTGAAAACATGGAAATAATTCCTAACATAAATATATTTGATTGCTTGTATTTTATTTGCTTCAATTCCATTTGATTTTCCAATATAAAACGTGAGCATCTTCAAATTTTGTTATTTCGGTTAATGCTAAAAGAAGTTTTCCGCAAACCAATTTGTTATAGTTTCGACAATATTGCGCTGAATGCAAAAAAATTACAGTATATACAGTATATACAGTAATTGTCGAACTCGTTCCCCCGGCTCTCACCTGTATGTTCTCTACGTGATGAATCTCGATGAAATAATGTGGACTTTCAAATTTTCAAATAGGAAAGAGCGAATCACGTTATTCACATAGTGGAGACTTAGCTTAACTGGTGGTCGCCGTACCTGATTGACGTTTAATCGATGTATGCAGAGAACTTATAACATAGAGAAGGTTCAATCAGAGAACTTATAACTTATAAGTTCTCTGCTTATAATAACGAGAAGCACCAGGGTGTGCCGATTATCAAATTGGTCCGCTGGCTCGTGTTATGAAAGCGTATTTCAACACACAAATCTGAAAGCGTATTTCACCGCACTCTAACAGTGAGCAGACAGAAATCGTGCTCAAACTAGCAGAATGAGCAAGTTTTTTATGTAAAATGAGAAAATGCATGCGAAATAAATGTAAAACTGATAAGCCTATGCAAGATAAATGTTAGAATGCAGAGGGTTATTATCAAAATTTTCTGATATTATCATCTTTTGTTTAGTGGCTTTTAAAAATTTGTAATTTTCATTAAATATTTTTCTAATTTACCAAATCATATGATTTTTATATACCTACATATTTCACATTTTTCTAATAATTTTTTAGAGACATAATTGATAGTAGTCATGATATTTTAGACATAACAAAAGATATTTAATTAAATTATTTTAAATATTATTTACTTTAGGGGTAAATATTGGAATAAGTAAGCAAACAAGTTAAAATTCATTCATTGATTTAAACGTATGAGCGTG